GTGGGGTGATGGGTACGGCGAGTAGGAAGGCAGATTACCTGCAGTGGATGTTGTTGTGGCTCGGTGTGCAGGCAGGATCTGCTCAGACGAGGAGAATCTGTGCCTAAGCCTCCCTCCGCTGCAAAATCCACCGATGAGCAGCAGCAGTCATTCCAGGGTGAAAGAGAGAGGGTGAAACAATCAGGGAGGTGAAGATGGCAACGTGGTCCGAGCTTTTGGTCTGTATCCCTTCCCTCACCCGTTAGCCCGCAGCCACCCTTATCTGTCCTCCCACAGCCCGTTGTTTTCCAATCAATAGGCAGCCAGTCCAGCTCACACAGAGCCTGCGCACTGCCGGGCCTCTGACGATATCAGCTCACCCCCTCCCTTTCTTCCCTCACTATCCTCTCTCTCTCCCTTTGTCCCTGCCTCCTCCCTCCCTCCCCGCACGCCTTAATTCCCCAATATTCATGAGGAGAGAAGGAGGAGGAGCAGGAGGATTGGGGGAAGGAGATGTAGCAAGGTAGCACATTGTTTCTCTGTCTACCTTATACACGAAATGCCGTTTACACTGTCACCAGCCCCCCCATTGTCTGCTTCATCATTCTGCATCACATCTAGGTGCAATAACATATCCAGAAAAGAAAGTATTGTTTTGGACCTGTATGTTTGCACAAAGTACTGAAAAAATGAATGAAAACACCGTCTCTTTACAGTGTTTAAGACCAGCTGTGAAACAGAGTTTTAAATTTTAAAATCAGCTTGTTTGAAATCAATTCATTTCTTATTTTGAAACAATAAAGCAGAAAAACAACATATAAACAGACACAAATTAATTTCATACCCATCATCCAACCCAAATATCACAAAATGAAAAGAGCTTTACAAAACAGTAACAATGGAGAGAAAAACTAAAATACATATACAGTAAGAGAAAGTAATTGAGCTGACACTTCTTATAAACGACCCTTAATCTGAAGTTCAAATATCGAGTTTTTCTATATTTTCTTACACCCCTACAAAGTAGGTGGATATAAATCAAGCCAGACATACAGGGTTGAAAGAAGTGCTGCATACAACATGAGACCAAGCAGTTTCAAACTTTTGATCAGACAACGAGCTAATGGCAAGAATACATTGTTTTCAGTGTTCCAGCACATTCCTGGAAAACCTGCAAATTTAAAGACCAGTTTTCCAGTCATGGAAACACCTGGGAATTAATTTGAGTTGAGTTCAAATGACTCCTCATTTGAAAGTAGTTATAAAAGTGCATTTGAGGAATTAATAGCAGGTTTAATAACAAGATTTTAATACCTAGTATACAGCCTATCACACATTTCCATAATGCTTCTGGCCTTCCAATCCCTAACTAACCCGTCTATAAAGGTATATTCAAAGTAAGGATTATTGGCAATAGGCAATTTAATGACATATAAAGAGAATCTCCTGTACTGATTGCTTTTCATTACATCATTTCATTTCACAGGCAGTTCTCAGATCATATGCAAACACAGCAAATGAACTACAACCAATATTGGACATTTGAAAATAAAAACCACAAAACAATGATCCACTTGAAATGAATTCAGTATAAGACAATACAGAAAAAATTTAAATTCCAAATCGTCATGAACTTGATCTCAACCCCTCTCTCCTTCACAGCCGTGCTTCAAAATCTGCATAATCCCTGTTTTCAATCTGTGGTCGGGGTTTAGTGCTCCTGTCTAAAAGCTTTGGCCGTGTGAGTGTAAACACACACACACGCTCACATAAGAGTTCACATGTTATTATCACACCCAGAGTGCACGCAGACAGGGAAATATTATAACACGGCTGTCTTTGAGGTCTGGAACATCCAGCTGCCAGATATGAGCAGATTTGACAGATTACGTTTTTACAGCCTGATTTTGGGTTTGAGAGAACTGACAAAATAAGCAGAGTGTTCAGTGAGGACTTTAGACTTGATTTTAGACAGTGTTGGTGTGATGTATTTTGTATTTATTCCTGTACTGTACACTTAAAATGCTGTTGTGTACACTCCAAGCCAAACAAAAAAGAATTCTCAGTGAACAAGCTATCGTTATCGTCCTTCCAAAATAGATCCTGTAATTTTAGAAACTGGCAAACTGATCCAACAGGCGAAGACAAAGAGAGAAGCTGCAGACAGATTCAGATTCACTGAACATGTGACGTCAGCATACGGGTGGTGCTGTGCCTACCTGCTGTACACTGTAAAAGATAACCTCTCGCATCAGAGAACCTCTCACTCACTCATTTCATCATCATCAGTGTGAAACAAACATCATGACCAACAAACACCAACTTCAATAGTCTCTGCAAGCAGCTGCTTCTTTCCCCACACAACAAGAAAAAGGGAGAAAAGGAAGAAAAGAGATCTGGCCCGTCAGAGGCCTCCCATTACTACGGAAACATGGCTCCCAAAGCCCGCTGGTTGCCATGGTTACACCGTAACTGTGCTGGCACAGGAGTTACTCCACAAGCAGCAGAGGGGAGGAAGACAGAGAGAACATTAACTTTGACCTGAACCAGAGTTGTACCGGCTTTATTTGAGGGGGTAGGACACAGTGTATGGCAGCCTGATTTTGATGATTTTAGTTTAAAGCCCCACTCCTATCAACAATCAGTTTCTTCCTGTCCCTACAGTGTGCTGTTTGAATACTGTCTGTGCAGAGTTTGACTCTAGAAGGATGTTTTCACATTCATCTGCTGAAAGTGGAAAGTTTCTCTGAGCTCATTGAACATCTGATTTGTGACATCACAAATAGTTAGGAAGTCAGTCCTGGTCCAGTATCAACTTGTACAGTGTGATGTAGAAATTTTAAGCCACCAGTGCACGTACACAGGGGCGGAGCCAGACGTTGTAAACATTCAGGGCTTAGCCTAAACCTAGGGGGGGCATGCTCCCCTGGGGAGATTTTTTTTTTTTTAATTTACGGCAGTTAAATGCACTATTTTTGAAGCCAGTTGAGATAATAGAAGGCCTAAAAATCTGCACAACATTTGGGAAATCATGATAGTTTCTCAGGAAAAAAAAACATCTATCCAATTGTTCTCCATTTGTGTTCTTCATCATTCTTAAACCAGAACAAAAGAAATGTTGAGGTTAACAAACTTTTACTTCTGCCACATAAAAAGATGCCAAAATTGAACTGAGAATGGACTTAACAGTGAAGTAGGAGACATCTTGTGTCCAGCAGCAAAACTTTAGAAATGAACAATATTATATGTATATTCAGAGATTCTGGAAGTTTTAATGAGGCAGAAGGAGGAGATGACTTTTGAAGGATTTTAAGGTCAAAATTGTAAATTTTTGCATATTGAAAAAAACATACCATACTATTTGTATATGTCTTAATACATGTCTGGGATCTTTAACAAGAGCAAATTATTCATTCATAAGCTATAACTACTGTAAATACAGCAAGACATCTTTGTGAATGATACCAGTAAGGTTATTATGGCAATGGCTGCACATTGATATTTGATGTGCTGTATATTCCTCTTTATATTTGCGGTGGCATTTTGATTCAAATCTTAGCATCATTTACATCGGTCATGGTGAACATATGCATACAAAAAATTATGTGAATATCTGTCGTCTTTAAACACTGCCAGCTGCATAATTTCGAAAAACCTCAACAGCTGAATGCACTGATTACATCTTCAACCTGTTAATGAACAATACACAATTCTAAATATAGCACATTGCTACACTTATGAAAAAATGTAAAAACACGTATTTTCATCCATTTACTCTAAGTAAACCATTTGGAATGCATTTTTGTCTAGTCAGTCTGTATTTTGCTGACATCTAGTGGTGATTACTGGGACATCATGTAAATCACCTGTTCAAGAGATGTAATTTAAACTTTGCCATGTGATATCTCATTTTACATAATAAGATAGTGTTATCAGAAGTGATGCAGAGAATATAGCATTAACTTTTGACCCCTATAGGTGCTCTCACTATGTCCCATTACTGTAGTGGTTCTCAACCTTGGTGGGTCGGGACCCCCAGAGGTTGCCATGGCTTTACAGGGGGTCAAGAAGCCTTCTTAATTTGGAGAGGCCTACATCTCACAGGATACAGACAATAGTATAAAAGAATAATGGCCAAGCACCAGGCAGAAGAAAACCTTGAATTTGTCAAAAAAGAATTATGTATTAAGTAGGTATGACTGATAATAAAAAAAAACACATAATACAGACTCATCTGTGATCAATATTCACAGGAAATAACCTGCTCAGAATTCATCCAAATCTCTGGTTTTACACAGACTTCCTGCAGTTCATTGTAGTTTATCAGCTGTTCTCTACTGTTATTGTTATTGTAAATTCATTGAATATAACATATCATCAGTTTACTCAATGAAAAGGGGTCCAATAAGGAAAAAGGCTGGGAACCACTGCCTTACTGAGACTGTGGACCTGCATCCATGGTGGCTCAACAGTAGAGGGCACTGATGCAGTGTGATGAGTGTGTTGAAAAAAGAAAGTTGATCCAGTCTGTGCCTGTTTGCTTCAGGTGACTGCAAGATCATTTTAATGAAAATATCCCGTTCCATCCCTGCATACAACAAGAACACTGTAAGAGGCTCTGAGTGGGGAAAGGTCATTACCAGCTATTATACCTGACACTGCTGAGCACGATAAAGTTTTATATTGAGAAATGTTTAATCTGTTACTTCAATTTGCTCAGCCAATCAGTTTGTTATCCGGTTTTCTCTCATTCTTTTTTAAATCAGCCAGCAGAGAGACTCATCATTCCCATAATTAACATAATAATGATCAAAGTCAGAGAACTGTTGGTTGTCCCTTAATCCTGAAGTGTGCTGTCTGGGGCCAGATCATTATTTTATGACAACAGATGAGATTTTTATATGTCCTGCTGCAGGAACTGGCCAACCTGATCTGTCTGGTTTGCTTTTCCACCTCATTTGAAATAAATTCTGTGCAAAGTTTTGTCTTAAATATCAGATAAACCCACAAAAAATCCACAATAAACATGACCTCTTTATTAAATCTCTTCATACTGCAGTCACAATGTTTCTGAACAGGACGTTTTAGGATTTTTGGATTAAATATTAAGATATGTGCTTATTGGTAAACGAAGGAAAGTAAAGTTTTTTCACAGTGTACCTTTCTGATGCGGTTCCCTTAAAGTGCTTTACGTTGATAAAAGTTGATAAAAAAAAGATTTAAGTTGATAAAAACAAAGCAAATGACACAGTTTACACAATGAGACAACTAAAGACACGCAAGTGACAGGCCCGTACCAGTTCTGAGAGGGTTTTAAAATATCTTCATCTAGCCTGGCTCTGTGGAGAAACATAAGCATCAGGGATCAATACACTTTCATTGAGAAGAACAAGAAATGCTCTTCTCGTTTTTTCTTTTCATTTTTTTTGCATTCAAGTGAGAAACTGAATGTTTGGACATTGAACTGAAGTGTAGGATTTATTTAACTGAGTAGCTGAGCAACTGGTTGAATGGTCAAATGAAAAAGCAACTTAACCTCAGACCTGTGCTGGTGGTGTGGCCTTAGAACCTCAACAATAGAAGACATTTCAACAGCAGTATGCTGAATCATTACAATTTTACAATGCGCATGACATCCTATTAATACAGTTCAGTAATGAGTTATCATATGTATCACCAGCAGCTCTATCGTTTTGACCACCACTGGACTGGCGATTTTGGGCCGGGACTTTTTTTTTTTACTAATGGTACTAGTATTAGTAATGGTATTAGTCATGATACCTATTGGTACACAAAACTGGTAGATCGGACCATTAGTCATGATTGATTCTGGGCTGGACCAATTACAGCCGAGGGCCAATGCCCCCTCCCTCTTGGGCCTCAGCTGTCAATCAATTAATCATACAGGGAGAGAGGAGATCACGAAAATGGAGAACAGCAAGAAGCGGAAAGGAGGCGCGGAAAAAATTAGAGCTAAAAAGAGACAAGCCCTTCAGGCAGATGCTGCCAAATGTGTTAAAATAACACAGATGTTTGCTGGTGGCTAGCTTCATCTTCAGCAGCAGCAGCATCCGAAGCAGCCGCAGGTAATGATGGCGGAGGTGGCCGTCCATCAATACCTGGTGGGCCAGCTCAAAATGCCCGGGCCGATTTTTTGTCCCAGTCCAGCCCTGCTTTTGACAGTATGTCTGCTCAGCAATATCTTTTCTGCAGAATGAGCTTGCTTTTATAAATACAGTTTCCTTCCCACAGGCCCATTACTTAACAGGCATAAGACACATGCAGTACGTGCTTTACATGGTGACTCCTCTCATTTGAGAAAATGTGGTCCTGCATATTGAATATTGAGTCATGTGGAATTTGTTGGGAAGGAACCTGTTGCTGCTGGGTGTGTATTTTTACAGCACAATGCTAAATGATGTTCTTCTGTAGCACTGTTTAAACAGCCTACACTGTAGAAACCCCAAAATGTTGAAACTGATGACATCAAGAATTTTTAAGTAAAATCAGGAATTATTTTTTTAACATACAAACTAAATCAGTGTCACAAATGAAGCTGCTTCATCAAGAATTCTTGATGAACAACTGATGTAATCCATTTCAACAATCTTTTTTAGTTCACTTATTGAATTACAGTGTAGTTTAGACCTCAAAAGACAGGAAGGTTCCTTGCAAATGTTTGCACTTTTGTTTGATTAGCCCTCCTTCCTCCCACTTAGAGCCAATCATATGCCTAAGATGCCTAATTATACATTACCATACAATGACTGTTTGACGATGCGTGTCAACACATTAGTACTTGTACTTAATAGAAGGTACAGGAAAAAAAACAGCTTTGAGGTTTCCTTTTGTGCTTTACCATTTTTTGATTGTGATGCAGAGTTACTGTACACTGCTTGGGATGAGAGAGACTGATTGTTGAACATTCAGTAGTGAGAGACAACAGACTGATTTTGAAAATGCTCTAAGCTGGAAAGAAAGAGAACATGATAGGGATTTAATGTGTTGTTCAAGATTAATAATGTATATACTGATCAAAAATATTTCCTAGAACATGACAGCAGTCCTGTGTCAGACACCCTTCTGTTTGCACAAATGAAATTAGCCTTAATGATCATTATTTGGTGATTGATTGTTTAGTGGTAAAATACAGGGTGTTTGAAAACCTTTGACCTTTGTCAAGTTATGTGGTAATAGGTATTTCTGAATGGATTATAAATATTTCCCTTAAAAGAGCCATTATCTTCTCACAGGATTGTCGATCCTGAAGCCTCCTCCAGTGAAGTGAGGTTTGCTGCTCAGCTGGGGCAGAGGTTCCAGGTGCTCCACCTTGGTCTTGGTCCTCTGCTCACTGATGATGAGACACACAGAGCTCCAGCACATCAGAGAATTAACACAGCTATCTCTGACTGCTACAGTTCACGGTCCATGCATAAGGTAAATTGTGTCTTTTGTACCCATAAATAATACCTAGTGTTAAAGGGCCAGTGTGTAGGATTCAGTGGCATCTAGTGGTTGTAGATTGCAACCACAAAACACAAAAGGTCAGTGTTTGGTTTGTCCGTTCTAGGCTACTCTAGAAACATGGAGGTGCAATATGGCAGCCTCCTCCTCCCTTTATAGATAAAAACACAATGATTGTTATAGTCAGGTGATTATACACTAATGAAAACATACCTATGGAAGTTATATTCCATTTCTGCCAATAGACCCTCCTAAATGTTACACACTGGACCTTAACATGTGTAAGATTGCTAAGATGTAACACAAAGATGAACCTCACCTGTGAAGCTTCTTCTGAAAGAGGTATTTCTTCTTAATGTTTGCCAGCTCATTAGCTAAGCTTTGATTTTCACTTTTGTACTCATTCATCTTGGAGTCGAGCATTCTCAGCTCTGCTATCAACGCCTGTGAAATTGGAGAAAAACATTATTTTGCCATAAAACTTAGAGAAAGCAACAGGTACCATGATTTAGCTGAAATCAACTGCACCCGTTCACAATATGTTATTACACATTTTAAGATGCTTATGGACATTTAAATAGTGAGTTGTATCAGTGCTGGTCATTTGGCTTTAATATATTTGTCACTGAAAGGATGAACAAATTGACACAGATCTCAGGAAGTTTGGCACTTTTGCTTGCAATATGCTGTATTTAGCAACTTGCTCTACATAATTAAAAACATCAAGAGCCATCAGATCAGAAACATATCAGGACATTCTGATGAAGGCCTTCGTTGGACAAAGCTTTGATGAAAGAATTTTAGTTGGTAGAACAAGTAAATACTGCAGGACTTGACAACACTGTCAGGGGCTGAAAGAGGATGGAGGATTGTGAGGGACAGAAAAAGAATAGGACAAAGAAAAGTCAAAAATAAGACAAGAAAAACCACATGAAATGAAAGAAGTGTAGGATGACCTTGAGCTTTTTAGTTCTCTCTCTGAGGGTCCACTGGCACCGCTGGAGCTGCTCGGCTGCTTCTGGACCCGGCTGCCGGGCCAGAATGTGCTTCAGCTCCACATACAGCTTCTCCTTTTCCTTGGTGGGGACGTAGAAGGAAAGTAAAATGTAAAATGCCACATCAGGCTAGTAAATCTAGCATCTCAAGTGGTAAAAAAGAATTAAACACACTGTTTTTAGTGGAAGTAGTTATGGTTTATAAGCTGAAGCACAAGGGTTCCCACTGTTTTTAAGAAAAAAAAATTCCAGTACCATTCCAGGTAATTTTTCAGGAGTTTGCTTGACAATACAGGACAGTACTTTTACCAGTAGGCCTACTATTGACACATTTAACTGCAGTGTTATTCCTCCTTTTTTAATGACGCAGTGTCTCAGGTTCATTACAGGTAGCTGGTCAGCCTTTATGGGATACTCTGCTTTAGCTTGCTTTCATGGCACTCTTGGCTGTTCTTACCACAGCCAACTTTCAGCATCTCAGTTCATATTAGGACAAGTTAAAATTTACTTTGGGCAAGTAAACTTCTTACTTAATGAACACACTGTTGAACTGGGTGACATCATCTTCATCACTATAAACACACACTCTGTAGGTTTTTTTTGTCTCAGTCCAACATACAGTGTCCTTTGCTACCAATACTCACTAGAGCACCAAATAGAGCATAAAATAGTCTCTGCACTATTTACTCCTATTTGAGTAACTCAAACATTTATTTTTTACTGCCCAGCTGATTTAGGGAATTACTTTTTTTTTAAATAAAACTACATTTTCATGACACAAATTTTCACAGTATATATTATATATACGAAGTCACATCGTTTCCTCATAAGGACAAGACTATTAATCCATGTGTTGAGGAGAGTGTCAAGTGTTTACCTGTAATAGGAGTTCGCGCTCCTCAAGCTCTTGGGTCTTGGCAATCAGTCGTTTCTGCAGGGACTGAATCTTCTGGATGAGTTCATATTTGCTGGGGTCACTGCCCTGCAAGGGAGGATCATTTACACAATGTAAATTAATGTGAATTAATGCTCTGCCATTTTCCTCTTGAAGTGTGTGACTGGTCTCTCACATAAACCAGAAGTGGAAATGTTTAGGCAGAGAAAAACCAATACAATAGGCTAGGACTGTAACAGCTTCAAGCCAATCCACAGACAGATTATTAAACAAGTCCTTCACCTCCAGTCGTCTCCAGCGGTGAATATTTATGGGCTTCAGCTGTTCCTCAAGGACGCTGCTCCTCGTCCTCTCTCTCAGCAGCTCCCTCTGGAGGTGGAACAGCTCTCGCCTGCAACACAAGTAGTTATTACGTAAATGATTCTAACAATTAATATACTTAATTTTCCCCATAGTTGGCTGCGAGGTAATTTTAGTCCGATGTAGTAAAACAGAGATGTTGTATTGTTTTAGAAAAGAGTTTGCTATGGTTTTAGTAGCTAGAAACTCTAAGGAGGTCCTTCCTACCTCTGACTCTGGATGTCTCTCCTCCTTGCTCCATCTTTCTTTGACTCGTATGCTTCTACTCTAAACACTGCACTTTGTAGGTCACCTCATTCTTTCTCCATCCTGCCCTCCTCTACTCCAGATTCTTCACCTAGTCATTCAATGATGACTGCCTTTGTCAAACTCCTCTCCTCCTCCTGCCCAGGCACCGCTCTTTTACCTCAGGTCCTCTGTGTTGGGCACAGTCTTGTCCAGGATGCTTTTCTTGCGCCGGAGCCTCTTGACCTCCAGCTTGAGCAGGCAGATGTCTTCCATCCTCTGGTTGTAGTGGAAGTCCCCCTTGCTCAGGATTGATTGCTGGATCCTGATCTTCTCATACAGCAGTGCACGCTCATCATTCCGGCGTAGCAGCTGTTTGCCCAGGTTGTCCCGCTCTCTGATCACCTTTAAATAATAAGATACATACATTGTCATCCTCTTTCTCTGCTCCATCTTGGCTCTACCTTATTCTCTTTCTTTACCTGTTCCAGTTGCTTCTTCTGTTGGATCTGCTCAGCGTCAGCGTCGGCTATGACCTTCTGCAGTTTTTGCTGTTCTGCTTTCTGACTGTCAACACGTTGCTTTGTTTCCTCAAGCTGGAGCTTCACCACCTGCAGCTCCCCCTGTAGCAGGACATAGAGATGGGTACAAATTAGGCATAAAAAGTCTTGCTGGTAATGTACAGTAAAGATAGCCCTAAGAAAAAGAAAATGTTAGGCTAAGACAGGCTGCTGTACCTTGATGGCCTCGTTATCCTTCTCTAAGCGCTTGTGTTCCTGCTGATCCTTGGCCAGGGCAAGCTCCTTCCCAGTGATCTCATCTCTCAGTCGGGTGACTTGGTTGTTCATGGTCTTCATCTTCCTCTTCATTTCTGTAATCTCTTCCTGAGGCAGAGAGATAGACAGTGAAAGGATATGCATTCAATATTCATAGATAATAAACAAACAATTTCATAGCAACTGTTGGTGTAATGCATACTGGCAGTCCACAGCTGACTCAGCGGCTAAATGACTTTACTAATAATTCACTAACCACGTGAATATCAGCTTTGTGAATGACAAGAACCGGTACCTGAGCCTCGATGAGGTTCTTGCTGTAGAGGTTCCTTTCAGACACAATGGACTCCAGCAGGTTCTCTTGCTGTTTGAGCTTGCACTCAGCTTCTGAGACCTTCTTCCTCCAGTCAAATATCTCCATCTCTCTTACTTCGACATCACTCATTTTTTGTTGCACCTGTGGAAGGGAGGAAGGTTCCCCTCAGACAGGCCAATGTTGACTCAAAATGATCTTGTAATATTAAAATGAATCCAAATAATAAAATGCAAAAAAATAGCTCTCCTGCATAACCTGCCTTCTGCATGAGGTTGCTGGTCTCGTTGATATAGCGGTCACGTTCTTTTTCCAGCTGTTGGATGATCTTGCGTTGCTTTTGGGCCTCCTGGCGGTAGCCATTGATCTCGTGCTCCAAGGTCTTCTTGTCCTGCTCAAGGAGCTTCACAAGGTTCTGCTGTTTCTCAGTTGACTGTGAAGCTTTGATCATGTTCTATTGAATGAGATCAGACACACAAATACAGGAACATGAATATGTTAATTCTGATGTATTTGTAGCTAGTTTAGAAGCAGGAATGGTTGTTTACAAAACTGTGTAAGAGTCAACAGATAATTTTATGTTGATTAGAAAAACTGCAGTTAACAAGACAAATAACCACAACTACCAAGAATTGCAAGAATGGTACCCTGCAATGCATACCTTATTTAAGATGTCTCTCTCTCGGATCAGCTCATCTATGGCTTTCCTGTCAGCTTCAACTTGCTTTTGGGAAGATTCAAGATCTGTGGAGGGAGAAAAATATGGATAGTTTGAACTGGTCAAAAGTCAATTAGAGATATAGCTTGCATGAATGAGCTCACAGGGACAGAGACAGGGCAGCACTGAGGGAGATAAAGACTGTGAACATAGAGAAGATGATAGTTCATGTGTGTCTCCACGTGTATACTTTGCGTCTATGATAAAAAAATATGACAAGCTCCCGTACCTTTCTCCAGACCAGCAATCTGAGCCTTGAGTGTCTCCTTCTGCACATCCACATCGGCTTTCTGCTCCTCCATCTGGTGGAACCTCTTCTGGATGGTCTCTCTCATCTTTGTTTGTTTGGCAATCTCCTGACGCATCTGGTTCACTTCCTCTTCTCTCATCTAACAGGTGGGAAGGGAGGAGTTTAATTAAGCATTAGGCAGAAGTAGCCATGAGTGGAAAGGGAGTGTGGATAACAGATGTTACTGTGTGCTGAGGGTTGTAGCTCAAATTCAGCCTGTCTTTTTGACCACAGCCCTAACACAGCTGTTTCAGAGTAGACCTGTTTCTGACATGATGTAGAGCAGTGCCCCCTTGTGGTTCAAAAGAATCATATCATCTATTATCAGGTACCCTCCACTGCTGAAGATCTGAGACAATACTGACAAAAATGTAAGTTCCATGACTTCTGTTTAGGGAGATATAATAGGATCACTTTCAGAATTGATCAACTTTACCCATGTACTGTATCAGGCCTATAAAAGATCAGTGAGGAGTGACTAACTAAGCTTGAATGATCCCGTTAAAAACAATGGGGCAAAATGTATTTTGTTTGATGCAAAATAATAGCATAGGTTTCCCCGCAAATCAGTGCAAACGGTTCATAAGAAGAGAGCATGTTTCGGGGTTAAAAGCTGCAGTACGTAACTTTATAAAAAATTACTTTTTGTCATATTTTCTGAAACTTTCACAATATCCTGACAGTAGTACATGAGACGGATAATTTGTGAAAAAAATTCCTCTGGCCCCTCCTGGTGCTCCTAATGGTATTTAAGAGACTCCACAGGGCCTGAATGAAACCAACCAATTTCAGAAAATATGACAAAAAATATTCTCAGAATGCAAACCCGACACTGTACTCTTTCTGTGTGCACAATGCTAATACAGGTTTCAGAAAGTTTGGAGGTTTTCCAAAGAAGAGTGTCATTAGGAAAATGACAAATATTAGCTCTTACAACTCGATGTTGTGTGTCTTTGCAATCAACAGCTTTATCTTATCTCTCTCTCTCATCAAGAGTTTGACCTTACAAGCAGTTCTGTCACTTTACCACTCTCTCTATCCCACTCACATGTAAAATCATGCATGCACAGGCACACACACCAACAATGCTAACATACACAAAGAGGCCAAAGTGTGTCTCTATTGGTCGGGGTGCGTGTGTGTGTGGACCAACGTTCACCTTGAGCTCATTTGCGCCCTGCTGATTTTCCAGAGAGAGACGTTCTTTGACTGATGAGAGCTGCTCACACTCCTGCTGCAGTTTGGTGTTCTTCACTTGCATCTGCTCCAGCTCCTTGCTGGATCGCTCATTCAAGATCTGTGACAGAAATGATGTCCATTACATGCAACAGCACAGTAACAGTAAGTTATTAAGCACACAATTACATATGCATGGTTTTACAACGTTATGGTTAACTACCCCAAATGATAAAAGATACAGTGACAATAATATACAGAGTGGTTTTTAGATGCATATTGGTTTTAATACAGAGGTTTTCTGATGTTTTGTTGAATACGCATTGGTTTGTAGATTCATACAATGACTTACACTTTATATATTTAATTATACATTGCATGAGAGGTTATTTAATAGTTTTATGAGCATGAAAATGATGTGCATCTTTTCCTAGGGCCCATGCAATCATCAGATCTCAACCCCGCATTGTCCACCATTATCATCAAAACACCAAATGAGGGAATATCTTTTGAATGAATGCTGTTCATACCTCCAGTACAGTTCCACAGACTTGTCAACTCTGTGCAAGGTGCTAGCTGTTCTGGAGGCTTGTGGTAACCCAACACCTTACTATTAGTTGGCTTTATGTTTAATTTCTCACGCATCTGTGTGTTGGTTCCTTTGAATACATGGGTTTCTAAAACTAAATGTATATATAGATGTATATATCCATTAATCATCTATATTTTCAGCTAAGATGATAAATATTTTAGGTGTTGGTTTCCACAGTAAAGCACAGAGTCCACTCACCTTGAGCTCTTTCAGCTGCTGCTCCAGTCTCTGCTGCTCCTCTTTGGCCCTTTGGCCCTGCAGATTCAAAGCTTTGACGTCCCCCATCTTGGCCTCCATGTCAATATGCAGCTGCTTCACCTCCTTGTCCAGCTTTTCCTTCAACCTCATCTCCCGGGAAATCTCATTCTGTTGTACCTGGAGCTCCTGCTGGAGCTGGATTCAGACATACGCAACAAGTTTGCCTCACAGCTATACTTCATTTCAGGTCATTTGTGAGGATTCCCATTGGCTACAGCACAGCAGTTTGTGTTCTTCTTAGGGACCATTGGAACCCCAAATGCTATCAAAAACTGTGGACTGTATTGAAATACCTATTCTGCACTTCTTAAATCTTGCCCTAAAAAGTAATTCTGAAACTAAAAGAAAACTAAACTAAAACTAAACATTTTTAAACAATTTAAGCAAAATTTAAATGAACAAAACCACTCCAGATATTAAACTGAATTCAAATAACTAAATAATATAACAAAGGAAAAATACAAAACTATAACAAATATCTGCAGGCTCACCGATATGGTAAAAATATTGCAAAGCATAAGTAATGTTAAAAACCTGATATCCCTCTACTTCTCTTCATGTCTGCCTTGCTGGCACAGTTACATCAATCTCCCTACAAATAAAAGCCTCATTAGATCATTTCCAGTGTGACAGAAACTACTTATGTCTCTACCAGAGATTTGAAAATATAACATCATCAGAAATATATTAAGGGGGGGCTACTGTCTATGAGAATTTGCCACTTATTTACCTGAGAAATATTCTCTAAGGCAGTGTCTCGCTGGGCCTCTATATCCTGCTGGACTGCGGTGGCCTTGTTCAGTTTTTCTCTCAGACCCTCCACGTTTGTCAGCAGCTGATCCCTCTCCTTAGTTAACTCCTCATTCATTTTTAGTAGATCACTGAAAACAAAGAGTTTACAGTTGGTATTTGTCTACAATAAAACATTAAGAGCATGGGGAGGGGGACAAACAGTTTACCTTTGATCTTGGTTCATAGAAAAGCCAGTTTGTTGTTCGGCCGTTTTGATTAGGTTGGCAACTTCTTCGTTTAAGTTCCTAATGGTCTCTTTGTCCCTCTTCTCTTTATCATGAGCAGCGTCAACCATTTTCCAGGCTTTATCCAGCTCCTACAGTGAAACCAAATAAAACTGAGTAAAAACCTTTCTGAGTTAATGGAATCTGAGGAGCTGAGGGAGGAAAAATTATCAAACATCACCCAAATCACACAATAAAATATGACTTTATATACCGAACACCACATACTTCATCAATCATCAATTTAAAGATAATCGCCATGCTCAGGGCATAAACAAACAAATAAATAAGACATGCTACCCTATACTGTAGCCTCTCATGTTCTGGCAATATACCCTCTTTAGTGAAGCTATTGTTGTCTCATCTTCCTGGGACAGTTTCAGGGCGGCTGCGACTTTAGTCGAGGTGGACACAATCTCTGCATTCAGCTCCCTGCATTTAGACATTAGCCTCTTCTCATTCTCTCTGGACTTCTTCAGCGCGCGGATTAACTTCTCGTACTCCACCCGGACCTTGTCCATACTCTTGTCCCCGACCAGCTCATTGAGGACCATCTGGAACTCCTCCAAGGACTCAAATGCATCCTCTCCTGCTGGTCCTGTCTCCTGAACACACAGCAGAGCCAGAAAGTGAGAATGAGTTTAACAATCTAGACCTGGCTGCTAGTTCTGTTCTAATATTAAAATATATATATATTTCATATTGGAAAGAAACAACCAAAACACAGAGTAAATTATATTGTTATTTGGCCCTAAAAAGACAATACGGATTAGCAAATTACCTGAGCACAATAAAAAAATCTAATTTAAGAGTAGTCTTGAATATGTACAGCCTTGCCATAGACAGATCTGGCTATCTCTGCTCTCAGTGTCACAGAGGATGGGTAGAGACTCTCGCTATACACTTTCTCAACTCATGCCTAAAATATAAATCTTTAAGAGAGAAGTACTTTATTTCTATTTATTTAAATTATAACCAAAATATACCTTGAATTTGAATCATAAACAGATTATTTACTGGGAGAAGCCATGAAATGTGAAATGACTGCAGCAAAATAAGTGAGCTTAGACTAAAACAATAATAAAATAATTTAGTTTGATTGTTGTTGTGTGTTGTTTTAGGAGTGTAATAATATAAATTATTATTATTATCAATTATTATTGTTATTATTTGTTTAATGATTATGTCTTGCTTCTATACACACAAACACAATAATATAATGCAAACACAGACAGCAAGTTTTCAACAACTTTGTGCTACTCTTTTCTTCTTTTAATTAATGAAATGTATTTATTTAGTGTCGTGACACTGATTGCAAATAGTGTAAAAGTTTGAATTGAATTGAAAGGGAGACCCCACATTTATTTAATGTGATATCAAAGTTATTAAACCGGAAGTTGCTTACTTAACGTTACTTACTTACTCTTGACCTGGTCCTTTCTAAAGTTATGACTTTGTCTTTGACGCTGTATCTTACCGTAAATGAATACAGATAGCAGTAGTGAAATTACCGTTAGCAAACATGCTAACGTTAATTGTTACACCTGACGAGTTACAAGTATTTAGCCGACATTAAATGGCTACACTTTAACCAGCGTTACGTTAAAAGTATGACGCTCAACTAACGTCAAAATGAAGTTGCCTTGTAAAGCTTTTAAGACCAAACCATTAGGGAAAACGTTACTTACTTCCATTTTATTAACTGGAAAGTCGATATGTAGCTAATTCGTTAATCTTTATAGGTATCGTAGCATTGGTGTTAGAGTCATCAATAGAGCTGTTGACGAAGGTTGCTAAGCAACCGCTGATCTCGCGAGAGAAGGACCCGCTGGTTGGAGTGGAATTTCTGTCGTACCAAAAATCCAAAGGTCTGCATCACACAATGTTGTTTTTCCAGTTATTCTGCTAATAACAGATATAACGTTATCCAAAAAGATATGACCTCCTAACCATATGTTATTTCATATTGGATTTAAGTTGTGGATGATTTAGTAGAGATACTTAATCACTAACTAAAAGTTTATTTTAAACTCATTCATAAATTCTTCCAGCTAAAGATAAGAGATAGCCTGTGTGCATTGTAGTTTCTGTCAAGAAAACTGTTATTATTTGTTCAACTATTTTGGCATTGCCCATATGTGAAGACTTTCTGGAAAAACCTTTGTGCTTTTTGGAAAATATAAAAATGACCTTGCTAATGCCTTGCTTTGGAAGAAATATATTGTTTGGTCTCCTTGAAGATGGTGTGCAGAACTCGTGTATACATGCATTATCTTATAATTTTACTTGCCAAATTCCAAATTCATAAATGTAAATTTACTGGTAGGAAAACTTTGTCAGGGAGTAAAAACAATACATTTATTTATTAGTACATGTTCTCAGTTTTTGTTAATGTTAAACAGTCTTAATTTTGATGACTAAAAAAAAAAATATATATATATACATATGAATAAAATATACATATTTTGAATGACTTATTTTCTATTTCGATATGTTGTAATATACTCTATATATACTATTATTTTTTCACTCTTATTTTATGTTTTTTCTATCTTCAATATATATTGCTGTTATATAATGTAATTTAATGCACATATTTTAACCTTCTTATTACTATTTCTTATAATGTCTTGCTTAGCAACTGTAACACAACCAATTTCCCTCTGGGGATCAAATAAGTTTCTGATTCTGATGGTCAAAAGGCCACTACGTCCTATGAATTGAATTGCAATTTTCAACTAAAAAAAAACAGATTACAGATCCTACCTTGTAACTGAAATGTTTTTTCTGCTTTGAAATGACTTGATTTCAATTGTGAAAGACTGGGTGAGCTATAAGCTTTCAAATATAAGCTTATAGCTCACCCAGTCTTTTGGACATTTGGAGCCATTTCGTGCAAGCTCTTATAATGTCCTCAGTGTAAACAGTTTGGCAGCACCTAGCAGTGGTTTGGTGCTAAAACTTAAGGTTATAAATATAACCCCAGTTCTCTGATTAGCATGAGTGAGTGTCTCATTATGGGGAGCGCCTCCTGAGTGACCTCGTCAGAAGCTCAAATAACATTACGCCAGCCCTAATTGGCTGGCACTAATGACATCTATGTCAGGAGGGGATGGGACCCTCCTCCTGTATAATAGGCTGACATAGTGTATTTTGTCATTCAAAACAAGCTCACCTCTTCCTCGCTTCTATAGCAAGGAGGGTGCTCTGGTGAGACACTCACTCATGCTAATCAGAGAACCGGGGTTATATTCATAACCTTAAGTTCTTTTTTCATAGCATTCGTTTCGTGTCTGACTATGGGAAAAGAATACTGACTCCCGGATTGCCAAACATGCCTGTAAAGAAGACTGTCCCCAGTGGCACTTCACAAAGGGGGAGCCACGCTCTGAGAAGAGCCCACACTGAGGACTGAATGTGCCAGAGAGTTGGAGCCATTACATCCAACCTATAAAATCTAGCAAATGTGTGGCGTGAGGCCCAGCATGCAGCTGCACACACCTCTTCAAAGGAAACCCCTTTAAAGAGAGCCCACAAGGTTGCTAGAGCCCTGTCTAGCATAAGCTAGAAAAATAGCCCCTACTATCCAGTGGGAAAGACACTGTTTGGACACAGGCTTACCCATGAGGTTTTGCCCAGGACAAAAAATAACTGATTACCCTGTCTGAAACCCTGGGTCCGGACCAAATAAATTTGTAGTGCACAAACCGGACACAGAGTATGCAAACGCCAGTGCTCCTCAGAGGAGAAAGGCAGGGGATAAAAATCGACCAGTTCTATAGGGGAGCATGAGCTCATAACCTTTGGGATAAAGGCCAGGTTAGGCTGAAGACTGACCTTAAAAAAAAGTTAAAAAAAAAAGAAAAAAAAGCGTTCCTTCGGGGAAAACTTTGCTCTCTAAACTTTAGAGAGCATCTAGCACAGTGGGAAGATCCCATGAAGGGGCCAGTGGTCTAGATGTAGGCAATAAACGCCATGCACCGTTCATGAAATGACACACTAAAGGATGTTGACCCACTGACTGCCCATCACAGCCAATATGGCAGGCAGAAATAGCTGACAAGTACACATTGATGGTTGAGAAGGCTTTACCTTTCGCAATAAGGTCCTGTAAAAATGACAGAATCACTGCTACAGAACACTGAAAAGGCCCAGCTTGTGACTCTGAGGACCAGCTCTCAAACACACGCCACTTATGCTCATATAACATCCTAGTTGAAGAGGCTCTGGCGCACTGAATGGTGTCAATAACACTATGAGGGAGTCCAACTGTATCAAAGTTGAGCCACTCATGGGCCATTCTCCACTGTTGCGTAAACATCCACGGTTGCCTGACCAAATCGCAACCAAAGCTGTTTCACCACTTGGGGGTGAAGCTTCCAGTCTTCATACAGTGGTTTTCCCCTGGATAACAGATCTGCCCCGTAATTCAGAATGCCTGGTACATGAGTCGCTCTTAGAGACTGCAGGTGTACACTGCTCCAAACTATCAGTCTGTGTGCCAGTGTGTGTAACTTGGGGGACCTGTTAATGTACGCCACCACGGTGGAATTGTCCGTCCTCCCCAAAACATGATGACCCCTCAACCAAGGAAGGAAGTGTTTCAGGGCTAAGTGAACGGCCAGCAGTTCCAGACAATTTATGTGGGTAGAATGCATGTGAAGGTCCCATCTCACATTCACTGTTCTCCCCTCGTGAGTGGCACCCCAGCCCACCAGAGAGGCATCTGTGGTGATCCCTTTCCTGGCCAGAACGGTTCCCAGGGTAACACCTTGAGTCAGGAAACCTGGGCTCTTCCACTGGCGAAGTGCTAGAGAGCAGTCTGCTGACACCCTCACCCGACGGTGGCCATCGCGGTGAGGATTTAGGCCCAGTGAGGCTACCCAGTGCTGGACGGCTCTCATATACAGGCGTCCCAGTGGTATGGCCACTACAGAGGAGGCCATCAGACCCAATAGCCTCTGGCATTGTTTGAGGGTAACCGTGTTTCCCCTGCGGAACAGTGCTAGGCTTTTCTGCATAGTATCCACTCTCTCTGGATAAAAATGCCTTGGCATGGACAGAATCCAGTGAGCCCGATGAAAGTTATGCATTGGACAGGCGTCATCATGATCTTTTCCACATTTATCTGAAACCTCAGATTCACCATGTGACGCCTGAGAGCTTCCATGTTGCCAGCCACCTCCTGGCGGGAAGAGGCTGCCACTAGCCAGTCGTTGATGTGACTCTCCCTGAGCGGAGCTATTGTCGCCTCAATGCATTTTATAAACACCCTTGGGCTCAATGATAGACCGAATAGCAGAACCACATACTCGTTGGCTATCCCCCGGAAAGTGAATCTCAGATACTTCCTGTCTAGGGGATAAATGGGTATGTGGAAATAAGCATCACTCAGGTCGATTGATGTGAACCAGTCCCCTGCATGCACGAACCGCAGCAGAGAAGCATGTTAACAACCTGAATTGTATTTTCTTAAATGGTGGTTTAGAGCACGGAGGTCCAGAATATAATCTATAATCTATAATCAGAGAACCGGGGTTATATTCATAACCTTAAGTTCTTTTTTCATAGCATTCGTTTCGTGTCTGACTATGGGAAAAGAATACTGACTCCCGGATTGCCAAACATGCCTGTAAAGAAGGCTGTCCCCAGTGGCACTTCACAAAGGGGGAGCCACGCTCTGAGAAGAGCCCACACTGAGGACTGAATGTGCCAGAGAGTTGGAGCCATTACATCCAACCTATAAAATCTAGCAAATGTGTGGCGTGAGGCCCAGCATGCAGCTGCACACACCTCTTCAAAGGAAACCCCTTTAAAGAAAGCCCACAAGGTTGCTAGAGCCCTGTCTAGCATAAGCTAGAAAAATAGCCCCTACTATCCAGTGGGAAAGACACTGTTGGGACACAGGCTTACCCATATGAGGTTTTGCCTAAGACAAAAAATAACTGATTACCCAAATAAATTTGTAGTGCACAAACCGGACACAGAGTATGCAAACGCCAGTGCTCCTCAGAGGAGAAAGGCAGGGGATAAAAATCGACCAGTTCTATAGGGGAGCATGAGTTCATAACCTTTGGGATAAAGGCCAGGTTAGGCTGAAGACTGACCTTAGCGTTCCCGGGGGAAAACTTGCTCTCTAAACTTTAGAGAGCATCTAGCACAGTGGGAAGATCCCATGAAGGGGCCAGTGGTCTAGATGTAGGCAATAAACGCCATGCACCGTTCATGAAATGACACACTAAAGGATGTTGACCCACTGACTGCCCATCACAGCCAATATGGCAGGCAGAAATAGCTGACAAGTACACATTGATGGTTGAGAAGGCTTTACCTTTCGCAATAAGGTCCTGTAAAAATGACAGAATCACTGCTACAGAACACTGAAAAGGCCCAGCTTGTGACTCTGAGGACCAGCTCTCAAACACACGCCACTTATGCTCATATAACATCCTAGTTGAAGAGGCTCTGGCGCACTGAATGGTGTCAATAACACTATGAGGGAGTCCAACTGTATCAAAGTTGAACCACTCATGGGCCATTCTCCACTGTTGCGTAAACATCCACGGTTGCCTGACCAAATCGCAACCAAAGCTGTTTCACCACTTGGGGGTGAAGCTTCCAGTCTTCATACAGTGGTTTTCCCCTGGATAACAGATCTGCCCCGTAATTCAGAATGCCTGGTACATGAGTCGCTCTTAGAGACTGCAGGTGTACACTGCTCCAAACTATCAGTCTGTGTGCCAGTGTGTGTAACTTGGGGGACCTGTTAATGTACGCCACCACGGTGGAATTGTCCGTCCTCCCCAAAACATGATGACCCCTCAACCAAGGAAGGAAGTGTTTCAGGGCTAAGTGAACGGCCAGCAGTTCCAGACAATTTATGTGGGTAGAATGCATGTGAAGGTCCCATCTCACATTCACTGTTCTCCCCTCGTGAGTGGCACCCCAGCCCACCAGAGAGGCATCTGTGGTGATCCCTTTCCTGGCCAGAACGGTTCCCAGGGTAACACCTTGAGTCAGGAAACCTGGGCTCTTCCACTGGCGAAGTGCTAGAGAGCAGTCTGCTGACACCCTCACCCGACGGTGGCCATCGCGGTGAGGATTTAGGCCCAGAGAGGCTACCCAGTGCTGGACGGCTCTCATATACAGGCGTCCCAGTGGTATGGCCACTACAGAGGAGGCCATCAGACCCAATAGCCTCTGGCATTGTTTGAGGGTAACCGTGTTTCCCCTGCGGAACAGTGCTAGGCTTTTCTGCATAGTATCCACTCTCTCTGGATAAAAATGCCTTGGCATGGACAGAATCCAGTGAGCCCGATGAAAGTTATGCATTGGACAGGCGTCATCATGATCTTTCCACATTTATCTGAAACCTCAGATTCACCATGTGTCGCCTGAGAGCTTCCATGTTGCCAGCCACCTCCTGGCGGGAAGAGGCTGCCACTAGCCAGTCGTTGATGTGACTCTCCCTGAGCGGAGCTATTGTCGCCTCAATGCATTTTATAAACACTCTTGGGCTCAATGATAGACCGAATAGCAGAACCACATACTCGTTGGCTATCCCCCGGAAAGTGAATCTCAGATACTTCCTGTCTAGGGGATAAATGGGTATGTGGAAATAAGCATCACTCAGGTCGATTGATGTGAACCAGTCCCCTGCATGCACGAACCGCAGCAGAGAAGCATGTTAACAACCTGAATTGTATTTTCTTAAATGGTGGTTTAGAGCACGGAGGTCCAGAATGGCTCTCAAGAGACTCCATCCCCTCGCAATCCAGCAGGGAGGCTCCCATGATGTTGTGTTTTCCGCTGTACGGCTTATCTTTCCACGTCACCGCTATCTCGTCGAGTATCTCCGGGAAGATAGGCAGCACTTGCTTCCCCTTCGCTTTCGGAAGTTTCTTGCCGTCAAACCGAGATTTTACAACCTCCGTTTGAATCGCAGGCCATGGGATGCCGAGCCTGGTGGCTGCGTGCTTGCACATATCCTGCTTGTCAAGATCCAGGGGAGACGACGGGAGGGGGTTGGTTACCCACCTCGGCAGTGCAGGACTTCGCACCCCTGCGAGGGTTAGCCAGTAAGATGGACTCGTCATCTTCATCGTCCGGCAACAGCGGCTCAGAGTCCACGGACTCCTCGCCACAATCGTCCATATCTCCCGCCAGGATGACATGAGCAGTGGCATAGCCCTCACATCCCTCGTCTGTCTCTTGAGATGGGAAAGTGGGGGCCAGGAGCTGGGGGTCTGTATCCGCCCAGCTCGATCCAGGTGTCACGGCCAAGCCCTTGGAGATGTCCACTTCTCCCAGCGACGCTGCTGCTGCTGCTTCACACATTAGCGTATCTCCACTCAACAGGCTAACCTGGCGGGCTAGCCGGCGGGGAAGTAGCGTACGGGGGAAGGCAGCGCAGTGGATATACTCAACATGTGGGTTAGGGCAGCCTGGGCATGGGGTAAGCCCAGACATGCCTCACACACAGGATGAGTGTCCCAGCTAGATATTTTATTGCCGCAGGGACAAAGCTTCAGGTTTTTTCCGACCTCACTGGGATTAATAGCCGTAGCCATGGTTAGCTAGTGGGCTTTAGACGTTAGCGGGGGTGTAAATTTGCTAAAAAGCTTTTGCAACTACTGGCCAAAAAGGGGCGAAAATATCGCTATTTTCCAAGCTAGCGTAGGTATGAAAAGTAAGGCTACTTTTCAGGAGGTATTGCTACCTGTTTTGGGCTAAACCGCTAACGCTACCTGTTATCAGGTATTGCTACCTGTTGCTACCTTATTAACAGAAGTAGTGCTACTTCCGTAGGGCAAAAGTATTGCTACTCTAAACCCAGGGCAGTCGGTGAAGAGTATTGCTACTCTTCTTAACTAGCAAGCAACCATACAGCTGGGAATTAAGCGCCCGGTGGCCGAGTTGTGCACCCGTGTCTATGGACAGTTTAGCTTAGCACCCAATAGCACAGTTATCTGTGAGTTGTTGTGATTCTGTGAGAAGCGAGAAAAGGTTTTTGAATGACGAATGACACTATGTCAGCTTATTATATAAGAGGAGGGTCCCATCCCCTCCTGACATAGATGTCATTAGTGCCAGCCAATTAGGGCTGACGTAATGTTATTTGAGCTTCTGACGAGGTCAGGCAGGTGGCGTTCCCCATATTGAGACACGAAACAAATGCTATGAAAGAGAACACACAGCATCACGTGACCTGGTGTCTCAAGGACCCTCTAATGAGGGCAGATGTGCTGAGATTAGTGACTGAGAGTAGTAACTGTGGAAGATACAGTGTTTAACAGCCGGGTTTTGGTCATATTAGTTCTGTTTGATGAAGTTGTTTTCCCCACTTACAATCTTTTGTAAAGGCCTGTTTATTTGGGGAGAGCTTCGGACCAGCTGAACCATCGAGGCTCATCAGACAGTGAGTAACAGGACAGCGAGTTGATGTCTAACACTATGGCATTTAGACCACAGGTCGGACTCAAACCCATAACCGCTGCAGCAAGGACACAGTCCCAGGCACGCACGGCACTAGCTCCACCAAGTTTTTTTTTTTTTACAGTTTGCCAAGAAGTGAGTAGACCTCCGATCTTGTCACTGAAAGGTCTTTTCTGCCCCAAAATGATTTCTGTGATACTGTAACATCCAGTTTCCAATTGCCAACAACTAGTTACAGCTCTTACCTGGTCACTAACAGCCTTAACATAACTTGATTTCACTCATGAGGGCTACATTTTAAAAATGACCGCTCACCCAGTTACATCTACCAGTTGAAATACTCTTTAAGGAGCAATACAACTAATCTGTGCCAAGGAGCTGTAACCACTTTGTGCCATTTCATGGGTTGTGTTGGCCATATAAATGTATTTGAACTGTTAACTAGGAGTGGACTGGTTATAATCTAGGCCATAGCAGGTAAAATAATGCAAGGTAATGAGGATTATTGCAAAAGAGATGATTTATTTATGTATTTAATACATTCATAAATCCTGGTAATTACAGTTTAATTTCCAAATATATTTCTACACATAGATATGAGACATACCAAACACACATAGGAAACAACAGTATAGATATTGCCTCTGCCCGGTTAGCTCAGTGGGTAGAGCTGGCGACCCATGTACTGAGGCTGAGTCCTTGCTACAGTGGCCCAGGGTTTGAGTCCGACCTGTGGCCCTTTGCTGCGTGTCATCCCCTCTCTCTTTCTACCTTTGGCTGTCTCTATCAGTTAAAGACAATAAATTAAAAAAAAAAAGTAAAAACATGTTTTAGATATAACCGTAAATATTTCATTAAAAAACTGATCTACCTTTTTAAAATAGTATTCAAATCAAAATATTACCAAAGACCTGTGCAGAATCCTGGTCTGTTTGAAGAAAATGAACAGTGTTAAAGAAGGTAGCTGTGAGAAATATTATTAGCATGTTAGCTTTAGTTTGTCACTATTGCTACTTATTTAATGTTAAAAGGAATTATTTATTTGCACAATGTAGTGTGACATATATCTGCCACTGCACGTCTGTGCACGACAGTAACATTGGCTTCATCCTTATTTTAGCCACTCTAGCGTTGTACATATTGTTAATAATATTTACTGTACGTTTTTCTGTGGTGTTTTTAGAAACCGAGCTACCTTAGCCTGGTTTAAATAGCTAGCTAAAGTTTGATCGCTATAGCCCTTTTTTACACTCTGTGCTTGCACCGTCTTGTGAAGGAGAGCAGTAAAGCTCAGACTTTATTGCTGCAAAATGCTACACACCCTGAACCAATTGGTGAACTGCCCATTTCGCCCACATCTCAGCATTAGCTGGAAATGAGTGAAAGCTCACAGAGGAGAACGTAGAGGCCTAAATAAGCAAATGTTGATTTTGTCTTCAATATGCAGTTTACTTACTTACACTGCTCTCCATCTTGTCAGTCAGCCCTCTGACTAGGTGGAAGAATTTCTCATTTTATGTCAAGGAAAACATGGATGTACTGCAGGAAGGTTGAGTCTCTGTTAAAAAATATAACAATGTGAAAAAGAGAACTTATTATATTAATATTAAGACTTGCAGGAAACTTCTGTTTAAGTTGTTATTAATTATGACCAAACCTCTGGATTGTCAGGACTGCAGAGAATCATTGGTGCCGGCCTGCCCTCCATTCAGGACTTGTGCATGTCTAGAGTCAGAAAACACAACCTGTTCCAACTTCTCCCCTCTGGTGGGCGCTACAGAACACACACATGAAAAGTTAACTTCAGACACACAGTTAAGGAACAATCCCTGTGACTCAAACATCTACTGTAGCTGCAGATTATTTATTTTCACTGTTGAAATTCAGTTTTCATTTTAAAACGCATAAATATCATTACTAAAGACATCTATGGAGACTTTCATATTCACCTACCTCCTGTATATAAAAATATAAGCTGAGTCAAGTGTTCCTTCTTTGTTGTCATGGAAAATGCAAATGTCATACAAAATATACTAAAGCTGCAGTAGGTAACTTTTATAAAAATAACTTTTTGTGATAATTGCTGAAACTTTCACTATATCCGGACAGTAGTACACGAGACAGATAATCTGTGAAAAACCAGCTTTCTCTGGCTTCTCCCAGTGCTCCTAATGACATTTGCAAGAATCCACTGGGCTTGAACGAAAACAACCAATCAGAGAAAAAATATCGATAGTTAACTGTTGAGTCTCAGTATTTAAAAACCTTGGTATTATATAACCTGGCAATGAGACTCAATCTACTATCTTTTTTTGGTTCAGATTTTTTCCATTTATGCCAGGTGATTCTGTCTCATGTACTACTGTCAGGATGTAGGGACAGCTTCAGCAAGCATGTTAATTTATAAAAGTTCCCTACTGCAGCTTTGAAGTCACAGAAACTCATACTCACATTCTTAATCCACAGTGAACTGCAACAGCTCAGGTGATGGAGGAAGATAAGAGGAGACACAATTTACAGTCAATAAGAGAGCCTCCTATATATAGTTTTTTTTTTTGTTTTTTTTAATTTTTTTTTTTTTTTAAATTGATTTTTGGAAAAAAAGGATTTTTTTTTTTTTTTGGGGGGGCCGGGGGGTGGGGTGGTTCTCCGGCCCCCCTTTTTAAATTAAAAAAAAATTAAAAATTTTTTTTTAAAATTTTTTAAAATTTTTTTTTTTTTTTTTTTTTAAAAAAAAATTGAAGTGGGGGGGAGAGGGAGGATGACATGCAGTAAGGGGACACAGGTTGGACTCGAGCCCAGGCCACTGTGTATATGGGTGAACAGCTCTACTGACTGAGCCAACCAGGCGCCCTTTCTGAAGAGATTTTAAGCAAGAAATAGTCAATGCAGTAACAGAATCTTCAGTTTGTTGACCTGGATGGACTCACTGAGAATGACCTGTCAATCACAAAATAGCCACGCCCTAAAGCATACCCTGCTTTATGGTCTATTTTACTCTAAATGGGACCATCATTTACTAAATGAACATCATGGTGTTTGGAGGAAGACTGAAAATAGAGACAGAGACCATAAACTCATTAGGAAACTGTTTACTGACATAATAAATCAAGTGAGAAGTCGGCTCATTTCTCCATTAGACTGCATGCTATTGGTCTTTAATTTTGGCCAATGAAGCTCCCCCTGCTGGTCAATAGAAAGAATGCATATTTATGACACTTTGCAGACCGGGAAGCTTGGTCCATTATACATAGGGGAGAGTGGGGTAAGATGAGCCATTTTTCATATTTAGGATCACTACATCAAGGCAATCATAGTTTTGTCGCTAACTAATATATCTGCATATATTTCAGGATGATGTGCATCTCTTCAAACAAACAGAATGAGTGTAAACCTAACTGTTTTGATAATATAGCATGTCCATAAAAAAGTGGTCTCGTGGCTCAACGTACCCCGTGTATGAGGTAAGTAGAGCCATTCACTTTCAAGAGTGAAAAAGGATTTTTTGGAAATAAATATCTAACCACTTTACCCATGTGGTTCTTACATTCACAGACTCCATGAAATGATGCCTTCCTCCTAAATATTTGGTCACATGATCAATGTTTTTTACCATTTCCTAGCAACAAGGGGTGACTCAACTTACCCTTTGGCTCCCCTACTGTCAATTTCTCAACCCGGAAGTAGGTGATACTAACTGGAAATTTAATTTAAATCGATATGGGTTGATAAAAGTTGCTATATTTATTAGAAAACTAAAAACTTTTTTTAAATTTTTTTTTATGAAAGTTGCTCCATTTATGGATATTGACACATTATACTTTGATGATAGTCACTTGTAGAAAAGCATATTACAGTATGAAACTAGTTTACACAATGATATACATTCATTTCTCTCTTTTTGTATTCTAAGTCACAAGTTACAAGGCAGAAACTTGTTCTCACGTTCTTCATCTACAGTAAACAGCAGCAGCTCAGGTGATGAGAGAAAGACAAATTTCTTTGAAATAATAAATAAGTCATATTATATGGTTAAACAGGTGTAGCATACAATATGAGACTTTTTTTTCCTCAGTGAACAGCAGCAGCTCACGTGGTGGAGGACGATGAGAAGAGAGACAGAAAAAAGACATCAAATAATCAAAATAATCTTGACTAAGCTATATTATACGGATAAACAGAAAATTGTACCTACTTTTTTGGTCCATATGAAGTGAGTGAGTGTTAAATCCAGGGTTGGTGGGTTGATCTCCTTGTTCTGTTCTGTGTTCTGTGTCTGTTTGCTTCTGAAGGAAAATTTTTGTTTTGTTCTTATTTCTGTAGCTCCCCCTCCATTTTCTCCTCCTGAACACACAAACCCGAGAGGATGGCGCCTGCCCTGCCTGACATAAAGCCTACGTGCACGGGCTGTCGACAGCCCTACCAGACGCAAGGGCTGTCCCTGGAGTCATTGGTCCTGCCAGACGCAGAGGCCAGTCATCAGTATCAAAGGAAAGTCGATCCAGCAGCCACGCCAAAATGTAGAAATGGGACGAACGGGCCCTGGTGCAAGACGCTACCTGGGGTGTCTTCTGCCCTGCCAGACGCAAGGGCTGTCCCTGGAGTCACTGGTTCTGCCAGACGCAGAGGCCAGTCATCAGTGGCTAAAAAGGGTCCCTGCAGCCATCCTAACAGATGCTGTAGTAGTGAGGAAGGACATGGATTGTCAGCCATTGTGGAGTTAGTCCGAGTCACCCTCATCGGACAGCCTCGGCCCTTAAGGGGCGACCTGCTCCTCGTCTCTGTCTTCCCTGCTCCTCCTCCTTGTGGAGGACCCGAGGCCAGAGGTTAAGGGAGATTGAGGGTCTTCAATGCTGAAGAATTCTAAACACTCATCTGCAGAGAGTGGCCTAAGAGTCTCAATTTCAGGGGCCTCAGCCACAATCTCTTCAGGCACAGCAGCAACATCCAGCCCATCATCAGAATCTGAGTCAGAATCAGAGTCAGAATCAGAGTCAGAACCATCTGGGAAAGGATGAGGATCAGCAGGGGGAGGAGCATTGTAAAAAGCAGGAGGAGCAGCATAAGGAGGACTGTAAGGAAAGGCTAAAGGAGGAGCAAAAGGAGGAGCATAAAGAGGAGCAAAAGGAGGAGCAGGACCCTGCTGTCCCCCGTCTTTCCCAGCATTTGGTGGTGGGAACTGCTGAAGTGGAGGAGAGGGAGGTCTGGCCTTTTGTCCATCATTGTGATCCAGTCTCTCCTCTCTCTCTTCCCCCCCCCCCTTCCGGGAGAGAAAAAACCCCCCACAAAAACCCCCCCCACCAAACTTTTTAAAAAAAAACCGCCTGAATCACATCCTGATCACCCAAACCGGTGACGGCTATCTCCTCTTCGTCTTCCTCGTAATCAGGGAGGAGTGAAGGATCCTCGATGAATCTGTCCTCTACAGGTCTTTCAGTATCAGGGTGTTGAGTGCTGGTGTTCAGAGGCCAAAAGACGCCACCTGAGGGGGAACAAAGTATTAAAAAGTCACATTCTTTTTAGGCAGAAATAATGTAAAAAAAAAAAAGGTTCAAATAATAAAGCTTTAAACATGTATATTCCCATGGACACACACTATGTGTTAATACTGTACTGCACCAGGTGCTTCATGAGCCCACTGTAGAGAAGCCATCAACACACAAGGTCAACCTCATGTGAACTATGTGTTTGTAATGATCACTGTCTCCAACACAATAAACTGTAGTGTCAATCACTAGAGATATTAACCCCATAATCCTCAGAGAAGGAACAATGAATTAGGTGTGTTACCTAAATAAACGTAGCAATATTTAAAAATACTCCATTACCTAATTCACTGTCAGTATTAAATGTAATTTATATATGTTATTATATGTATGTATATTATTAATACTGCTCAATTACCATGAAAGCAGCCTTTGGTAAATTGCTGCATTTACATAAACTCTGGGTAGTTTTATCTGTAAAGAGGAATCATATGTTTCATATCAGTCTCACTTTATAAAAGGAAATATGCATTGTTTTCCACAATGTATACCCTCTAAACAAAAAATGCCATAATTTGATAAAAAATATAAGATATAATATATTTTGTAAATTGTTGTCTGAGAAAATCTTTTTCAGTCTCAATTTTTCTTCTTCAAACTTATTTTGTCAAACAAAAAAGAAAATCATATGGTGCACACTGAACTGCGGTGCCTCGATTAAATCACACGCAAATAACGACAGAGCCTCTCCAAAATAAGCACACAAACTGCACCAAACTAGTTCAATACTGATCCGGTGACAGTTTCAGGTGGAAATCACAGGGTGTGAAGGAGACAGACTGGACGCAACCACTGCGGGACAAACTGTCCTCTCCTCTACCTCGAAACAAAAAATCTTCAGGTACAGGATGGAAATGGTGAAAAAGCAACACATATCACTCTCGTCTATCCTGAGAGTGATGACTGAACACAGCAGCTCAGACTGTATGTGCAATAACAGTCAGAGCCTTTATCTGCCTCACTCAGGCTCCTAACATCCACCTGTTCCTGCGTTTGGACTGAAATACATTTATTCTTCATTCCTCTTAGAAACGTTGAACTCTAAAAGGACTGACAACAGCTCCGGATACATTTAAAGCTTCAACGATAACAATGAGCAAACTCAGCGGTCCACATTCAGGAACACCTGCACATTGTTACGTCCTGAGCTCAGCTCCTTTAGAAATGTTCCACTGTCTCCATGGTGCACGAGAAAACTTTTTTTTTTTGCATTGTTCGAAAAATGGCCCACCATTGCTAACACAGTCTGCAGCTTTCCGGGGACAATCGCACATTCCTACCCTCTTATATATTTATTTTACACCGAGAAAACAATTGTGTGTGTGTGTGTGTGTGTGTGTGTGTGTGTGTGTGTGTCTGATGTCTGAAAGGAATGTGTAAAATTTTACAGCTTTTGGCCCCAAACTTGGGTGGCTGGGCTTCTTTGCCAACTCTATAGATCCTCTCCTGACAGTTAGCAGTCTAATAAAGTCCTTCTGTGTACTGGAAATCATCCTTTCATTAATTCCTTTGAAACAGTTAATTTATATGAAGGACAAAAATATGACATAAGTATAAATAAAATGATACTAATTATTCTTTCACATTCACATTACTATAAAGACATTTTAAATGTGAATTTCATCTGATCTCAGTTTCTACTCTGATACCTCCAACCACTTATATCATATCTGTAATTCTAGTAGCCTGTATTTATTTAGTAACTTACTTTTTCTTGTTTCATTGTGTTTCTTTTTATAGTTACTTCTAATTGTATTATTATTCTTTTGTTTGTTTTTGTCGTTTTTTTTGTTATAGTTGTTTTTCTGTAATACCCTGTTGCTGTCATTTGAGTTACCTTGTCATGTTTCACGTCTTCCTGTCCTAATGCTAATCATGTATCTTGCACTAAATAAAAATACCATTTCTACATCTATATATTTCTCTATTTCTTTATTTATACCATTGTTTTTTTGTCCTCCATACATTTATGTATAGAGTGATCATTTAGCACAGGGCTACACAAACCATTTGATGCCGGTGTCCACTTGAAGGGGAGGTAATTGACAATTGACCCACATATTTTGAAGAGCTTAAAATAATGAATATATTTGATATTGATCTGAACATATGTTGATAAAACCATAATATACAGGACACCTGGGTCAGATTCAGATTAGCGCTGTGTAATTTACCAATATAACATCATGATGGCTGCACAGTGCTGTGTGGGTACCATTATAATATCATATGGTTTAAATGACCGCTGAGACTTACACTCGACCTCCAGCTCTTATCTTGACTCACCTGAAGGAAATGAGTAACTGATGAGTTTTCCACGTCCATCTCCACTTGGCAGCGTTTCAATATCCTCCACTAGCTAAATGCACTCAAAGTATTCTGACAGGGGGAATTTTCATTCACATTTTAATGCCATAAAGTTTCTAAACTTCCTCTGCCACACCATCCTCACAGCTCATGTGCTCTTTCCCCACGCAGCAGGTAAGGCACAGGGGTAATTAATCACATTCATTAATGAGTTTCCTTGCAGAGCCCAGCTCACTGGTTCCCAACCGTTTTCCTTAAGAAAGCCCTATTCTATCATTGTGTGAACTGACGGCCCCTGACTGTATGAGTTTGTATAACAATAACAGTAGAGAACAGCTGATAAAGTGTACAATGAACCTAACCAGTGAACACAATAACTGCAGGAAGTTTGTGTAAAACCAGAGATTTCGATGAATTTTGATTATTTCCATCATCATCTTTTTATACAATTCTCTGTCTGTTTAGTTTTATATTTTATTTTATTTTATTTATTGCCTTTACTTGACAGTGACAGATCAGTTGAACTCTTGGCCGCTGCAGCAAGGACATGGAGTCTCAGCTCAGCCAGGTGAGCCATCAGGGCAGCCCAGTTTTGTCTGTATGATGTATTTTGTTGTTTTTTAACAGTCATACAGACTTAATGGACTACTTCTTCTTTGACAAATTAAGTGTTTCCTTGACGCTTGTCCATTGTTCTATTAGCTCTGTGGTTGTTTTAACTTTTCTAATGTAGGACGAAGCTGTTTATCAGAGACTGAAGGCTCTGTGAATAAATAATAATCTAAACTTTAAAAAAAATTGTATAATAATTTTCTCCAAAGAAATGAATAAAATGCTGAGATATAGGCCTACTGTGTATCTTTTTAAAGTTTTTTTACACCCCTTAAAATCAAGAAGGCCTTGTGACCCCCCATGAAGGTTTGTCGACCCCTAGGTTGGGAACCAATGCCCTAGCTTACAGTGAGCTTGTTGACAGTGAGAAGAAGAAAAGTGTGATGAGGTAGCTCATGTGACACACAGTGTAAGTTACCCTCCCCTTTCAGTAATGTCACAGCCATGGCTGTGCCTCTGTTTTGTCCCCTTGTTTTCCTCTGTCTGTCTCTGTGTCTGTGAGTGGGAGTGGCCTCTTTCCCCAGTCTGGCTCCTGGTTCTGCTTTCACTGCACACCTGCCTGCCATCAATCAATCACCACCAGCAGGAAGATTGTGGGTTCGATTCCCGGCTGGGGAAGGGCCTTTCTGTATGGAATTTGCATGTTCTCCCTGTGCTCCTCATGACAAGAATCCAATGTGCCTACATGAAAATGACCAATCGGAGCCAAGAAAGGCTGTCAAATACCAACTGTGGGAATGAGACTCCAGAATGTGCCCAATGTGTCTTCTATCTTTCTCAACTCTGATTGGTTGTTTTTGTTGCGGCCAGGTGGATTTTGCAGCTTTAACAGTGATCAATGTGAAACATGAAGTTAATAGTAATTATTAAACAGTCTCTCATTGGGCAAACTTCTAGTCAATAGTGGAATTAAACTATGAACTGAACCCCAGATTGAGAACCACTGCTTTAACTCACTGCAAAGAAAATACCTCTACATCTTTAAATGTAAAGTGCATCAAGTGCCGAGAACCACTTTGCTGAATAACATGAAAAGTCGTCTTAGAAAATTTAAACATTTTAATAAATAAAAACTGATGTAATATACACCATTATGAATATACAACTACAACAAGCATACCAAGACATCTGAAATACAAAAAACTGACAGTTCAATTTAGTTGCTTCAAAAGCTTCAATTTTTAGGAAGAGTTGGGGGTGAGCAGGAATTACAATAGCCATACATTCTTGTTAGTGTTTGTGCCAACAAATATAAAAAGCATCATGAGTACTGACTTCTCAGAGATGGTGAACATAATAAAAACGGAGTATCTGGACTGAAGATTTCCATGAAGAGACATTTTGAGGTACTGAGTTGTCTACGCCTGTAACTAACAGTGATCACACTCACACAGTTGTTTTCCAGAAGGTCATGATGACACAAACACGTTGGAAATAGTCTGTAACTCAAACCGGTTGTACACATCTCAGGAAGACTGAACAATTAAGAGGAGACAATGAGTTCAGTTTGTTCTTCTTCCACTTGTATTGCATTTTGTGATGAAAAAAAAGAGAGCTTCATGTGACTTACATTAACATAAAGTTTTCATTCTCCAAAAAGTTGAGTTGAGTGTTCGCATAATCTTTTGAACTAAACAGCATCTTTATAACACAATATTTCAATGCTTTCTCCTTCAAAGGTCTTCAAACATAGTAACACTGCAGGTCCCTTTAAAGCAACAGCCTCCATCTAGTAGTGGGGTTTGGAGTAGTTTGGAACCGGTGCCATTGACATGTTGATGTTGCTCATACTGTACAATAAAAGGGTTCCTGCAGTGGGGGTTAGTATGTTTTACTCGACCTGATAGAAAGACCATAGAGGGATGTGACTGTCTTAAGATGAATACCGTATCAAAAGTTATGGTGAGCATATCTGTTCACTCAGCACCAAACACAATGTGTGGATACTATTTGCAACCACCAATACGTTAGACTTTGAAGCACTGTGACCAAAATTAACAAGAAAACTGTAAACTCAATCCCAAGAAAATCATTATATGACGTGTGTATTCAAATTAAAATTTCCTTGCTTTGAAATTTGCCTCTCCAAATGTTATCTGACCTCTGTATTCCCTGAAGCCAAAGAAAACCATCCGAACACACGACCGAAGCGGGTCACATGACGGCTTTCCGGCCAATCGGCACCCTACAGTACAGTACAGGATTATGTAGCTACATTTTGTCTGAAGCAAGGAAATAACTAACTTAAAAAAAAGCACCACGGATGTTTTCAAATAGCACCAGTTGTCAGAATGTGTATGACGTGTGTGTGTGTTGTTGTTTTTTTTGGCAATGTACAGCACTGAATCGAATGTCACCAATGTCTGGAGTAACTTTTAGCTGCTGCTGCAATGCTCAACCTCCACTTTTGAACGAAAGGCAACAGAATGTTCATCTTGCACATGCTTCTGTTTATAACTGAAAAACAAACGGAAAGCAAATGTTTGGATCCCCTTATGTCAGTTCAAAGCAGCATCATGAAGCACTGTGTCCGTTACATACATACGGTAAATACACGCTGTGAAACATTTCTACCTTTGTGAATCAGATACATTAATATTTATGTGCTCTGCCGTGATACAGATTGCAAGAGAGCACCATAGTGAGGAAAAAAAGAATCTCACTGTTCCTTCATGCCAAAGAATATATATAAAAAAAGATGAATGTGTGATTGCAGAAGCCAAAAACAACAAACTAGCGAGGAGCTAAATCACTGACCCCAGAAGAACAAATGATACGATGATGGCCCACAAATAATTCAACAATTACATTTGCTATTCACACCAAATGGACGTTGCTATAATAACTAGTTTGCTGTATCCTTCTCTGAGAGTCTGTGTGTAATAGACAGTGAGATATACAGTACAGTGGCAGCCATTTTGGTGCACCATTCTCTTTTGTTTTGTACACAACTGAAAAGCTCAGACAAGCTCATATTTCTCTACTTTGTGTACGATTCTGCATCGCTACAGTATAAAGCAACAAATGGATATAAAAATAATAGAATATAGACTTATACATTCTTGAAAACAAGTACTGTCCCCAAATATAGATACTCATATAACCATTTTGGTTCCATGACAATATATATGTATATTTATATATCTTTTTTTTCTTTATATTTCCTGCCTCTATGATATTAAATTCTTAAACTAATTTCTAGCATTTAGAAGATTTTCCGTCACTCACATATAGACATTGGTCTGTTACATCATGTTATAATGTGACACTGAAGCAGACCCTACACTACTCAGTTCCCACTCAATCTTCAGTATAGTTGATGTGCATTGTATTTTCTTCTACAAAAAAATATATATGACAAGGTATGCTTTTTTGAGATATTATTTACACGGCGTTACCAAACTTTCTGTTTGAAAACCTCAAACCTGTAATGCCTTTTCGTACACTCAAGTTGGGACAACTGCTGATACGTTATAATATCTCATCACCTCCCTCCATGTTGCTGTGTTGATGCACTGATGGCGAGTGTCTGCAGCATCATGCAAAGACTGACTTTAAATGAGCTGGGCTGTGTCTCAGGGGTAGTTCAGATGAAGGTCTCAGCCTGTCCTTCCTGCCAGTAAGAGATGACATTTCTGCCATTAGCTCTTGTTTTGGTTTTAGCATCTATTATAATATCCCCTCTTCTTTTAAAGGATGTTGTTGACATTAAAGAAAATGTCCTCCGAATGAGTCTCTCAAAGTCTGACAGGTTCAAATGCATAACCTTCTGCTCATTATAAGGACAGTTGAATAACATTTTTCCTGCGAGCTATTATTTCATCTGAAACGGCATAGTGATTTTGATGTTTTACATTGCACTGTATCATTGTATAAATTTGCAGTTTGTGGCCAAAATGTTAAGATAATATTGTGAGGATGAGTCAAACTACCAATATGTCTGTTTATTTACAGAAATCGCAATGATATGATTAAACTGTATCACAGCATATGTGTAGAAATTGCTCATTTTGGACTAAAATTTCAAATATTTGCATTAATGTAAATTACATGGCAGTTTTAGGTGCAGTGAGCATCCGGAGCAACTAAACATGTTCCATGAAGTTAAAAAAAAAAAAAACTTTTTCCTGCGCGGCATGTGTTAGCACCAGAGATTCTCCACTCTTAGCCTATGGGATAAAAGCCTATTCAACATGTCAAAGATAAGTCTCAAAATGTGTAAAGCCGGAGCCGAACTCGTCAGCCCCAGACTTGAGAGTGATACAGTACTGAGATTTTCTTTACAAATTGTCTTCTAATGAATGATCAAAAATTATTTTTTTTTTCCTCACCACACACTAATTCTAAGCTATATTTGTACCGCACCATCAACTGCTGGGGCCTCTTATGAGAGAGTTACAGTATATATGTAGAATCAGCCTCACTGTGGTATCCATTATCATTCTGAGCTATTTCACAGAGTCAATCATTGTCTAAGGTTACATCTATATACTGTACGAAACACAAGTCAGACTGCAGTTTGACAAACAGAGCATCAAAATTGACTTTTTTTTCTTTTTACTCCAGACTACAGTTTGTGAGGTAACGTTCAACTAACGTGTTACTATAAAATATATCAACTGATAGACATCAGAGAAGTAGTAAAGAGCAACTGTACCTGCCCTAATGACCATCTAGAAACAGTTCTGAGTGCTGTGACAGCTTCAGATGCACTGAACTCTTTAGACTGCATGGCATGTGCTTTAATTACATCTCAACTGCTGTGACAAACTGCCAGAAGGTTGAATTTAATGATCTTGCAATTCAAATTTACCGTAAAACTTCTAAAGTCCCAAATGCTAACGTTTTGACAAATAAATGCAGGTCTCCAATAGAGGCCTGGTCTGGATTTAAGTTCTTTAGATGTATAAAACCTCTTAAAACCCACTGGGTTGCTTGCTTGTGTGACTTCTAAGCTGCTTAGATCACCTACACATAATTAGATCAGTCAGATTTCCCACAATTCAATCTTTTGGTACATTTTACAGAAACTATGAGCACCAAAGTATAATTCATTCAGATTTACTAGCATGGTAAACGTGCTGACTCCTTTAAAGCGGTCATAAAACCTGTACCATATGTGTCCATTCCTTGATTATTTATATTCCTTTAGTCTGTAAAAGTCCACCCATTAAAAGAATAAAAGGGTTAATAAAAATTAATCAGAGTTATGAATTTGTCATGTCAGAGTTTTGTGCTAAAGGAATTAAACGCCTGGCCCAAATAAAGGAGAGTGAAGAGTTCTGTGATTTAAGCCAATGAGCGCATCGACTATTATTAGAAGTTTTACGGTAGTTTCATTATCAGCCAGAATAAGAGTACAGCAGATTAATTTGACGATTCAAACTGGTTAGGATTGTTTTTTTTTCCAGTGCAGCACTGGAAAAACAGCATTTTATAGTCAGTTTAAAACTTACATTAACCTTTCAGGTAAACATAGCTGATGCTTTCGCTTCATAATTCAGGTCTACACCGATCATCTGTTGTCACACTTTCCTTCCAAATAACAGCTACAGAATGTTTGCTCTGCTATTCCCCATTTTTGTCAGTAGCATTCACATGTTTCTACCATGCAAATAACATCTTTCACTGTACACTATGTACATGGACGCAGTTCTCAGTGGCACATTAAGAGGTATACAGTACTTCTTTGTTGAGGCAGATCTGACCTTGCCTTCGGCTTTGTTAAGATGCCTCACCCATCTAGCTCACACTGTCTTCACACTTCACATTAAGTCTCTTTAAAGCCCTTGGCGATAAAAGAACTGTACAGTCACACAAAGCTACAATTTCCCACCACTGCAGCTTTGAGGGGCTGTCTTGTGACCTTGAATTTTCTGGGTTCTCTCAAGTTTTGATGGTATTCATTGCCTCTATATTGATTCGAAACATATTAAAACAAAATCAGAACCACTGACCCTTCACTGTGTATAGAGCAATGCATGTTTCAGTTCAGTTCAGTTAGTTTTGGATGTTGTTTCCCCAAAGCATTCTGATATATATACTGGCTTTGAGAAACACAGTCACAGCAGCATCTACATAAAAAATATTTCCATATTGAAATAAAAAAAAACTGGAAATATATTTGATATTCATTTTTGTACCTGCATGCATATTATTGACCAATTTTAATAAAATATGCAATTTCTTATTTTACATTTTACAATATATAGACTAATTACATCTACAAATTTCAATAAAGAATTCTCTATATTTGAGGTCTTTCTCCACATCTGGCTGCGTTTTGGCTTCTTTTAAATTACAACTTGTTCAGTTGAGAAAGTGCATCAATTATAATTTCGCAGTTAATTCCTCAAGAAAACTACATGATGAGGTACAGTATGTACATTAGAAGCATTTACTGTAAATACCATTAGTTGTTGTTTTAAATTTCTGGTTTAAACTCTTTAAAGGAAGTTGCAGGACTTTTAGACACCTATTCTGATCCAATATTGATTCCAAAAAATCATTGTAGAAAATTGCAATTGTTTTGAAAGAATTTGTTGTTGCAACGATAGCCCTAATAGGGCAATTCATTGTTAATTGATGGCGATGACGCTGTTCCTTTAGTGTGTTTACTTTGTCCACAGTGTTATATGCAATGACTTCTTCAACAGAACAAATTCCCTCCAGGGCTCTGCCAAGAGGACCCACAACAACACAAACATCAGAAGGTCTGCAGTGTAACATTCAATAAAGCAAAATGTCCTTTTGAAAGGAAACCATGTCACTCTTCTTCTAACAACTGCCTTTGTATAAATGGCACAAAAGCAACGATATGTGCATCGCTGTAGGTATGCCATAAGAAAGGCGAATAAGGAAGAAGAGCTCCTTGTTTCTCTTTCAGTGTGATTTTGAATCCAACCACTACTCCAACAAGCGCCTTCTAACCACAGGTTGATTCAAACGTGGGCACAATGCAGCCTTTTCTCCTTTATTTATATAAATAGTCCCTAAAATACATTACAGAAATTACGCCGTTGGGAAAATGGAAGTGGAATTATTTCTATGGAAGGACCACGCACTAGTACAGCATTACTTCATGGTTTGCTTAGCACCCTAGGCTGCAGTCTTACAAAGAAAATGTTACATGCTAGTTCAATTTTCCCTTTTTTCTTTAGTCGTAGCACTCATTAATAAATCGCTGCAGTTGTGTCTGGGACTTAGTGATCAGTGATGTAGGTGTTCTATATGCATTTTCAAGCCACTTCACTCACTTGTATTATTCGTGCTGACTTTGTTATCTTTGGAAGTAGAGATTGTTGTTTCACTTTAATTACAGGTTACAGTCATATTCACAATAAGTGCATTAAATTCACTAAATGCTTAAATGTTAGCCACCAGATGCTCCAACCTAGGAGACATAATAATTACATCATTGATAAAGGCACTAGCTTCTTTACTAAAAGGGCTGCTAAAGCAACCCGGATGCATCTGTATGATGCATTTATTAACTTTTTTTCCAGTATGCCAGATATGGTCATGAGCTGAATTATTTTTGCTTGTTTATTTATGTATGACAGTTAGTATTCCCTGTTTCATTAAATTTGTTAATGAAAGAAATCACATCTCTTCTACACTCCTCCTGCACTTTAAGACTCAAATATGAGAGGACCTTTTGAAACCGTTCCTTCTGCAAGCATTTATTGTGGAAATATGAAAGCAACCACATTTAGTCACTTCAATTTTGAGATTTTAGAAGGCTATGTTGGAGTTGTAGCTGTGGCAGAATCTGCTCAAAATCACAATAAAAATGTATACAAATAAATAAATACATAAAAACTGAACATACCTATGAGCAATCCTACTCCAAACACACTTCAGCAGAACATGGACACTGCTTTCTTGCCTTATCAGAAGCCCAAGATATGTTACTGTAACATCTACAAATGAACACACCGTCTGAAGTAAACTGAGCACCTTTTGAACAAAACTGAAAGAAAAAACCCAGCAACAAAAGCTTTAACTGTTACAGTACACACCCATGTGTTATTGAATCTAAAATATGCATGTGTAATGTGTGATAGTTTCTAATGTTATGGCACTTCCTTTACTTGTCCAATAAAAAATTATTTTAGCCCCTTAGTATCCACATTTCCATTTGAATTATCTCAGGAATCTTTTAAAGTAAAACTGAGCAACATGTAAACAAAAGTGCTTACACCAGTGTAGCATATAACGAAAACTTTTGGCTCACTTTGTGTTGTCTTCAATGTCACATACTATTTGTTTGAGGAATGACTGTACTCAGCATTTCCATTTCAAATGACAAGCACATAAAGAGACAAAATACAAAGGCAGTGAATAGAAAATGGCAAAACGAGGTGGGTTCTTACACACACGCACAGACACACAAATAAAAAATAGAAATAAAAAATTAGACACAAGTGAAGCAGGCTAACCAACCACAAGCTCCATTAAGGCCAAACATAGCCATTGTTTTTTATGCCCTCTAATATGAAAAAAATACTATCATATACTATGGCACAAAATCTTATCCTCCGCTATGTATGGTTGGTTGTTTTAATTGAATTGTTTTTGGCATACTATAGTTCTTTCTGAAGCCTCTACACTACCTAAAGAAGAACTGGAGGAAATGTACAGGAACAGACACAAATCTAAGGGAATTGACAAGATTTTGCTCCAGTGCAAACAGCAGTTACGAGATATGAGAAGGTAAAGACAGAGCTATGGAAGCCCTGAAAGGCAAGTGAATTTTAATTTTTTTTTGTCACAATCCTTTTTTTTTAACAAAACACTTTACTTTTTTTTCCAAGGTAATTTGTCTTTGTTTACTTTTTGCAAGGAAGTGCAAGTTCCAAGAATAAATATTTACCTTTGAAAACCAGTGATAAAGAATGCATCTGCTTTCACATGTGAAAAAGAAAAAATGTAAACTTAGAAAAAAGATCTTTCACTAGTTTTCACAGTCAAAACCAAACAGTTAAAACCAAGAAAAATTGCTCCTGTGGAGAAAAAAAAATCGGCTGCCGTTTTCACTTGCCTTTCAGGGCTTCTGTACAGAGCCGTTGGAGCAACAAAATGACTTTCTATAGAATAACTAAAAGTAATTGAATTACCACCACTTCATTGTGCATGTTAATAGTTTGTTACAGGTGTGTGAAATGCACATGTACAGTAAGCCCCTGGTGAAACTGCTGAATGACATCTGTTCAATAAGAAATTACAGATAGTGAAAGTTAATAGAATTCCTTCTGTAAGCCAAGAAAAGTAGTTCTGTGGTGTGTTCCTGTTTGTCAGACACTCACGTCAAGCCCACGTCCTGATCATTTACGACAGAGCAAAAGAGATGAGCAAATCAGCATCATTCTGCAAGATAAATAAACTGAATTAACTCAACGAAAGTACGTCTAACAGTAGACAAGTAGAAGTACATATAGGAATGGAAAGCTGGAACACGTCATTATAAGAAAAGGAAGTGGAACACAATAATGACTAAAGAGATGAAAAAGGCTAGTTTGTTCTGCTGGCTGATCCTGGTGGTTGTGTGGTCTCGTGTCCTGTGCTCTGAGGTATACTTGGTAGGAAGTGAGAACACCCATATTTGTGAGGTGAGTTTTCTCGGCAGATAAAAGACGTTGCTGGCGGAGAGGATCCCGTGGAAGTTGCTGTAAACGGAGACCCGCTGGGCTTTTTTTGGGGGCTGTGGGGGAAGATTGGCTCAGCACAAGAAACATGGCCCATGCCTGGAGAAGCCTTTTAAATTAAAAGTGGTAACACTGGAGTAGGAATGCTGGGATTTTAAAGAAACAGGAAAATCGGGAATCGTGTATTAACTCTTTGTATTCATCTTTTTGCACTGGAGTAAAATTTTTGGAAAACTATGGCAGCTATCATTTTGATTTGAATTAGTAAGTCTGAACTTTTTATTTATACTTTTTTAAAAAGGGAATACTACTTGATTTAAGCACGCATAGATCATTCTTGTGCATTTGGGCATCAAAACCACTAGTTGGGAAAACAATCAAAACTTTTTCAGAGGGGAAACCATCGAACCAAGACGCCAATCTGTGATGCCATTCCAATCACCAATGCTGCTATTTCACTGACAGTAAGCTGGGACCAGCATTTTCAACATAATCAGAATTTTTTTTAAGAAAAAAAATATTTTGGTTTCTGAAAAGAATTATTTTTTGGTTCTCAATCTGATTTCTGATTCTTCCAAGTATATTTGTTGCCATTACAGATTAGCTTGTGAACCTGGCAGAATGCTCACTAATGCAGATTGAACTGACCAAGGGAATAGCTACAGAATAAACCAAATCTGAATGCTCAAATTTAGTGCTATTCCCCTTTATAGATAATAAATTGCAAACAACTTTAATTAATAGTGTTTTTTTTTCATCTTGTAGCTAGTGTTATTTTGGAATGGGGGCGTATTGCATGATTGTGACCTTGTCCTCAAGGGCTTTTAGAGGAGGGTGGCATGGTCGAGGTCTATGTTGTCCATGCTGGCCAAAATAGCCTTCTGGTCCTCCCGGGGTGGGCGGCGGTACAGCAGAGCAGAAAAGCGAGTATATGGGTCATGGAGGATGGGCCGTTTCTTCTTCTTGCGGAGGTAGAGAGCTTCTTCGGGCTGGAGTACCTGAGAGGTGTAGGCCTGCTGGGTCTGAGAGGTGGAGACACCTGGAGGAGGGGAGAAAGGCAGATCATTGCCAGCAGAAGTCGTAGTGGTAATGTTTATAGGCAATTCTGAACAATAATCCCAATAACTGACTGTAGTAGTTAGGGATGAGCAAGTACAGCATTATCTGTATCCATGGCTTCAAGCAACTAAATTATCTGTACTTTTGTCCGTACTCGGAGTAGGTGGGGATTAAACTGGACATGGGGGGCACCTGAAATTAATTCGGGCCTTTTCCACCGACCATTCTGGTTCAAGCACCTAGTTTTTTAACCAGTTGGAGTGTTTCAACCGAAACTAAATTGGTTCGGAACCTGAAAAGTAAGTTGGGACCAAAAAATCGCAGGTTTTCCTTGGTTCAAGAACCAGAGCAAATTTGGTGGAAAAGGGGCACAATGTGGGTTGTGTGTACCAAGAAAATCTGTTTCTCTTTCTAATAGTAAAATCTTCTTATGAGAAACATCATTATTTGCTTTATTGCAGAGATTTAGATGAGAAGATTGACACAATTCTAAATACAGTATGAATCTACAGTCAGTATGTGTTTAGCTTAGCTTAGCATAAAGACTGGAAGCAGAGGGAAACAGCTAGCCTGGCTTTGTCCAAAGGTAACAAAATCCACCAGCACCATTTAAGCTCACTAAACAGGAGTATCTGTTGGGTGCCATGCAATATCATGGTGATGACAAGGCTCCAGGAAGTGTATGGATTAAACAAACAAGACCATGTGTGACAAGAACATGTTAACTAGTCAAATTTATCTGCACAAGTAGGCAGGTTTCATTAGGCCAGGCCAGCTGGTTCCCACTGCTTCCAGTGTTAGTGTTGTTTATGCTAAGCCAAGCTAATTGCCTGCTGACACTAGCTTCATGTTTCATCATACAGATATGAGAGCGGGAACAATCTTTTCATCAATCTCTGCAAGAAAGCAAATAAGCGTGTTTCCTTATTGACCTGTTGTAAGCAGAGGAGAAAACATCAGTATTAATACTGTTTACTGCCTTTACTTTTTTCCTGATTCTATACACTGGTCAGTGAGATTTTTGATTGTACAAGAGGTGTTCAGCACATGCACAGACAAATCCAGAACAATTTGTGGGGAGGAGGGTTTACTGTTCTTCTTCAATCACAGAGTGGTTTACAGTCCATCCCAGGATGGTGTCACTTTTCCTTGCACTTTTCTCTCCAGCCCTAAAACCCACAGAGGAATTATTTTCCTTATGGAGGTGGCACATTTATGACCACTGGCCACATGATCAGATGTCGCTCTTGGATGCAATGAGTGCTGAACCCCCATGACATCTTCTCCTGAAGATTGCCAGACATCAAAAAGATTCTGTCTTGCAATTGAGGACATGAGTGTGATGTGGATGAAAACTGAAGACAGGGTTGACTAGCACTATCCTTTACAACCAAGTGAACCATCTTGTTTTCTTTTCATCTCTGTTGAGCTGAACATTCACAGTACTGATCGGACAGAATGTTTATGGATGTAGTGACACCACAAATCACATCTTTCATAAATCAAAGTTTTCTCATATGGGCTCTGTAGCTTAGTAGTGAGACATGCTCTGCTGAAAACATGTCCCCACTCATTGCTGGTTTTAAATATGCTGTTGAAAATGTGTGGGCCATCTAGATTTCTTGATTTTAAAATCTGGCCGAATGGATTTTGTGTTGTGTATAGTGAATAGGAGTGTAACGATATGTGTATTTGTCCCTAACCATTCTGTACATGTTTGATATGCAACAATACTAGTGAGGACAGCTTGGCCTCTGCTGCTTATGCTTTTTCAACTTTATGGAATTGCGATGCGAAATCGGAGTACCCTGATAAAGTTTACAAATGTAAACAAACTTACAATGCCAGGTTTACACCACTTACAATATCAGGTACCAAATCAGCACTGCCCCTATCTTGTTTAATTCAAGCCTGTGGCAGACAAGTCATTTGTGAAATGAAGCCAACGTGGAATAAACGTTTATCACTGGAGACTGGCTGGACAAATCTGTCAGTCTCCCTAAGAATGTGGTCGCTTTGAGTGACAGGTGGGTGCTATCACAGGCAGCTGTTCTCAGCAACCAAGCTTCGTTCGGCCCGCCTCAGGTCCCCGTCTTTGCCCATTTTTGAAGTAGCCGACGGAGCTTCACATCGGGTCTTCAGAAACCTATGGCTGAGTTCACAAAGACTCCATATTTTTTTTGAGTCAGCAGTGGAGTTTTACTTTTCCAATGACAGACACGAAAACATTCAAGTATAAAATTCACATTACATTATAAATAGTATTAACATTTAAAGTGTGATTCACTGCTCTGTCCTCCTTTGGCAAATGGCTGTGAAAGGTTATTCAGTTGTAGCCCTTCTGCCAAGTATTTTCCATATTCCATAACATATTTGTTTACAGACATGAAGAGGGGGAGGAAATGAAACACATTGATACTATCACAAATAAATGTGATGCATTATTGGTAAGTCACAAAAAACATAAAGGCTAAAACACACCGACACCAAATGATGCGCATCAAAAAACGCCACCACGATTACTTTCAATGTATAACCCCCACACTGGCAGAGGCTAGACACACCACATTGCTTCACGCCACTGTCCTATTTCCAGCATCCCCATGAAATTATACATTATAATGACAAAAAGACATTACCTAATATAAAGCTATAGCCCTGGCTGTAAAGCAGAGTTTAAATAGTGGTGTTCACACATGATTTTAAGGTTATTTATGGTACGATACATTTTAGTATGAAAAAACTAAAAAGTAAAGGATTATTTTTTATTAGTGCAGATCTGCTGTTACCACAAGCCTGCTGACCAGCTCTGGGAGATTGATATGCTGCAGCGCTGCTCTTCCGATCTGTGCTAGGGATGGCGGTGTGTTTTAGCCATTAGAATATATATTTGAGAAGCAAAAAAACCCAAAACATTTTATATTTCACAATGTAGCAAGTGCTTGAAATATCATATAAATATCAATATGTAAAAAGGGAGAACAGAGAGGAACAGGGTTCACACCTGCTTTCTTTCTGGTCTTGGAGTTATTGTTGTTCATCGTCATCTTCTTGGCCTTTTTAATACGTTGGTATCTCAGTGCATCAATCCTCTCAGACCCCGAAAGGGCACTCGGCGCACCTCGACGTTTTCTGGATAAAGAACAGAGAGGGGAAAACGGGTAACTCCAGGCCAAACGTAGTAAGCTAACTGTGTTTCTGCACTACGGAGCGCAACAAAGCCAGAAACCCACACAATCTCAAAACAGCACGGCTCGTGCTAAGCAAGAGGTGCAGCACATTGCCAAAGGATCAATGTGAGACACCCAAAGAGCTGTACTCTGAAATCCAGCAAAGTGATTAATTCTACTATTAGCAAAACCATGTACATCATCTGGATTAACAACTAACAGTTATGTTTAGGTTAATGATGATTATGTTTCATAAAATGAGTTCATAAATCCAGATGGTATATTAAATTGTGCACCTTGAAATTTCTTTGCCCTTCAGGGACATCAAGATATTTTGCTCAAATTGATCCAAACAATCTTTATCCAGAGAAAAGCAAAGTGTTACACGATCCCTGAAACAATCTCTTTACCTCGTGGTATAGATAGACAGTGAGTAAAGTTTGAGAAGATACAACATTTAAAAAGACTTGCACTGTTGGTTTCAGAGGAAAATCTCTTCAAATACGAAGAACATTTTGAACTAAATGTAACTTTTCAGTTGATATGTTTGCAGATTGTATGATTCTTTAGACAATGAATCAATGCCACTCTGAAAATAACAGGTGCAAATGTTTCCTTTTCCATTTCTCAGCTGCTCATGATGGCATCTACAGACCTCCCTCCCATTCATGGAGGCACTTATGACTTGGCAGCCCACAGATGTCTGCCACAAACACACACTTGGTTCTCTCAAGGCACAGAAAACAATTAGCATTACAGAGAGGCCATCTTCCCACCGTGGCTGCAGAGAGAAACCGATGGTCGTTAGTAGAGGGGGAGAATCACAGCTGAGCAACAAAGCATCATCAATATGTATTCATAGACATGGATACTGTCTACAATGGGCTTCACCATGCTGACAGGGGGAGAGATGGCGGGAGGGGAAAATGACTACTCGGGAACAGTCACATAATGAAAAATAAGCCAAAGAAAAGCGAAGCACTAAGACAACAAATGTAACAAGAATTTATCCATATAATTGTTTCTTTTTTTAACGGAGGAGCAATACTTAGCGATGGCATGCATGGCAGTTTGCACATGGAACACGACTTTAAAGGGGAATACATTCAAAAGCACTTCATTGGGCAGTTCACTCAAACATTGGGGTCCTCAAGCCCCCTGTGTGTCCCCCCTCTGCAAAGCCCTTGGCAAAATATTTGTTCCTTAGGATAAAATGAAGTGCATAGGCTGTTTTTGGCAGGACACTTGCTACACATGGCAGTGAGAACTGTTCTGCAGTCCAAACTTACAAGGGCAATTGTATACTTACAGATGGTTTAATTCATGCTCTGTACAGATGCTTTATACAGGGGATTAAGGCCATGTGTCCACCAGGAAACTGCGCTTGGTTGTTCGGGCTATAGAGATGCTTGCAGAGAGTGCTGGTCATGGCTCCTGCTATTGCTCTGCTGCTGTTCAAAAGGAAACTGGTGCATTTCTGATAAAAGCTGGAATATATTTTTTACAAAACTAGTGCGCTGAGAACTTCACACATGCTAAGCGTTCATCCCTGCCAGAATCATGCAATAGAATTTTTGCTTCATTGTTAATGCAAAAAAAGAGCTGTGAATGATGGCTCCCAGTGGACACACAGCTTAATGTGACGTCATAACGCCAATCTTACAAAATATTTCTTGGAGATTGGGGTCCAAAATATTTTCAATTGGTGTCATACAATACAAGCATCTGTAAAATATAAATGGCAAAATGTGTCACGCTTGAGGAGAATGCTAAGAAAGTTTTCAGAAAGTGATCATCTGAGAATAAAGATTGTCCGTGTGGAACAAAGTCCGCATAGACCAACCTTTCATAAATACACAGTATGGCACATCTTGAAATAATCTATATGGTACAGAGAGACACTAGACACCATAATAAACTGGTGAGCATGCCTGCTGAGAACTGCCCATTAGCTTTATATAATGAAAAATCAGTGTTACCTGGATGTAACTCCAGTTCTATGACTACGTGTGTGGCTATCTAATGGATTTCGCTACTTGTAATTTTTTTTTAATGTAATTAGTGGTACAATGCACGTTTAATTAGCATTATTCTTTGTTGGCCTGGTGAGGCTGGTCCTTCAAACCCCTACTAGGCCCATCTTCAGACTGAGTGAGAGGAGGCAGGTGTCAGTTTAAAGGTGTGGGATTTAGCGGCACATAGTAGTGAAGTTGCAGACTGCAATCATTTGAATACAGTTCATTCTCCAAGAGTGTGGGAGAAAGTATGGTGGCCACAAAACTTGTGAAAAACAGGAAGGCCCTATCTAGAGCTAGTTTAGTTCTGGGCTACCGCAGAAATATGGCGGTTCAACATGATGGACTCACTCCCATTGTAGATTATTAAACAGCTTATTCTAAAGTAACAAAAACACAGCTATTCTTATTATTAGGTGCCTAATAAAAACATACATATGAATATTATATTCAATTTCTGCCAGTAGATCCTCCTGAATGTGACACCCTGGAGCTTTAACGTATTGCAGGATGTTGGTCTCAAATAGTGAGTTTTAGGAATGGCATGTTGAGGACTTCTCAACTAGTAAAGACCAGAGACACTCTGAGAAACTTTTCCACCTCTGTGTAGGCATCATTGTAATCCTTGACAATCTCCTCAGCAACCAGTTCAGTCTTGTAGTGGTTTGGGACAGGCAACCAAGCCTGCCAATAAGGCTAAGCCAGAGCTGCACCATGAGCAGCATTGGCATTGGACAGGATCAAGCAGCAATTGATTCCATCCTGAGGAAGATGGCCAAAAGGGAGAGATGGTTTATCACTGGGCTAACGAAGGAGTGGGCGATCGAGATTGTGCTCTAAGGCATCCACGCAATATACTTTTCAGGTGAATCGTAGAGATCATGGTATTTAATGTCTTCTTACTTCTGTTTCCAAACTTCACACATGGATTTGCGTTACATGAACAAACCAATCAAAAATTTGATTGTTGACTGCTTATTTTATGTCTTTTCTATTATCACTTACTTAGTTTTTTATTGCCTGTTTGTACCGTGGATCCGACAGGACTGAAATTTCATCTGTGCTGTATGTCGTGCATGTATAGCATATTTGACAATAAAGCTAACTTTGACTTTTGACTTTGACTTGAAAATGAGTTGCCTTCTTGCTTCTTTGCAGAATGTTTTGTCTGTACGTGTTTAGGATACTGCAATGGATAACACGTTTAGCATAAAGGTCTCTTGTTAACTTCAGCCGAAGCAAGAGGAGCAGGCGCTTTGGGCCGACACGGGAGTAGAGCAGAAGGAGACGTTCTTATCCATGATGATATCTTGAAATGACGTTAGTTTCAGGATTGCAGAAGAGTTCTTTGCATGGATTCAAGGTGAACTTAGGGAGACAAACACCAATCTTCCCACTCAATTATGGCATACTACTACCTAACTGGATGACAAGTGCATTGATCTGTCCCAGGGTGCAGAGGCAGAGCTTCATTAGGGTAAATCAATAGAGAAGTCAGTAGAGGGCTGAGGCTGGTACAAAATACCATCAACCTTTAGTACACTGTCAAGACCTTTTTAGGGGCTTGCTTCTGCATTGACAATCATTTAACTTTTGGCCATGACATATAGGACACAACTTCAGTGTGGTTTTATCTCTGTGCTTAAAAACATTTTCACAGCTTGTAACCATTCAGTTAAGTGTATATTCCAGTTTGGTGACACACAGATGTGTTCATTGGTTTTTGCCAAATACTATCCTTCAATGAATTATCTGTGGATGACACTCATTTTCAGAATAATGAACCAAGTAATCAATAAATGCTTGAATATTTAAATTGGTTTGAGGTTGATAAGATTACAGTTGCCGTACTTATCTGTGAACCTGAGGTAGGTATTGTTATTAATAGATCACAAAAAAACTGCATGTGAATGTGGTCAGTTAGCAAACCACTCAAGCATGAAATCATGTTGGTGATACATCTCTGATCTAATCTATTAACTAACAGATGGCATATGCATATCAGTTAGAATGCATAATGTACTGAAGACTGCAGAACTTAAAATGCATAGCTACTTTGAGAAAAAGGAAAAAACGTAAATAAATTACACGTGTTGACTGAAGGAAGGAACAAATCAAACAAAGACTTAAAGTCTTGTATTCCCCTTTAAAGGACGAGGTGATCAAAAAAGTCCCACCTGCTAACCCCCCCCTTTCAGACATGGATCCAACCCTTACCTATTGCGGTGTAGAGGACCTGGTCACAACAACGCTGCCCAGATAGCTGAGATCAATCAAAAACAAAGCAGGTAAGACTCCAGGAGCCATCAAGAACCACCATACTGCCCCTAATTCATAATGATGGAGACATTGCAGTACATGAGAAGCGGACAGGCCCTGTGACACACTTTGCCCAACAACCTCTCCTTGGTAGTCAGACCTGGGAGTATCCTGGGGGCAATTAAAGGGGTTGGGGAGAGGAGGGTTACAGAAAGGGAAGGGGAAGTAAAGTAGGAAAAAATCTGAGAGGTTGGAAGGTAAGGGAGAATTGGTCATGCAGTCAGGTTACTAAGGCCGAGGATGGGCCGCAGGGCCTGCCAAGATGAACTCTTCTTAAAGCATCCCTCCGCATGATAAAGGCATCTTCATAGGCTTGGAGCTAGACATAACAATGGGTGTTTGTTTTGTCTGGGGAATCAATTAGATGAATATTATGGGATTCCTCCTGTCAGGTGAAAGCAGGGTAACGCATGATACAGATGGAAAAACAGGGTTCCTGTGGTGATGTCTGCAAATTCCCAGGCTTTTAGGGGCTTGTGCCAAACAAATTACACAGTGCACTGGCAATAGTATTTTTCATCCGGATGGACTGTAGCCCCAAAAGGTCTGAAATGTAATCTGTGAAGCAAATGCATTTTCTTGTCAATTCAACAAATGTTGTTTGTTTAATAATTTATATTTTTTTGTCCTTTTACTGGAAAATTAGTATTCTTCAAGGTGATTTTGGAACAATGCTTCACAGATTGAATGGGTGAATACCTCTAACTTGATGTCTGACATGAAAAGCAGCATTGACCGAATGGACTAAACTAAAAACTTCTCATCAATGGGCTCATCAAATGAATCATCACAATGGTTTTCCTTCAACCATACAATTTTCATTTTCATTTTTAACACGTGTTGACAAATAAAATAAGCATAAACTAAACTATAAAACTAAGTTGCCACTGAGATGATTTAAAAACTGATGGATATTAGACAGCACTTCAGTAACCAAAATGTCAGAGCAACTTCACACATTAAAGCATTATGGTTTGGGGCAGATGACTCAAATGGTATCCCTCTCTGCATGCCTAATGCACCTACCCTGAAGCTGACAACTGGGGTGGAGAGGGCTCTGATGGAAGGATCTCCTCCTCAGTCCTCCTCTGAGATGGCATCTGCCCAAATATGTTGCTGCTTTCCATGGGGGGTGACGGGGACTGGGAAGCTGGGTAGCTGGTTGCAGAGGTGGCAAAGGCCATGTGGGAACGGTAGCTGGGACTTGCTCTCCTGCTACCCTGGCCTTGGGCAGGTGAGGAGGAGGGGGAAGATCTCCTTGAGAAGCTGGCTGTGGAAGGAGGGAGGAGGGTAATCTCAGACATCTCTGGGGGTATGGGAGGTTGGGCAATGCTGGGACGCGGCCGGGGACGTACTACAATCTCTGGGGAGCCCTCATGAGAACTAAGGGGGCTTTGGGTGAGGGGTGAGAGTCGAGAGGGCTGAAGAACCACCTGATGTATGCCGGAATCCATCCTCCGAGCCTGTCTGGGACTAAAGCGAGGGGTGGTTTCAAACCATCGTGTGTCCAGGCTACTGAATGTGCTAGGGACAATATGGGCCATTGGATCGGTGTAAGGCAAAACCGGCACACCCATACCGTGGCTTGCGTGTCTTAGCTGCCCTAAATGTGCCTCTTGCATAGCTAAATGCTTGGCTGGGGAGCCATGAGGCTTGGCCTTGCTGGGAGACTTGCTTGAGTGGCTCTTTGGGGCCTCCAGTGGCAGGACAGCAGGGTACGTGGGCATTGGAAGGGAGGAGGGCTGAAAAGCACTAAGGGGAAGAACATGAGGTGGAGGAGGATAGGGGGAGTCGTGGCGGAGATGCAAAGGGTGATGTGGTGGGAAAATGAATTGGGGCCCCTCCAGACTTGCAAAGGTGAAATCCAGTCCCTGCCAAATCTCTGGTGAACGAGAGGAAGAGGTGAGTGTCAGAGGAAGTGGGAAACCAGAGACAGCATACTGTGGGAAATCACCCTCCCCCATTTCTTCAGGAATCATGGGGTGACCAAAAGGACCTTCAGCAAGGTATGGAGGGGAGGACATGACAGAGCTGAGCGGGCTGGTATCAGGCATGTAAAAAGGAGGTGGGGGATCATGATCTCCAGGGGGGCCTAAATAGCCATAGAAAGCCCTGTGATGGAGAGAGCCTCGGATCTGCCCTGTGGCCTGGAGCCGACTGCTCTCCATGATGGTCATACCTTCGAAGGGCCTCTGGAAACGAGGGCTGTAGGCTGGAGGTTGCAGGTAGGATTCCTGACTGGAGATAGGGGAAATCTGGTGAGGCCGAAGGGGGGCCATAACTGGTGGCAAAGGCCTGGGGTCGTCATTCTCTTCGTCTGATTGCCGGAATTCAGGGTAGAGGTCTGATTCTTCCACAAAGGGAAAGCCCTCAATCCGCCGCGGCTTGATGGACATTTCTGCATCAGTGGGATCTATGACAAAACGTCCATCTGGGCCTCGGCTGATGAGTTCAATGGGTGTTGTTGCTTCGGCTTCATGCTTGGAGATACTGTACTTCTTGCTTGTTATTGCTCTTTTGGTCTTCATATATAAAGACAATTCCTCCTTCTTCCCTGGACTTGGGGGTGGTTTCTTCCCACGCTGGTCATGACTATCTTCAGATGATTCTGACGGGGATGCCTTTGAACGAATGCTCTCTGGGCTCACCTTTCCTGAAGATGACCTACAGAAGAGAATACAGAAGAAGTGACTATTCAGAAATTGCTAATCGAAAGCTGCGCTGATGGTGCTGAAGACGAATCCAGCTACAATAAGCCAAAAATGACAACACACCTCACACAAGGAGATGAGTAATAAAAGCATGTAATTAATGACCTCCATGAAGGCTGCACTCCATTTACAGCATTATGACTTCAAAACATTTGTTTGATCATGAGTGAATAAAGGTATGTCTGTATTTGCTGCTGCACCACAGAATTCTTTTATTTCGGTCTTTTACATACTTCTGGCAGAGCTAAGCATTGACACATCATATGCCTGACTGTTATGCCACCAACTTAACCTGGACATATACTTGAAAAGTGAGGGTTAACAGAGTGTAGATGCAGAGGTTTGGTGACACAACGCAATTGTTTTTTGTAGTCAGGAAGGTGAACACAAGGCGGGGATATCACACACTAAAAGGACAAGTGTTAAACTTCAACATATATTAATTACATGCATAATTCCATTACACAGAAGTGAGAAAAAACTGACAACAACAAACTGGTGTATTGGTAGCCACACGGGGTCTTTCACGTTTGCTATCTGAAAGTGTTAAATAGAGCCCTAGCCTGCTCGGGACTTTTTCTTTAATCCGACTGACCCTGACCACACATAAAGGAACTCATTTCTACAAATTTCATCCCATAAAGATTCTGCAATATATTTTTTGACTGCCCACAGCAAAGTTTAAACCACCCACTCCCACAAGATTTGTGTTGCAGTCCTCTAGTGTAAAGTATGGACAGTGATTGATTTTCAACGGTTTTGGCTCTGTTCTTCAACATATTTGATTGAAAACTGTTCCAACTCTGGCAGAATATATTATGTTTATGTAGGACCCCATTGCTTACAGTCAGAAGCTGGTTGAGAAAATGGATCATCAGGGCCTTTAAGGGCATTAATACTGATCAAACAGTGTAGGACTTGGAGCCCTTGTCATACATAGTTCCTAACATTTTGTCAATGTTGAACAATGACAGGGGTACATATGGATATACACACCCTCAAATTAAAGTTGAAAGTGAGTGATATAGTCATTTTGCAATGCCTATATGTGGCACATACAGTAAATATCTAAAAATGCCTTCCACCTGCTATGTTAGAAAAGTTACACTCAGGGCTAGTTACATGGGAAGAAAGTCTCTTTTAGTGCCATGTGCACTACTTGATGCTCTAGGTGAATACGTGATTAGGATGTAAATTGTAAATGGATTGTAAAGGATGTACATTTTGGAGTCAAGCTAGACCACTTCAGGGCCAAAAAGCAAATATCTATGACAATTTCAAAAAGAGGAAAGAGTCAGCCTTTCCACTAGATTTGAGCAACACTGTAGCCGTAGGGTTGAGGTAGTTGTGATCAACAGCAATGTAACACTCCAGTATGGCAGACAGGTGTGACTGACAGGTGAGGAAGGAGACGCTTTGATCCAAGACGCCTACAGACGAATAAGAATTATTGCCAGTCATAGATTGGATTGACACTTACTGCCAAAATCCCTCAAAAGCAGGTCAGTCTAAACTAAAGACAACTGCTTTTTTCGGTTGAGAATTCTGGGTGATATCAAAGACTTTACAAGTTCAGACGATAACAGAAAGTTATATAAATTGTACCAACACACTTTAAAATACATGATACTTGGAGACATATTTTTGTTAATGACCATAATGTGTCTTCTTACAGGAAGGAGGAAATGAAAACCATGATTTGTTTTAAAGCCACAATTATTTTATTTCGTGGAAAATAAAACATATTGCCAGTCCTCAGTGGAATAACAAAGGCTTGTGCTTATAATATGTTGATATAAATAGTCTTTATAAGGCAATAACTAATGTAAAACACTGTTATGTACATATGATAGATATTCCAGGTTTGTTTCCAGGGTGAAAAGCCTTTTCAGATATGGTTTCTGTGAAAAATCACATCTGCTTTATTAAGCTACAGAGACAAATAATACTGAAATATATAAGTTGCTTGTTGTCATAAACTAGTCATAAACTAGTAGTATACAATGCAACAGAAGAATATACATCACATCAACTATGCTTGTCTAAAACATACTGTACTTTATTTTCTTATTACATAAAAGACTGCTCATTGTAACAATCATTAATTAATTTACTCATTCATTTTTGCTATTTTTGGCCATCATTCCTTTTGGCTACAATATTATATTAATATATCAGCAACTTCATGAATTACCCCCTACTTTCTAATTACTTTTATATGTTAAACCATGTAAAATATGTTAAGTTATTGTGTCCGTGTTTCTATGATTTTTTTTTTGACAACAACCAATAGGAGTAATGGCCAAAACGATAAAATGCAGGCTTGTAACAACGCATTATGTAAAGACACCGTGTTATGTAATAACTTGACAAAACGTAATACATTTTCACATCATTATGTAATAACACATTGCATGTTGTAATGAACAGCAAGAACGCAATATGTAATACATTTTCCTGCCTTTTAGAATAAATTATTACATTTTCTGGTGATAATTTAAAAACACAAGAGTTGTGTGACACTTTTTATGATGAAAATGCATAACATAATAACCTACCAAAATGTATATTTTCATCTGTATAAGTTATATTTTTAACAATCAAACTACATTAAACCAAAATATTAAATTAGACTCCTAGGACCTGTGGCCCCCTTGGCATTATAGCTCACTCTGATCTTAATCTAAATAGCCACATAAAAGCTGTAACAAGATCAGCTTGTTATCATTTTCTACAAACACAGCCAAACTGGCCGACTGACCTGGAAAAATTCACGCTTTTATTTGTAGCACTACATTTGACTACTGTTGCGATATTTTGTTTTTATACTACAACTATAACTACAGGGCTCCCCAAAAAGACCATAAAAAAGTTCAGCTCTCATATTTTGTAATAGCCACCACAATAAGTAATAATTTATTAGGGATATTTTATTACATATTGGGTTCAGGATGTAAATGACAAAATGTGTCAGATTGCAACAAAATATGGGTGTTATTACATAATAAAGTGAAAATGTGTTATATTTTGTTGAGTTATTACATAATGCAGCGTCATAACAATGTGTTATTAAAACACTGTATAAAATCTGTAAAAATATAGGTCCTTCAAATTCTCTTTAACATTATACAGTTAAAATACTGATTACGTTTTTTCATAAGCTTACACATGGTCATGAGCAGCAGTTGGCACTGATGATGTAATCTTTATAAACTTAAAATTCAGACTGACAGTCAAAACAGTGGACTTTCATTTAGCGGAACAAGGTGGGCTGAAAAATGTGACTGTGACTGCATCTGGGATGAGAAAGAAACAGTGGTGGTGAAGTTTATCAATTCAGAAATGTCAAAAAGAAAGTCTTTCACAAGACTTGGAGATGAAACAGTGAATTAAAGGAGTGAGCAAGACAGAGTCACATATTGTGGGATAAAAACCAAATAAATACTTGCAAAGCATAATCAAAGTGTTGTGCACAATGCAGAAAACAAGAATTAGGTTAAAGGAATAGTTCCACTTTTTTAATATTCACTTTGAGTTAAATGAGAAGATTGATACACTCTCATATCTGCGTGATAAACATAAGGCTACAGGCAGCAGCCAGCAAGTAAAAAGATTGGAAACCATGGATGTATAAAGAAAACTGGATGCAACACAGGAGGTAGGTCTCTGTTCTTTCCTATGAAAGTTTCTCAGCATGAAGTCGAAGTCAAAAACGCCACATCCTGCTGAAAAGAAATTACCTAGCATTACTGCCCCATCATAAAGCATACGCACCAAAGACTTCCTCCAACTGAGAAGGTTAACATCCAGTATATCCCAGCACTAACTTGAATGGGGATACAATGATTTCATTGTGCAGCTCTTCTTGACTTTCCAAATGTTAGCTGACCAAATTGATCAAATTGAGGGGTTGTGACGCTCAAAAAGTGCTTCCTTTGTTCTAACTCTCGCCAAGGAAGCGAATAATTGCATTTTCCAAAATGTCAAACTATTCCTTTAACAAATACAGTGAAACACTGTGATTGAACGCACATCTCACGAATGATGTCACTGCTCTCAAGACTGAGATGTTAATTTCAGACAAAATAGGCTATATATATGCCTTAATATTAAAATAGCAAGAATGTTTCTCGTGCAATGTCTGGTGTAATTTACCAGGATGAAACTCTAATCTTTGCTTTCATTCATTATCTACCTTGGACTTGTTGATGTTTCAATGATGGAATCACCATTACCACACAGTGAATGGTCATTATACTTTATGTAGTTGAGTAACAGGATCTCAGAGGCTGACAGCCGTACAGTTAGAGGATCGATACAACTCCATTTCGACAGTTAGTTTAGTTTAGCATTAAGACTGGAAACAGAGGGAAACTGCTAGTCTGGCTCAATCTAAAGGTTATACGTTCACAAATTAACATGTTATATCTTGTTTGTTTGAGGAACCCAGTAGAGAGCCACGCTACTTGTCTTTATGCTAAGCTAAGCTAACCGTTTCCTGGCTTAGCTTCATAGTTAGCGTGCAGACATGAGAGTGGTATCGATTTTGATTTAACTAAGAAACTAAGAAAGTAAAAAGGAAATAAGCTTATTTCCCAAAATGTCAAACTTTTCCTTTAAATAATCCAGATTTGTTTTTGTCAGGCACTGACATCCTCTTAATGAACTACATTAGTACAATTACCATTCAGTGTATAGAAGATTATATGTCCCAATATCTACTCCTGCTGTAGAGATGAGTGTTCAGCTGAGAGAAATTCTATTGATTTCGACATCCCTTCCTTGTGTCTCTGAATCGTGTCCTACATGGCAAGATGGATTATTTATTTCCTAAAAATTCCCTCATAGTCAGGGTGGAACGTGGATGTTTTCAACATCTTCTTACGAGGATGATCCTTCATCATTCACCAGTGGAAACCACGACCAGTATTGTTGTTGCCTTGTGGGGACATTTGGCCAGAAGCATGCAGCCAGGTCAGGAGTCTGGAGGAGCTGGGGTTGAACCAAAGTGCAAAGAGGGTGTATACAGTGTGCAAGAACAGGGGGACAATGGTTGGCACACTCACTGAAGACCGGAAGGCCTGTACCTGCTTGCGTCCAGCCCCTCCCAGTAGGGCTCGACGCTGGGAATGAGGCTAAGTGGACTCCTGCAGAAGTGGGGAGATCAGACAGTAAGAAGTGGGGAGAGTACGGGGATAAACAGGAAGCCTGTCAATGAGAGGGAATGTTTGAAAAAGCCACAGAAAATGTGAGAAAATAGCTTGACATTATTATTAAGTGTGTTGGAAGAAGCATTAGTAAGTCACAGAGAAAATCTGGGAGGAAGAAATGTCAGAGAAAAGCTTGGAGGCTATCGTGGAGCAACAAGAGGGAGATAAAGGCAAGAGAGAGCAAAGAAATACAAGCAAAGATTGGACCACTGAGACAGTTTTCCATTTAGTGACTCTGAAGGTATACAGCCAAAGTCCCACATTCTCAGACCCAGAGCAGTAGTCAACTGATGCAATTCAAATTCCTCTAGGTGCATCTCATTGGTCTTGTGTTTTCCCTCCTCACATCTTAGTTCCTCCCACTTAAGACAGAAGAAGTCAGAAGAGCGATGAGGAAGGAGAAATCAAAGAAAAGCGCATTTCCTGAAATGAGACTTCCTTCCCAGTCCTGTACCATCTGAGCACATTCTGATGATAGCTGCACCACCCTGTGGCATCTCGTTGCCTTGGAGTTGTGAAATATTAGCCTATGCATATTGTCATGCAATCAGTACTTTGGCAAGCATCTACACATGCACAGCAAAGCTGTATTTGAATTGTACCGTCAAGTGTCAGTAAAACCAAGTAAAGAAAGTCTTTAGTTAAACCCCCTAGGAGTAGACATTTTACGTGGTTATAGTCCATGTGAAAATTGGTGCTGTTTGTGTTTCTTTCAGCCCATTATTTGCCCAGATCAGATCCACTACAAGTTTGCAGGAGTAATTGACTCCTCTTCCCGCCCCTTTTTTGCTCTGAGATCCAATGACAGTTGAGCAAGCCTTGGTCAGAACCTTGGTCAACTTTCTACTTCCTGTACTTAGATATGCTATGCACTAGGCTCGTCTAAGTTCAAAAGAAAACCAGATTACTAAAATGGTTGAAACATATAAAATGACTGATGTAGATTAGCTAACTAGTTAGCTAGCGTTTTACTAATATTAGCTATCTTAGGATGTGACTGTATATGTCACTTTTATCTCTTAACCATCTTTAAAATGTGGTTGTCTTTTCAACAGAGAACCTAACATGTAGGAAGTTTACCAAGATTCCAAAAGGGGTGGAATTTAGGAATAATACTAGCATTCAGAGTTTCCAAAGCCAGAAATTCATCAATTCTAAACATGGGGGCTTTAATCTATAAAAAATGAGAGGATCTAAAAACAATTAGAGTATAAGGCTGGTGTTATTCTGTCTTCTAATTATCAACAAAGACCAAAACCAAAAATGTGTTTATCTCAATATTCCCCAAATCCTCTACCCTGTCTGTAGCACTGATAGCTGATTGGACCCCATTAAAGACGTAAATTCTATTTACTTTACAAAACAGCTGAGAATTGTAGTTTGTTCAAATGTCACTAGAAGACTTATAAAGAGTGCATTCGTTCGGGGCTACTTCCAGCCATGGATTAGGTGAGCTAGTGAGTATTTGGGGCAGCATTGATGTGGTTTTCATAGATTTTGGACAGAAATGGAGCTCTATGGCACAGACAAATAAGATATATCAGGCTTTAGATACATACACAATACTTGTTAGTAGGATACATTCATTGTTAGTTTTGGTCTTTCTTCTGGATTTGCTTTTGAAGAAAAATATATCCATATAAATATCTTCATTTTTCTACACATATCCAATCTGTCTAATTACTTGAGGAATTAGAAAATAAATACAGAAAATGAAATGAATGTGTTGTTATCGGCCTACACCAGCAGTTGATAGTGTTTTTGTAGAGATGCCACTTCAAAACAGCATCCAGTATGCAGTAATTTAAAGATAACAGGGGAGGAGTGTGTCCTTATGAAAAGACTTTAGGTTCCTCTGAGCTGAACAGAGCTTTCTCATGGCGGACATTTTGATTTGTCTAATACAGGCGTAGCATAATGATGGATACCTTCCACTGCCAGGGCTCTATTCTATTCTGCTGGGTCTCTGACATGGCTTATAGAGCCACCATTAATATTATTAGTTCCACCTGTGCTCTTCTTGCTATGTCAAAATGTCTCCTCTGAAAAAGGTCTATTAAGGGACCGAGATCGTTTATGATAGCAGATTGGATCGATTTCAGGGACACACAAGGACAGAGGAATAAAAAGACTCACAACATTGTCCAATAACATTTGACACATACTGTATAAACTGTACGGCTGAATTCACAAAGGCTCAGAGCCAATAAATATATGTAATATAAACCAATTTCCTTTATATTCTAGGTAAATTATGACTCTTTTCAAGCTGAAGAAACATGACAAGCTTCAAGCTGTTAAGCTCTATTCGCTCAGGGATAAAGGTTTGCATGTCCTGAAAGTGTTTCACATTTAAAGGATTTTTTACCAGGAATATTCAGTTATAAGTGAAGCAACAAATCTTCATCTGCTTTTTCCAGTTTTTTAATAGCATTTGTTCATAGTCTTGTTGTCCTGTAAGCAGGTGTCATATATCGTAAACTGGAAACATATAATAGCTCTTGGCTCGGTGAACCCTGTGCTCCGGGTGGCCAACCTCCTAGGCAAGATATAATTGTCTATCTTGCATGAGACCAGTCTAAAAGCAAACACATGAGGACTTACTCTACAGACTCTGTCTTTTTAGCTACTAAAAAGTACATCCTGAAGAAATGAACAACATGAGGTAAAATCACTCGAAAGTGATGCACTCTCTCTGCACTATTTTCTAAAAGTGAGAAGTGAGCAATCTGTTCTTGTGAAGAAATCCATACAAGAGGGTGCCCCTGACCCAGAGTCAGAATATAATTCCATGTGGATGACAGAAAACTGTTTTTGATACTGACCAGTGAGCGAAATGAATCCTAACTGATTTAGGTTATGGGTTTGTTTCTTGTAGAGTAGTGTGCAATAGACTGGTGAAACAGTGTTGTGTATCATGTAGTTACTTACGGAGTTTCCATGCTTTTTCTGCAGTGGGTTATGGAAAGTGGGGGGTCTGGAAGAAGGGAGACAGAAAAGATCATTATTGCCATTTAAGATCAGTTTGAAGAAAATACATATAGTTTGTTAGTTAAGTATGTTTGTAAGCATTAATTTCAGAACTATTCAAATAAAGGAGTTGAAGATGAGTAAATAATACACTTGTTGTTTCGTAGCATTCACGGACTAATTAATTGTTCTCCAATTCACCAATAAAATAAATGTTTAAGCAAGCCTCAAAGTCGCTGAACGTCTGATTGACAATTGCGAAAACGTCCTTTTGGTATTTGTGATAAATAACACTAATCCAAGACATTTACGTATAAGGTTTATAAAAACGTGATTCCCCAAAGACGACATTAGTGCTGCTGCTGCCGAGCCTGGAGGGACAGGATAACAGTAAAATACAAAAGACACTTTAATAAAAAACATAAAATATAATGAGTTACTATAGCCATGGCTGCTTCTGAAGTGTCATTAAGCTTCACTTCTGGCTTATATTCTCAGTCAAACAATTACATTGCTGTTTCCTGTTTGAGCATACAGTTAAAGCTGAGAGGAGAGGAGTCACAAAGCAGCAGGAGGCTGCAGTTCAAGTACATGATTCATGTAAGTTAGGTAACATTATGTTAAATGTGTCAGTTACATTTACCATGAATGTATTTAAAGCTAATACAGTGATAAAAACACCCAGCTAATGTTACATCATCATGAAGGAATCAGATTTTTTGTTACATTTCAAAACTTAAATTGTGTCTACTAATGAGAGGGACATTCCCACCCTCACCTCTTTTCCTCTTAAGCTTCCGCCGGCGCTGCTTGTTGACGAAGCAGGCAGCCATCGTACTGAACAGGACAGCTGCCGCCAGGAAGCAGATGGTGGCCACAATGCCAGCCACCACAGGTCTCGCCAGTCCACGCTCCTCTACCATCTCTGGAGGAGGGAAGAAGTCTGTGAGGCGAGGACGGAAGAGTCAGCAACCGGTTGTACCAGTGTAACAGCAAAGATGATGATGTAAAAAAAAAGAGGGACATGACAGCAGCTGGCTCACCCAGAGGTGGAGGAAATGACAAATACAGCAAACAGACTAAAGAAACAAATGTGAAACTTCAGTTTGCTCACTTGACTTCTGATATGGCACTCCACAAAATGAATGCTAATGTCAACATTCATTTTCTGGCTCTGAAATAGCGAGTGATATTTACTATGAGATTACTACGCCGACACGAGTCCCCTGAAAGAACGCACTGTGCAATGATTAGGCAGCTATTTAATGATATCAGACACTGAATGAGGATTTTCAGATGTTTTTTTGGGGGGGTTATGCAAATAAGCCCCTTTTGTTCATTTCCCTTATGTTTTTGCCACTCTTGCTAACAAAAAAGAGAAGTCTTATCCTGTCATTTGTAGGTTCCTGCAGAGGATCTTTTGAAGGGCCTATTGAAGGAGTATTCCTGCCATATCCAGTTAGATTCAAATATGCTACAGTTGACCTTTACTACTGCACGTGTCTCCAAAATGGACATTTCTGCAGGGAGTATGCCATGATGACCTAGCAGAATGTAAACCCTTTATTTAAAAATTATCTGCATTCATAACTTACAGTGAAGAAGGCTGCAGAGGAAAATTAAACGATGAAGCTACATGTGCACTGTATTATTATATTATGCATATTATTATTGTCTGGTTGCTACTAAAGTTGGTCCGATTCCGGTATCAGAAATTCCTCTGAATACTGACTACAATGTGGTAGCGGACATATTTTATATTATGTATCATTATAGAAGTAGACAAGACAAACAAATTACCCCACCTTTACCAGCTGCAATAATAAAGTGATGGACACATTAATGCATCAGTAATTATAATCTATTAACATAATATATATTATTCTGAAAAGGGCCATTCTGTATGCTGAGTACTTTTACTTTTGGTACTTTAAGTAGATTTTGATGCTAATACTTTTGTATAAAGGACATGTAGTTCTGTGGTATTACTAATTTTAGAAGTAATTTAATGAAGTAAAGGATCTGAGCAGTGGCTGTCTGAGGGGCAAAAACAATAAAAAGGGCACCAGTGAGCACAAAGTTGTCATTCATTTATGGTGAAACAATTGCAAGAGGGCACTGCATCATACCACTGGAACCACTGCTCTTGGTGGCAGCAACAGGTATTTAATTGTTCAATCACCATCTGAGCCATAATACAGATTTTATAACAACTCATAAATACATCAAAACATGTATGTTAGGTTAATTTCTCCAGGGTACTGGCTCAGATCAGGAGCTGCCCACTGCTCCTCGGATTATGATGGGTCAAATGCAGAGAAAGAATTTTCCTATGCTGATCAATAAAGGATAACTTAACTTAAGCTCTAGCTAAACATTATTTGAAAAAACAAATAACAAAACAGAGGAGAAAAAATTCTCGTCCCTTCAGAACTGCAAAATGTTTTACAGACATAAAATGTTAATGCTCAAGTTGGAGCAGCGAGCCCTTCAGACAGAAAAAAAAATTATGAATGAATATCAATATTTGGAGAAGACATGGTTGTATATGAAAAACAGACATGAAAGCTTGTTTTCCATTCAAAGGCATAAACACGTTATAGACAATTCTTTGAGAAAATATGCACATTTAGAACATTTCTCAAGACTACATTTGAATTTACATTTAGATTACTGGCTGCCCCTCCACTTGTCAGAATGTCACTGGACAGTTTTTGTATAAGTAATTTGTATTTTTTATTTATTTAAACATAAAAGTCTGTGCAGTTCATCATGGATGGAAAGAATGAAACAGAAATTATTTTCATTAAAACTATAGATGTATATGTCTGTGTGATACTAAACTGTTCTCATTGTAAGTGGGAGTCACACTTCTGTTTTTGGAAAAAAATTGAAAATAAATAGGAAATAATAAGAGACAAACCTGTTGACAGACATATTTCACATATTTTCTACTGCATATTGGGGAGACACTCTTAATAAATGTAAAGAATGATTTTGAAAACAACCATAATCATATTAATTTAAATAATTCAGAGAATCTGAAATAATGCTTTGTGAACTGGTCTGAACCATATTTAAGTGCTGCATCTCTTCCATATTTCCTGATGCTTTGTTCAACATGACTGGTTGCACTCTTCAGCTTGTTATGCTCAGATGCCAGAATTAATGCGACCGGCATGAGTTGTGCTCAAACAATATCATTACGATAATGAAAACCCAGCCAGTGTGCTGGAGAGAACACTGTGCTGTGCAGCTACTTTAACTCCTTTTACGGATCTACCAACTTTTAGAGCTGTCCTCTGTTATTAATGCTGGAGTTATCCTAGTGACCTACATGCTAATGAATCGCTCAGTGAGGACCGGGGGGGACAATGTGTCAACCTTTATTATGAACTTGTTAGAGTGGTTTATGTGCTGCAGTGAAGCATGACACAGCAAAATGCAAAGTATTCTAGCTCCAACAATATTGGTACTTAGAATAACTACTGATCAGCCAAAGAACACCTTTGTCATCTTTGGTAGCACAGTGTGCATTCACATCCTGTTTGATACTGACTGACAGTATGCCCAGAGAAAGACATTAATACCAGATCAACTGAGTATGAGAAGGAGCTTTTTTTTCTCGCTACAGTGCATAGCTCTCTATCTTTACCAGTAGGGGGCAGCAGAGTACTTCCAGAGCTCCAAAGGCTCCTGAGCAAATCTTCTCTAAAAATGCTACCAACAGCTGCTCTTACCAAATGATGTGTACTCAGTGACCTCTGCAGGGGAGCGACATCACGTTTTGATGGGTTTTAATTTCACATTCGAAACAGACTTTCAGCATCGAGGCCAAAAAAATACTGGCTTTAATGAATCTCTTTTTAGTGTGAAGCAGAGCCGATGCAATCCGTGGGAGACTGGCACAGAGATGATGTCATACTCTTCAGGATGCTACAGAGGGGTGTGCATGTAAAGCAAGCTTAAATTTAACAGTGCTGAATAGGCAAAATGCAAAGTTGGAGTTGCTGCGTGTGCAATTCATCCATGGCCCCACCTCAGCTCCGAAAGGTTAAGATTGCCTGAGGGCAGAGATACTGCCAGAGGTTGTCGGGTTGAATCCCAGCATTGACAAGAAAAGCTCCTCTGAACTCGAGACAGTGAGCAGAGTTTCAAGAAGAACCGCCCTTTGTTCTCTCACTCTCTGATTCATTTCCCATGCACATATATTGTATAATGCAGAGTTCATACATTTGACATTTGTACGTCTATATTTAACACTACAGATTATAAGTATTTGTAACATTGATACTCTATAGTATAGTATATGTTACAATTCATGAACATATCCTAGCCAAAATGGGTTTTTTGGGGCTTGTTAGGCCTTTTATTGGATAGTGACAGGCGAAGATAGACAAGAAACAGGGAATGAAAGAGAAGGGGAGGACTTGCAGCCAAGGAGGCTTAACCCAGGCCACTGCAGTAAGGACTCTTAGTACATGGGGTGCACACTCTAGCAGGTGAGCTATCAGGGTGCCCCTAACCAAAATGTTTTTTGTGCCTAACCAAATGTTAACCACAGTGGTGTAATATCCGAAAACGGTTGTTAGGCTGTTGAAATCTTGAGTGGAATATTTCAAATAAAGAGTTACCAAATCTGAGTATGCATATAAAATGAGTAAACTAAACTAAAAATAAACTATCTATAGGGAGACTATCCAGATAAAGTGTTAATAATGACCACAGGTAAAATTATATTTTATTAAAGATCCCCTCTAAACATGCATTACAACGAATACAACAGTCTGCCTGGAACAAAAATGTGTGTCATTAAATTTGAAATCATTGAAAGTCATCTTCTCCTTCTACCTAATTAAAACTTCCAGAATCTCTGAATAAACAAATGTTGTTCATTTTTAAAGTTTTGCTGCTGGACACAAGATGTCTCCTACTTCACTGTAAAGTCCATTCTCAGTGGATGTGCACTGGTGGCTTCAACTTTCTACATCACACTGTACAAGTTGCATACTGGACCAGGACTGACTTCCTAACTATTTGTGATGTCACAAATCATGCTGGTAGGCCCCGCCCCTTAAAATCAGATTTTCAGTGAGCTCAGAGAAACTTTCCACTTTCAGCAGATTCAATTCAATTCAATTCAATTTTATTTGTATAAAGCCAATTCATAACAGAAGTTATCTCAGGACACTTTTCAAATAGAGCAGGTCTAGACCGAACTCCTTATAACATTATTTACAGAGACCCAACAGTACCACCATGAGCAAGCACTTGGTGACAAGGCCAAGGAAAAACTGCCTTTTTAAGAGGCAGAAACCTAGGACAGACCCCAGCTCTAGTTGGGTGGTTGTCTGCCTCAAATGTGGAAACATCCTTCTAGTGTCAAACTCTGCACATACATCATTCAAACATCACACTGTGGGAACAGGAAGAAACACTGATTGACTGGAGGGGGGCTTTAAGTGACATAATGGCTCACCTGTGCTGGACACTCCCACTACGTTGCTAGGTTCGCTGATCATGTCATCCATGACGGCCATGACACGAAACTCATACCATGCCTCCTAGGAGCAGAACAGAGAGATCAACATTCACAGGGTGAACAATCCGGATCTCACGTCTGGCATCAGAAAGGTTCAATCAGGCTGTGGGATTCTGATGGTGTCTCCAAAGACCAGCCAGCTAAGCCACCAAGGCTTTGGAAATAAATCGTGCAGCTCAGTTAGTGACAGCTACTGTTTACTTTTAGTAGCACAATGTATGAGATTTAACAGTGAAACAAATGTGAGAACAGCGAAAAAAACATTAACTTTGAGATAAAAATCCTACATGAATGGCACTATGGAACCTAGAAGTCATGTATTACAAGCTGAATTTGGCTTCAATTGGATTTTTTAAGTGGCACGACAGGTTTACAAATTTAAAACACACTACTCAGCCAGTGAAAACAGTTGTGTAACTTCAGTGACTCTTCTTTAGGAGGAGGATGAAATGGGACGTCTTTTTAGACTATGAAGGTAACGTTACTTTTATAAAATTGCATTAACATCAGCCTGAAATGTGTTTTTCGGAAGAATCTGTAATGATCTCGCTGCGTCAGCTACAAATCAAAACCAACGTAGAACCAAAAACCTCTGATGCAGCCCGGTCAGAATTCATTGGAGCACACCCAGCTATCGTGTCGCGATTCGGTGTGTGGGCTAACTATAGACTGTATAGTTAACAATGGATGTAGTCTCTCTGACGGCACCCATAGGTTTTTGAAGAGCTGTTGTGAAGCTCAGTGTGGTTGACCCTGGTCGCTGCCCTCTTGGAAGTCCTCCCAGCTAATGAAAAGTGTGGGTGGAGCTGATGTGGGCCAAATGAAGCCTGGTTATCGAAAACAGCCGTCTGTGACAGCACCCACCTGCCAATCAAAGCGGCCATGTCCATAATTATATATAGCTTTAAATTGTATCATATCATGAGGCTTTGCAGTGATTAGAACAGTATTTACACGGAGAAACATGACAAGAATCTCAGTAGAAAATGAATGAGAGCAAATAAACTGCTTATATGAATATCATACATCACCTTTGACTAAGACTTATTCAACCTCTTTTTCATTTTTGTGGAGCTGGCTGTGCTCTCTCCACAGAGCAGGGTCAGCCACAGAACATCAGCGGTAGAGCTGACAGAGATTCAGCCTGTGTCTTGCTCAAGGACACTTCAGCAGGGTGCAATGCCTACTTTGCTGTACTGTTGGTGTAACACTCAAATACCCACTGATAAATATACTCTGGATTAAGTTCTCAGCTCAGGTGTTTCCTAAATCGTCAGAAAAAAATGAGGATTTGAGTGTGGAGAAGAGTGTCATACCAAACATCATCACACCACCACTTTTACACAAACACACATGTGCAGACAACCAAACAGAGCATCCCTCCGGGGTCAAATTGCCTCAGCCGGTGCAGTAAGACATTTGCAGCCAAAAAAGTTACACAAGTTGGGTGCATTGTGTGTGCACAGTGAGAGAGCTGGAGAGAGGTGTGTGTGGGTGTTCGCCGTGCATTGAAAGGAGAGATAAAAGCATCTGCATGTAGCTGAAAGTGGTAGTTAGATTAAAGAAAGAAGCTCAAACGTGTCATTGTAGGAGAATTAGCCGACATGAGCAAGATGTGAAATTCTGAAAAAGAAGCATTGTGTCAGAGCTCATAAATCAGTAAAGATACACTGGTTGTCCTTTGCTGTGGAGAAAAAGACTCTAAAAAAGCATACTGTGTTCATAATTTCACAATTCTCTCTTGCAGACATGCAGAAATACAGGACTGTGTGTGTTCTGGACTTCAGATACGACATACAAGAAAGAGTGAAAACAAGTAATTTTCACACAGAAATGGTCAGAAAGTGAGACCAGTCAGTGTGTGCACACCTGCATTGTTACTATGACAACCAAGGTGGCAGCACATTGTTATACATATGCAGAATCTGATCTGGGTACTTGTAATTTAGAGCCTAAATAGCACAGTTTGAAAAACAAATCATTTCTGCCTGCAGTCTGAACATAACCTCAGTGTTAAGCTTCTTTAACATAATGTTCACACTGGCAAGTTCATTTAACAGCTTCAGTTTGTTAAATCATACGCAGTCTGACAGCATCTGAGTGACCAACCAGCTTAAAGAAAGAAAAGAGGCTAAACTTATGTAGAGACTTTTGGAATTTTTGGTTTTAATGTGCTAATTCACTCGAAAGCCGTCTTTACGGAGCTTTATTGTGAGTTTCAGCTCATTGTTTAGCTGTCTGGCTGTAACTCTACTGTTTTTTTGATTACATCATTTTCAGTTGTGGCAGGCCAAATGTTTGCAAGCTACCTGCTCAGCACCAAACTGCATACAGACATGGTTAGTGACAAGCTAATTTAGCATTTAGCAACCAACGAGATATTTCCCTCTGGAGTTGGTGGAGACCAAAACAGAGCTAATAAAGTGAATATTGGACTCACATTCATCAGGTGGACACAAACACAAAAATATTATTATTATTTTTATTTTTATTGCAGGTTTAGGCTTTCAAATATAACTTGTTTAAAGGTAAGTACAAATGATATAAAAGTATATTAATTTCGTGTTGATTTAACCTGTGTGCATGTTAGCAAAAGGAGACTTAAGAAAACTAAGTACAACGGCTGGTTACTTACAAACTATTATGAGGACGACTGTAAGTCAATTCACTTGATGGACAACCTTACTTATTTTGAACAGAGTACAAGGAGGAGCTCAATCAAATGGAGGAAAGACAATGGCCAAAAATATGAGGATAACACCTGAAAAATATCAACATTTTCCTTTAATCATGGACTAAACTGTCCTTTAGTCAAATATGAAAAGCCCCAGATATCCTCACACCTGATTTAAGAATATTTTTAATAGATCTTAAGCTAGGATGTTGATGTACTCTAGCACCTAGGCAAAGATTAAAATGTGATTTATTCTGTAATGCTTTACAAGAACCACATTTTCTTGTTAAAAAGGGTTTCATTCAAAAACAAAAGATTAATTTACATGTGTACTAGTATCTTGGTTAGGATCGTGTTTTTGGAGTTTCCTGGTCATATTATGTGTATGGAAACACCTTACCTTGGTATTCGAGATTCCCCCAGCCCAGCCATCTCTTTATCTTGGAACTGGCAGATGTAGGTCCTGTATAATACTGTGTGTAAAGTCTACAGTCCGTGTCCTGTCTTTTACCTGGATGAGGTCTCGGGCGAGCAGCTCCGTCTCCCCAGCAGGAATGCCGTCGTCCAAGACCTCCCATCGTTCCCCCAGGCGAAACTCCATGACATAATGCTGGATAGGTGCTGTGTGATTGGCAGGCGGGATCCAGGTGAGCAGGACTCCCTGCTGCGTGCGATTGGCTGTGAGGCACCGTGGTGGGGTAAGCAGCACCAATGGTTCAGGGGTACTTATAGGAAATACTGGAAGAGCACATTAGGGTTGAGAATGTGTGTGAGTGACTATTCAGCGAGCAGTTCCTCCAGCATGATGCTAATGAATTACCCTCCCTTTACAAATGTGTCTTGACTAGTCTTACTAGATTTGATTATATACCATATGCATCTCCAACATATGCATAAAATTCACACTTTCCCATTGCATCCACAGCTATCCTGTCACTCCGTTGGCCAGTATGCTGCTATCCAATCCACTCATCTTCCCAGGCAGATCTGTTATGCTAAAGTTTATTCTCATTTTCGTCTGAACTGAACTCACTCTGCATTCACACTTGTCAGGATATCTGACTTTAAACGACTGGGGAAAGACTTGACTATGTTAAAAGTTTTTTCAAAGCAGAAAGAGACAAAAGGCGCTGAGATGTATGCTTTGTCTTCTTTGTTTCTACTCCCTGGCTGATACAGAAGGTGACGAGGCGTGAATAGTTATCCCAATTTTCAGCATGTCACTTATCTTTAGGTAATAATCTGTGACAGCTTCATTTCAACTTAATAAATGTCCTTTTACTTACAACTGTAAGGAATGATATACTGCATAATGATTCAGCCAGAGCCTAGTTTAAGCTTTTACCAGGTAGCTTTTACTTTGTTGTTCTCATAATCTGCTTTATTCAGTAAAATTTGAATTATTCTTTTTTATGTTGCATTTCAGTATATGTATGATACAATAAGAAAGGGTATTATTATCAGAGCAGTGTGTTAACAAGCTGTAGCAAAGATTTAGCTGGCAACTGTGGATTTCACCACCTATAATGACAACTGTCTGCCCTAAATTAATTCTGTAAGAACAACAAAAAGAAATATTGGCTGTTTTCTGGTGAACAGCTTCTTACGCTGCATGCTAGTGTCTGCACATTTTGGTGGTTGAATATTTGTAAAAAACATGGTTTTATGGATTATTGACATTTAAAAAAGTGTCCTTTTGCCATTAGTGGTAAGTCTTTTTGTACATAAATGATACAGGTGATAATTTCACATCACTGTCAGACAGGTAGCGAGCAGGTAGCCCAGCAGCTGTGGTGTTACTAGCCAACAATCAATATAACGCCACTTTGGAATCTCCTGATTATAACTGACTATTTTGAGGTAATTTCAAGTATTCCATTAACGTAATATCTATATGTGTGTGAGCTAAATGGTGAAATTTAGGGGGGTTAAAATTACATTTTAAGTCTCAATAGAGAGCTAAAGGTAATGGATAAATGGTGGAAATTGAATTATAGATACAGAAAATCTAAAAAAATTATAGAAAATAAATTGTTGGAAAGTTGTGAAATATGAATAATTGAAATGCATAAATGGTTCAAAAAGTTAGCTACAAATTGATAAATGGTTTAAACATCCAGCTTTTGCAACAAGTAGTACCAATGCAAGTTAAACAAACAAACAAACAAACTGTAGGCTTTCTTATATCATCCAGTTTAAAATCAATTAACACATTTGGAACATAACTGGTGGTGCTGATGAAGGGGTATTTGAGTTCATCTGACAGGACTGTGGGGAACGTCTGAAGAAAAAGTTGGGAATGATAAAGACAACAAATATAGGCCTCCAATAATTGCAATTTAAATTACAATATTGGTCAGAAAACTCTAATTAGATATTTGCTTCTGAATAGTTTAGCTCCAATATAACATTTTTAGAGGTGAGGCACTGTCATGCTCACTAATTTGTTGTAATTAAGACAGAATCTGTCACTGCCTTGCCTTATCTACACCTGTAGACATAAAACACTTAAAAAACGCATCAAACTTCAGCAGGATCCTCTCCTGCGAAAATTCTTTAGTCTGTGAAACATCCCACGACCAGCAGCTGAGTCGTGAAACATTATCATCATAGCAGAGAACTTTCTAAAATGATTGCTCTACCACTGCAGCGCTAATCTTATGTGGAATGTTAAATGTCAAAGACATGGACATTTATATTATATTATATCTATATTAACCTGAGAACTTGACATAGTTGTTCAACATTATTCTTCCTCATTGAGAGACACATCATTCATTTGGAAATGCTCAAGGTTCAGTTTCATTAATCAAGTTTTCATTCTAATAAAGCTGAACATACAGTGATACAGAAAAATAAAGGCATCTAAGATATAAAAAAAGTTTATGACTTTTTGTTCCAAAGAACATGCTTTTATTTCCACTGCAAGACTGCCGAAGCCATTTTATTATTGGATCCCTTTGCTCCAGTCAAGCGGTAGTGCAGTATACTCACCTAGTGTGTTCACAGTGACAACCTCGCTGAAGGGGCCTGTGCCAAGCTTGTTCTGGGCCAGGACGCTGAACTGGTATGTTGTCTCTGGCTCCAAGCCGGGCACCACCATCCAACTGTGGCCTCCAGGCACGGATATGGAAAGCCAGTCATGTGGACCTAAACGCTCCCTCTTCAGCCTGTACGGGAGTCACGATGAGAGGTGAGCCCACAGACAGGAAATATTGGAAAGAAGATAGTGGGTGTGCCTTCACTTTTAGATACAAAAGTTAAAGTCTGTACAAAGATACAATCTAGAGTCTCATCGTCACACAGTGTAGCGTATTGCAGCAGTTCTACTTCCATCATTGATCCAACATTATATCATTGAAATTAAATATTTGCTTCATGGATATCTGACTTTTCACTTCATTCACAACACTTGATGGTAGTAAGCCCATGCTGCACTCAGCTTTGCAGTTTGCTGTTTGCCCATGCCACACATTAAGCGTTGACTGCACCCTGACCAGATGAAGCAGAACAGCGTACACATGCAGCAGCTGCAACAATTCTACTGTAAATGTATTTTATTATATGTAAACATGAATAAGAACTGCACACAGTATAGTTATAGGAAGGTGTTTTTGTCCCTAGTCTAAAATGTTATTACTTATTAAAGGTTTTATATATATATATATACTGTATATGTATATGAGGTTTAAAACATTAATATAGCAGCTAAGACCTATTTCGTATGTAAAGATACAGCGGAGTCATGCCCTGAGCAGAGAATGATGTCACCCTCCCTCTGCCAGTGTTGTTATTCCAGCTAGTCTGTGGTTTGTTTAGAAATCTGGTCTGGCTGCTCATGCATGTTAGTCCCTCAGTATAGGATACTATAGTGAATTAAGGATTTATTTCGACACAACCAGAGTTGGTGATTGTTGGAACAGTGCAAAGACTAACAAAGGTGGTTTTGGTTGGAGTTTTATTTTGTTTCTGGCCCCTTTGAATGAAGTTACAAAGTCATGATGATATGCAAGATAAAATTAGCGTTTTCGTCTGGTGTAGAGTGATAGCTAAAAACAAGAACTTTTAGTGGATGTATTTCGATTTTCACATTTGTTCCCAAGGATTAGTTAACGTAACATGGCAGCCACAGCAGCCTATTTTCTCATTTAACTCTAAGGGTTTATTTCCACCAAACCAGCATTGGTGATTGTTGGAAAGACTGTTGGAAAGACTAACAAAGACGGGTTTTGGTGAGTCTTATCTTGTTTTTCTACAGTTTGCAATGTGTTTTATCTGCTAGGTAAAATGACTGGTTTTGTCAATGGAGTCACAGATTACCTTTTAAAGTCCTGTAAAATATTTGTACTAGTACCCTGCAGTAATTCATACAAGAGTGTCAGTGTGGATTTTGGCAGGAGGGTTTGGACAGGAGAGCTACTCTTTATCCCCAGCATAAACAAAATTCTGATGTTTAGATTAGACACTATTCAACCAGTGGTGGGACACCTCAGAAAATGTCACTGAGATGGATGAAACCCATAGCTGCTCTACTGGCATCACTCACTAATGTCAGTATGAATGTCATTAATTAAAGCTGCTGTCTGCTTTTTTTTAAATATTTGTGCTGCTCTGCAGTTCCCTTGCCGTTTGAATAAAGCATGATAGGTTACAATAAACTGAGACAGGCTTATTAGAGTTGTGATTGGTTCATCAGCAATATTGTTAGTGTTCTAAAAAGTTCACATGACATGTTCCATAAATCCTCAGTAGCATATAGGATGTTGTTTAATGTTGTATCCTCCGTGATCTATCCATGAAATCAGAGCTGGCTAGTGGGTCAAAACTGATGTTAAAAGAGCTTCAAAATTATTATTTTAAATTTCACCTAATACATTTCATACAGTATTTACTTGTATATGAACAGTGCAGCAGAATTTTGCATCTCTTAATATTTTTCAACTGTTTGCATGTGTTAATCAGCATTTGTGCTGCATGTTAATAAGCTTAGAGCTGCAGTAGGTCATTTTTATAAAATATTTTTTTGCCATATTTGCTGAAACTGTCACTGTACCCAGACAGTAGTACATGAGACAGATAATCTGGGAAAACAACAAATCACCAAATATGAGAAAAAGTTATGTTTATAAAAGTTTACTCCTGCAGCTTTAAGGAAGACACTATAACTGGAACCGAGCTGTTGAATGGTGAAAGACAACTGCAGTCAATACTATATTTCACTAACAGGGTCTAGCTGAAATGCCTGTCAATGATATTATCTCATTACAGTGACAAGCCTGCTAAAATTGCACAGGTTTATTGAGTAGTGCTGACATACACAGATAACGACAGAGAAGACACTCTTTTTACTAAAAGACAGAACGTATCCTACTCCTGAGTTCAAGAACCAGCTGAACAAAAGCATTTTACACAGTCTGTGACACACATTGCTGCCAGCAGTTTCCACTGTCACAATTACAGGTATTCAATATTTCCTGCTTAATGCCTGAATTATTGGATTAGTCACTGCATCTTTAACTATTATAAAAGAGTTTGTCAGTGCAAAATCAACCAGAAATGAGCACTTCTGTTTGAATGATTATGATTATAATGACTATAGGAATGTTTTCACTGCCCTGTTCAAGGAAGCTTTGCTCAAATCCACCAAACTTTGTGAACATTTTGCTTACACATCCATCACCAAAAATGCAGATGGTTCTCTTGTAGAACTGGGATAAAATTGCTAAATAAATAATTCATCTTCAAGAAGATGAAATAATGTATCTATTTAGACACCTTGATTTGTATCCCTGTACCCTTTGCATCTAGTATGTAAGAAAATATCAAAAAGATATCCTATCAGGATATTTTATTTTGTGATACTGTATCGATTCTCAAAAACACTATCATTTTATATTAGGGGTGTTGCGATATACTGAAACTTACAATAACTGTCATATTTCAAGTGTTCATAGTTCAGCATCTTTTAAATCATTTTGTTTCTTTCTGTTCTCGCTTTGTGGTTCACACTGCAACATAGTAGATGGCAGTCATTTTTGGTTACAATTTGGTGAAAGATACAAAACACAATAAAAGTTAAAGATTAATTTGACTGATTTATTTAATTTATTTTTTTATTGCGATAATATCATTATTGTTAATTCTTTTGGCCCACAATAATCTAACATCAAGACAACTATGTTACATTTCAGTTAACAAGTGGAAAATCACTTCAGTGTGATTCAGATTATACTGCGTCAGTCATAGATAAAACCTCAAGTAATTCAATAAATGAAAACATCTCAACCCAGGCCCTTTCTCCAGTCACCTAGCGGCAAAGCAGCAGCAGCAGCAGCAGCAGCAGCAGCAGCAGCAGCAGGACAGAGGTTTTTGGGTCATGTTCAGTTTAGTTGCAACTGTTTTTACTTGTTCCTCCAGAAATTCCAAGATTAGAGATGAAAACTCACTCACACTGGATCTCCATGCATTTCCATCTCTACGTTTTCACAACTGTTCTGAACACAACCCTGGAAAAAGACATTTTCAGAAATAACAGAGGAAGTAAAGAAGAAAAAGCAGGAAGCAAAGCATGCTGGGATGACTCACACATGGCCGTACCAGACTGAGAATGTCTGCTGGAAGCCTCCGTCGTAGCCCGCCTCCCAGGACACATTGGCCCAGGTGGAGGATGCCACTACATGGACGGTGGTGGGGGCGTGGGGGCTTGTGCCTGCAGGGAGGGAAAGCAGTGAGAAAGGTGTTGTTAAAAGGGCACATTAGTCACCGAGTAGCCTTGCTGTGATACAGTGCATTCATTTTTCTTGTCAAATGCATTTACTGTGAGCTGGACCCAGTAATGTGTTCTTACGGAGCCAGAAACCCAATGCAACATCTTATTGGAAAAAAGAAAATAAGAGAGAGAACATTACAGGTCACATTCTCCAATAGGGGATTAATAAAGTATATATCTTCATCTTCTTCTTCTTCTTCTTCTTCTTCTTCTTCTTCTAATGTCATCTTGAGTCCAAAATAAGTTTTTTGTAAACATTACCTGTGCTAAGATAATTTCTCCAGTCAAAATTCTGAATATGTATTTTTGCTAATTTCCGGTTCCATTGTTTAGGTACTGTACTGGAGCCAAAGTAACAGAAAACCAATCAGGAGCCAGTTGAATACAGTCATTGTTTTGCTCTGATTTGGAAGTGAGGAAGTACAGTGGTTAGCAAGGACAAAGTGTGAAATTTACCACAGGCATTCAAATATTTTAGAAATTCAACATCTTGATCTTGAACTTGAACTTAATCTGGAACAAAATCATTCTGCTCCTTCAGAGCTTGCAGTGTGTTATCCTGAGCGGTTGAGAATTCATGGAAGAGATGCAGGATGGCAGTTTAAAACCACCAGTACAACCACTACCTACCACAGCTAAAATATACCTCTTAACTCCACCGCTAATGAGCTAACTAACTACAGGTAAAAACAGCTGCCAGCAACAGTTTTCATTTCAGGCGGCAAGATCAACAGTCGGCAGCTAGAAATGAAAAGCTGCTTTTCCCTCCCTCTTAAGAACCCACTGTTTGTAAAATGTTATCATTGCACACTAGGAATGGGATGATATATGGTACGACATGAAATCAAAAACACTCTTGTGTTTTTAATTTTCATTATTGGGCTAATAGACCTTTTTCATAGCAGCCATTTTGCCATGAAATAGTAATACGTGACTTGAAAAAGTTGCCTATTTTGCTAACGTACAGTCCTGCATTGATTTCCTGATTGAATTCTGAATTGGCACAAGGGGGACAAAGAGATTCTAATGTACTGTATATATTTATGTAGGTTTCTATATGTATATGTGTTTTTGTGTACATGTTGGGTACCTATGACTTGGACGTGCGTGCTGGCAGTGATGCTCGTGGCAACGTTGGTGGCGACACACTCCCACTCCCCGTGGTCCTCCTTTGTCAGTGACTTGAACTGTAAGCTGCCTCGGGGCAGAACATTGTGCTTGCTTTTACTGGGCTTCCCTACCTGCAGTAGAGAGAGTCAGCCAGTGAGAGAGAGACGGAGAGAGGTGCACAATAGGTTGGAACGTGGAGTTCAAAATTCATAACCTTGAAAAAAACATGCATAATACAGTAGGGACAGTTTAACAGCTATTAAAAATATCAATCTGCAATCTCACATCTGCTACAATAATACTGCTTTCAGTATCTGACTAATGTATCAAATTTTACAGAATGATGAATTATGAATTTCATAAGTGGGAGACAAAAACAATAGCTAATCAGACAGTAGTCAACGAAAAAGATTAAACGTGCTCATAATCAAGCAAAAAACTGGGAGAATCTAATATGTTCCCTTGATTGCTTATTTTATAGACATCATTAAAATGTGATTAAAAACACTAAAATGACATACTGTAGTTTGAGTAATTAAAATCTGCGCCCACTACAGGCACAGGTTTCAGAATGAAGATTTCTCAATGGAAAACACTGAATGCGAAAATAAAGCAACATGAACTGGTGGTTAAAAATCAACCCCACAGTAAATTACACACATGCTGTTAACGGCCGTATTGCGTTACCCAGCCCGAGGACTGACTCGTTGAAATTTATGGAACCGTTACAAACTGGAATGATTTAGCCCTTGATATTTACCTAATTAAAAATAAATCATCCCTTAAAAAGAATATGCAGAGGTATTTATTGGCATGCAGATGACAGAGTGAATGCTATTTGCTTCATATTCAAACAACACCTATATATAGATTTTTAATTAGTATTCTTTCTTAATGTATGTACAGTGATGACTGGCTTTGAATTGTATATGATTGTACACTTTAAATGTAATATTATGTATATTAATTCAATTAATGTTTATCATGTAATGTGCTATGTATTGTCAGGGTATTGTCAGTGACCTCAGGGAGATTAGCTGATCACCATGGCATCAGATAATGGGAAAAATAAACAAAATTAAAGCTGCAAGCAGCATTGGGCGGGACCTCTGCATCAACCTACGTCGTGGCCTACAAGGCGGTCGCCCGCCGAAGCCGTGCCACGCCACGCCACGTCACCCCACGCCCAATCCCTCAACGGCGGAAGCCGAGGGAGACCGCTCTACATTGTCACGCATTTCAGACACCGTGCGAAAGACTTATTCGTTCATAGCGAGACTCTTCACTGAGAACCGTGGAAATTCAGCGCCACGCCACAGACATGCCGTTTGACGCGCAGTAAATATTTGATTAACTTTTCACCAATGTGTCTAGATTGCAGTGATCGAATTTGAAGTCAATACGATAAAATCTGTAGGAGGAGTTAGTTCAAATTGAAGCACTGAAATGCTGGAAATGGCATCACAGTTTGACATTTGATTCAACCTGGCCAACTTTGACGGCACGCCACAGACACGCCCTTCAACGTACAGTCACAAATAGCACAACTTTCTCTCACTATTAGTGAATATTATCACATAGATGTGTTCAGGGCGGGACTCTCATCAGACAAGTGAAGTTTGGAGTCGAATGGACAATGTACACTCAAGTCATAGCAAAGTTGTGTTTTGTGGCGGTACATAAAAATTTGATGCCACGCTACAGACACACCCACTCACCACAGTCATCACATATCATTAACAATGTGTTTTGTATTTCATAAGTAATTTTCTGGTGGATCTGATCATCCTGCTAGTAGTAGAACGTGATATTTCCTGTTGCCATTAGGTGGCGTTCTCACTATTACTGAATATTATCACATAGACGTGTTCAGGGCGGGACTCTTATCAAACGTGAAGTTTCGTTGCGATCGGATCATGTACGCAGAAGTTATGACCACTTTCTGTTTTCATGGCGAAGGATGGAAATTGGACGCCACGGGACACTACGCCACGTCCACGCTGTTCGATGGAATGTCGTAAATAGCGCAACTTTTAATCGTGAATGTCTTTAGGTGGCTGTGTCCAAATGTGGAGTCAATCCGATAAATTCCCAGCATGCAATGCAATGGCGAAAATCGCCAGAAATGACCACAAAATCCAAAATGGCCGACTTCCTGTTTAGTTTGAGGTTGGTTGAGTCCAAGAGGCTTTTCTGCTACTTTTATCACGATACACGTGTACAGGTTTTCGTACATGTTGGCCTTACGCATCTTGGGGGCTGATTCGGGGGGCGGGGCTCGACATTTGGCGGTGCCCGTGCACGGGGACAATTGCATACATGACTTTTTGCCACGTTCGAATTTTGTGCAAATTTCCATGAGCTTTAGAGCATGTGGCGGCCACCAAATATGCAGTCAAAGTGCAGCAAATAATAATAATAATTCCTAGAGATACAATAGGGCCTCCCAGAGGTCACTGGCTCGGTCCCTAATAAAGGCATAGGCAGGGGGGTGTAGGGTGTGGAAAGTGTCTTACCTTCCTCCATGTGATATTGGGAAAGGGGTCTCCCTCTGCCTCACAGGGGATGACCAGTTCTCTCCCAGCCTCCTGCCTGTACTCCCCTCCAGGAACCACTGAGAATTTGGGAGGGTCCTGCCCAGCGTGAAACAGCCAAGAAAAAACAGATGAGCTGCACTGCCCCCTGGATGTGTCAGAGCTGTTTTGCTGTTATGGGCTAATCTGTGGTTGCGTTTCATTAGTAGTTCCACTTCCCCTCGTTCACTTACCCTCAGCCCTTGGTATGACGTAACAGCATACGTCGCACAGAGGCCACTTGGAGCGCGGAGGGAAAGTGGGCGGGGGAGGAGCGGGGGATTTAAATGAAACGCACTTGCCCTTACTCTGCGTTATAGCGGCAATGACGTAAACTGCAATGCATTGTGGGTGATATCCACCTCGGAGTGACCATCGTTGTTCACTCGCTCCCTCAGCCCTCCGAGGGTCCATCTTACCAAGTTCACTTCAGTTTTCCAGACAATTGGAAAGACACATATGATGGCGGCGGGGATTCCGGGGGAGGGCAAGTGAACGAGGGCATGTTGAACGACTAATGAAACGCAGCCTATGTGCACAGTTACGGTGGGAATACCTTTAGCACCAGGGGAGCGGGAGGGGACCATCCCATGGAACCCAGGGCATTGTAAGGCATGCAGGTATAGGTGCCGAGAGAGTCCTCTGTCACCTCTGCCACACGGATGCTCCCATCGTCCATTTGGCTCCAACCAGGGTACTGTGGATGGAGAAGTCACGGATTGTGTGTAAGGAGGAGTTATGTTTAGAACAATAATGGTTCCAATCAATAACTCAGGGAAACCTTTCACTCAGATAAGAGATGAAGTAAAAAATGGAATCCAAGTCACTCACCTTATCTATCCGGAGGGGGAGGCCATCTTTCTTCCATTTAACCAGAGTTACGGGAGGGTTGGCATCTACAGGACAGCGGATGAAGCCCGGCAGACTAATGGCCACGTAGATGACAGATGGCATGTTAACCACACGGGCAGGATCTGGTGAAAAACACAGAGAGAGAGAGAGAAAACAGCGAGAGTGATGAAACGTCTCTTTGTAGCTTTGGAAACCCGGTGTTTGGCAATTGGAATAGTAGTGTGGAGGAGATTGGGAAATCACACAGTTTGTGGGAAGTGGGCTTATCATAAAATGACTAGAAGAGTGCACTCAGCAAGCAACAGATGTTGAAGCTCCTACCTCAATGCCCCCACACCTGCCCGCTGCAACCAGCAGAGGTTTGCAAAGCTTTAATAAAGATTTTGTACAGTTTTCTGTAAGATGTACAGAATAGTGTAATGGTAATGTAACCAAGCCCCCTGTGTTTGGCCTACAGGGCTGCCATGCCAATACAATAACAATAACTAGAACAATAACTAGAACAATAACATATCATACTTAAAACAGCCCCCCTTCCCTCCACCTGGCTGGAAAAACGCCACTGACAGTCAGATTTCAAATTAGAGTGGTATAATAAGAAGGTTCGCTGCAACAATATGTGGGTTTTAAGAAAAGGACAGCATCAAATGCATAATAAGCTTCAACACTTTCTTTATATTAGGGCTGCACAATTAATCAAAAAGTCGAAATTGCAATATGGCCAAGTGCAATATACAAATTGCAGGAGCTGCAGTTTTTTTCATAAAAGGTAATGTGTGTGAAATAACAGCATTAAAATGGAGTACAGTAGTTCTGCAGAGACGCCCTGGCCTTCAAATCTTGTTTTCCAGATGTATGTTTGTTCTATATGGACAACCAAACAAATTCACATCATCATGATTTTAATAGTTTTCAGTGAAAATTAAATTTGGGATGCAAAAATGAATCCGTAAGATTGTGATCACATTATTTAGAGGACGCATATATAGAGGCATATACACCTCACAAACACTGTTATTCATCTCTTGGTAGTGTGATTAAAAAACAAGTACACCTAAGAAAACAATTTAAGTAATTAAATGCACATGATACTTTCTTAAAAAATATTTTGGGGGGGCTTTTTTATTGCCTTTATGATAGTGACAGCTGAAAGCAGATGGGAAAGGGGGGCAGAGATGCAGCAAAGGGACGCAGGTCAGATTCGAACCCTGGGCTGCTGCAGCAAGGACTCAGCCTCAGTACATGGGTCACCAGCTCTACCCACTGAGCTAACCGGACGCCCAAATGCATGTGATACTTAAGCAAATACATAACTATAGCTCTACGTCAGCTTAATGGTCAAAATCTGAACTCACATCTTGGAAAATTCTTAATGAAGCCCCAGGGACCACAAGGGTTTCATAGATAGAAAGAATAGAAATCATTACTAAATCAGTGTTTCCACATGCACATAGTTTAACCATTTGCAGACCAGGCCAGACCAGGCCTCAAAACACTGGGGAATCTTAAGAAAATAAAAAGGCCTTGTTTCTGGGAAATTAGTCTAATCTTTTGTCTAAAAAGAAAAATTATCTTGTCAAGCATGTTTTGCATTAGAAAAATAATCTTGGTTTAAGAAAATATATCTAACTTCGTCTTAATAAGATATTATTTTTAAGAGTACGACCACTTGCACAACCTCTCAGTTTAACAGAAAGTCGTCTTGTCTCAGTGTTGGAAATGAAGCAGCTGTTTAGTTTCTCATTGTTTTAATGAAATGGCTAAACATAAGAATGCTTCTGGTGCCTTTATCTAAGACAAAGCCACTTACTTTTATTCTGCTGTTTGAAGAAACTGTCTTATTGGAAGATTTGATTAGGAAAAAAAGGTACATATTCTTAAATTCAGATCAATAAAGTGACCAGAATACTTGTTCAGAATACTAATCTTAAATAAGAGTTTTCATTGCTTGTAATAAGCACACTTTATGCTAGTTTTAAGAATTCTAGTTCTTAAAATTCTAAACTGATTAAGGCCACTGGCAGAGTTTTTGCTCAATACAAGAAAACTGCAGTGAAACACTGACAAGATAGATATCGTGACTAGTGTTCAAAGTAAGGAGATAATTACTTTTTTTGTAAATCTACTGGTTGATAAATTCTTGCAATACTGGAAAATATGTATTGTGTTTGTGTTTGTGTTTGTGTTTTTTTATTATTATTATTATTTTAAACCACATTAAACTGTATTTAGTTATAGACAGTGTAAACTGCATTATATCGCACCATAAGTGACCCGCCTCACCTCAATCAGTCTAATCAGATCAGCTCCGATATGTTTGAGTTTTATTACTATCTCTGCTCCACATTAGTGTCTGTCCTTTCACATTTTCCTCCACTGTATTTGAAGTCATAGATAATTGGGATTTGATATGGTCCATCTATACCTCTTGGGCAAACACAGGAGCACAAGAAAAAAAGGGAGTCCATTTGGTAGAGAAAGGGGGCTAAGAGGGGGAAAAGAAGGTGAGGGGAGGGGGCGAGAGAATCTAAAAGTTCTCCTTCCTAAATCCTGAATTCTGGAGAGGGGAGAGAGCAGCATGGTGATTAAATGAGGTCAAGGAGGACAGCTTCAAAGTAGGCACTGGGTGATAAGGAGGAGAAATGGTGTGAGTGAGAGGAGGAGGAGAAGGAGGAAGAGGAGGGGGTGTGCAGAGCGATAGAGGAAGGACGAGCCAGGCTGAGCATGAGCGTGGGAAAGAGGACAGGTGAGAGAGAGAGATGTGACTGGATGACGTAAGGTAGAGAGGAGCTGGCGGGGGAGAGAGGAGGATGAGGCGGTGAACACAATGAAGCTGGCAAGAGGCAGCAGGAGGCATTCATCTGGCGTACAAAGGAGGGGAGATGAGAGAGTGAACGAGTGAGCGAATGACTGTGTGACAAGGTGAGATAGAGCGGTTGAGCTGTGGCGAGAGATCGATCGGGCCGCACTGTTGCCAGAACAACTTTGTACTACAAGTGATGTCCTCTGAAGTCCTAACCGCCAGCCCCGGCAGCGCTCCGCCATACAGAGCCCAGAGGAGCGCCGCCACCGGCACCACAGACGAGAATACCAGCCAAGTTTCTAAATATAGCCCTCAGACAGCACTATCGCTCACGACACGCTGGTTCCCACTGCAAGATGCTTTGGGGAAGTTATTCACTGGCAGGCGTTTCAGGAGAGGAAGACAGAGGGAGGACAGAGAGAAAGGGAGGCTGTGGGAAAGAGATTTAAACAGAATGAGGCAGAGGAGAGAGAAAGGGCATGACAGAAGACTGGAGGAGAGCAAATGTTGAGAGAAAGAGATAAAGAGAGGGAACAAAAGGAAAAGATGAGAATAAGAGGAAAGAATCGGCCAGAAAGACAGAGAGAAAGAGAGAGAGCCCTCTGCAGTCTGATGGAGAAAAGTCCCTGGTCTTACAGCAATGATGTAATCCCCCCTCTCACTTCTCCCTCCCTCTCACAACTGGTGTTGCCTGCCTCTGTTCATCTCACACACACACACACACACACACACACACACACACACACACACACACACACACACACACACACACACAGACTCTCACGCCTGCACACCACAATCTAATGTACAGCCATCAGAGGAGGCAGGAGAGCGAGGGAATGCAAAATGTCTGTTGCCTTGACTACTGCCAGTGGCCGGTCACTGGTCGTCGAGGCTAAAATCTCAGAGCTCGTCCCGCCTCTGCCCGTCTGCTCCAAATAAGAGCCAGATGCTTCTGCAAAGTGACAAATTTGCCAGGCGTCATCTTTCTAGAGCTCGGAGTGACTGATGGACTGAATGAGTGTTTTATGGGAGGAGAGAATAAGGAGGCGGCAACCCGTGATAAAGACAGAGGGAGGGAGGGATGGAGATGTGTTGATGTGCATATGAATATATATACATAAATGAGTATAAATGAGAAATGAGGCGAGAGAGAGGGAGAGAAGGGAGAGGCAGTGGAGAGAGGGGGAGCAGGAGGGAGATGGAGTAAGTAAACATGCAAAACAGAAAAGTGTGTTTGTGAAAGCAAATGGGTGTTTTGGGGGTGGGGGGGATTAGGTGTTTGGCTGAGAGGTGGGATAGTGTTAGCCTGGAGACTGGTAGAGTGTCCAAATCGATTCCACAGTGCAGAGGATGCACCATTTTCCATAATAAGTTGGTTTCTGGAGGTGCAATGCGAAAGCAGTGTCACATCTGAGACTCCTGTTATAGACTAGCTTCTGAGTGTGGATAAGCCTTTGGTTAGCACCGGGGTCCCTTCTCAACAAGGTGGAAGGATTAGTCATCTCACACATCATACTGTTGAGCTACTACTGTTAAAGCAGTTATAAAGACCAAAACCCCTTAAATGCAACAGTATGTCCTAATTTCTTCAACAGAAGCTGTTGGCTGTATCGGAGTGGTAAAAGTTTGTTTTGATGAAGCCCAGTGGCTGCACAAAATCATGCTAATGGGGCATTGGGAACAAATACACTGATATTGGTAATCAAGATAATCTTTTTGCTAAGAAGGCTTTTTCAGCCAATCCACACAGAAAAAGCGCTTGTTGAAACATTTTTGTCACTCGCCAGACGCTTCCATTTTATCAAATGTATCAATCTGCACTGAGACCTCTCTCTCTACATACTCTGCCATGTTTCTTTCCTTTGAACCTCAAACATGATTAGCCATTGGATTTAGGCATCTATAGTAGTTGAGGTGGCCTTGGCTTTTAAGTGTGAACCTATACCCGTTTTGAAGCCTCAAGTTTGACATTATGGCCATCACCATGTTGTTTTTTTGCAACCAGCAGCTGTGATGTACTGCGAGTTGAGCTACACTTGCTATCAACTTGTGTGTAGCAGGAAATAATGGCTTAGTCACACATCCTCATATTACAGACAGTAAACTAAAATATTACAGACAGTAAACTAAAATATGTTTGTATGTTAAAAGATTTTAGGCAAGAAATAGTCAACGCAGTAACAGAATGTTGATTCAGCACTGCCTATTTTGACAGTTTGATCTGAGTTTGGTGTGTTGAGCTGGACGGACTCACTGAGAATGAGCTGTCAATTATAAGGTAGCCATGCCCTAAAGCATACCCTGCTTTATGGTCTATTTTACTCTAAATGGGACTACTGATTTACTAAATGAACATCATGCTGTTTTGAAGAAGACTGAAACTAGAGATTGAGACTAGAGACAAAAAACACATTAGTAAATAAAGTGAGTAAGGTCATTTTCCCATAAGACTTTATAGTATCTGATTATTTTGCAGCCCATGGAGCCCCCTTCTGACCATTAGAAAGAAAGCAGGTTTAAGACACTTAAGCATTGGCTTCACCTAAAACCGACAAGCTCTGTCCATTTATTCTATACTGTCAATGGCTTTAACCCAAACAGTTAGGGGGAAAGAGGAACCCTCAATGTACCAGTTCACAGTAAAGTTGAGCACATGTAACAACTCAAAAGTCAAAGGCACTCACATTGCACTGTTAGGTAGGCAGAGGCAGTCGGTGGTCGGCCCAGGCTGTTGCTAGGCGCACAGGTGTATTTCCCAGCATCCTCCGGCTTGACTTGGGCAATGATGAGGGAACCATCGATAAGAATACTGACTCTGCGCTTTAGGTCACTGTGAAAATGAAGAGAAGAGAAACATTAATGTTGGGATACAACTCAGTCAGTGTGTCTTATCTGGCGTCATGTCATCTGGAGGAATTCATTGTGTAGAAAAAAGAGTGAACTTTAGCAAACATCTAAGTTGTATTTCATAATAAGATTCATATACCTAATGTGAAAGACTATCTTCCACACTGAAGCTACAAAGACATTTACTTGAAGATTTATGGACAGATGAACGTGTATACCATCACTGATGTACGATGCAAGACTTCTATGAAGATGACGACAGTATGTTTGCCCAGTGCCACATTTTCTTGCCCTTTCTGCTCACATCCCAGGGGATGTGTAGCTCTGACTTTCATATAAATGATGTTCTGCACACAGCTAGTTTCATGATTCATTGCAAAATGGTTGGTTGCAGAGGAACTGTAAGTTTACAGGCTTCAAAGGTAACTGGAAAACACAGGGAAATATATTCCCTTAGTTTATTAGTCAGTGCCCTATGGCACAAAATCATAAGAATATACTATGTGTGGCTGATAGATTGACACCAATATTAATGATAACTCTGCCAGATGCAGAGATTTCAGACTTTTAAAACCTCTATAAACCATCCAGCTTGTAGGCTTTGTGTTGGAACAGAGGAAGGGGATCACAAAGATCTTGGTTCAGGCTTGACTTAGCGTCAAGCACAGTGCCTGCAGATTTTTCAGCAGCACATTCATACTCAGTAAATCCTATTATATTCTCATCCAAAAGGTGATTTTGATTAATGACACCAAGTATGGAATTCAGGGTGGGATGACCTAATGGACAATATCAAAACATACTGGCATTGCAGCATTAAAGGTGTACGCCAGCAGTTTTGTGTTGCGCTTTGTATTGTACCTTATTTTGTATTTTACCCATCCAGCTCAAGCGTGAACCTTCCATGACATTAGTGTGTGGACTACCATTCTGAAGTCTTGACTTTTGGCATTATATGTATAATATTTGTGTTATAATATTTTGATGAGAGCTGGGAAGGATTTGCATTGCCATGCATCTATGTTACTGCCACTTGGCCGGAGCTTGGTTTTTGCTTGTTAATTTTCAAGGGGTAAACACTGGCCTGGTCACAAACTTTTCAGATAAACAGTACATTAAAATACGTTTCTGAAAACAACAAAGTTTGACAGTTTGATCTGAGTTTTGTTAGCCTGGCGTATTGCACTGGATGGACTCACTGAGAACCCCAGGACTCGCCATAGTAGCGACTTGTCAGTCACAAGATAGCCATGCCCTAAAGTAGGGCTGCACAATTAATCAAAATATTATATTATTGTTATCTCAATATGTGAATAATGATGTTCAACCCCATGCAAAAATCCTGACACATACTGAAATAGCCTATCTGTCAAAATAATTGCAGTATGATGGGTTTTTACCACATTGTGGATCCCTGAAGCAATCCCCCGTTTTATTGTCTATTTTCTCTAAATGGGACCCTAATTTACAAAATCATGCTGTATCGAAGAATTCTTGAAAGTAGCTATCGAGAACAATGAACCAATGAAGCTGCCCCCTGCTGGCCATTGAAAGAATGCAGGAGTTCTGTCCACTAATTACTAAACTTTTCATGATCCAGCTCCAAAAATACTGGATCCTACACAAGTTTATCATTAACAGGACAAGCCTCTTGAGATGCAAAATCTCGGTGAGGAAGGAGTCAAGTCATTATATTTGACCAGATATGGGGTGGTGCATACAGAAGAACACACACAACAAAACACAGAAAACAAAAACTTGACAGTTGATTTGATTTCAAATAAGAGAAAAGTGTGTGCCTGTTTAACACACATGTTCCAAACTCCGGTCTGCGATGCAAGTTTTCTGTTAAAGCTGAAACCTGGTGACATTGCTATTACATCATCAGGGTTATTTTCTCAAAAAACATTATGCAACTACTTTCACAGGCTGTGTAGAACTCTTAATGACAGGTATCCTGAACATAACATGTAAAATCGCTGGAGTGCCCCTAGTAGACAAAAAGCTTTTTACCTGCTCCTACAGAGACTGAGCGAACAGCTTTTTACCTGCTCCTACAGAGACTGAGCGAACAGAGAGGCAGAGCTAATCAGATTGGGTTAAGAAATACATTAATGTACAAGTGTCTGTAAAACCGGATTAAAAATAACTTGAGTTATTCAAATAAATGCACTTAAAAATTGATATGAATTAGTGAAAAGTTAAAGAAAGTAAATCAGGGTCCTTATTCATAGCACAATGACAGATTTGAAATGGACATCTCCAAACAAATCTACATAAACTATTACAAAAATGAAATACACTGTCTCGGAGGCTAGTCATGTGAGGTTCAACAGCTGATCTATTTCACCTGAGCATTAAAAGCTGGCCCATGTGTTCACTCTGCCACCCCCTTCTTACAGCTGACATCCACCCTGCATCGTCTTTTTCTGCTTTTGCACCTTCAACACCTCCACAGCACACGTGCCACACATCAATGCATTGCTAACATTGCTGATTGCTGTTGTTTTTTCAAAATATATTTTGGGGGGCTTTTTGCCTTTCTTTTGATAGGGCAGCTCAACATGTTTTAAGTAAATCTCTCTCCTCATCACATTCCCTGAGCCTCTTTATGGTGCCAATAAGCATACTACAGGATTTTCCATTATGCCATCAACAGCATTATTTTTTTTGGACTGTCCCTCTCTTTTAAACTCTAACCCTGATAAAATCATCAAGTTTGTTTTTCAAAAACCTCCTCCAGAGTCACAGAAAACAATATACTGTCACATGCTGAGTAGTACTGCTAATGATGAGCAAACTGACCTCATACAAAATTGGTGGAATGCCCCTTTAATGTACAATGTGTGTACAAAGTGTATTACACAAAAGGGCAGACTGTAGTTTATTCACTGCTCTAAGTGTCCTAGCTCTGCATATAGTCCAGTATGGGGCACAGGGTTGAGAGGGTTACTTTAAAACTGTTATCTGATACAATTACTAATTACCTGTTAAAAATTGCCACAACATGATTACTTTCTGTTACTTTAGGATTACCTCAACACCAAATACGCAAATAAAAACAAGAGAACAGACAATTCAATAAGTACTCATGGAAGTGTATTCTATAAGAACAGAACAGTGTGACCTTAAGAAAAAAAATGGAAAAAATGGAAAATGGAAAATTTTAGGCATCACAAATGTCCTCTGCTCATTGTATTTTTAAAGAAAAACTGATGCAATTCTAATCCTGCTATAAAATCCTAATTTTACTAATACATACTAAATCTGATTACATCTTTTTTTCTGTAACTGTAATGGATTACATTTACCTTTTTTTCGTATCACGGTTACGTAACTCAGTTACATGTAATCCGTTGCTGCCCAAGCCTAATGATGCATCTATCCTTTTTCTGCATCAGACATATGTTTTTATTTGTAGAGAGGGAGCTGGGGTGGGTTTTAAGCCAGTCCTGAGTTTTAGGTCTGCTCACAAGTGACCAGCTAGTTGCAGTAGTCAAGGCAACAGATATTTTGCATTCCTTTTTGCTCCCTCCATTGCCCATTTCAAATCAGACTGTAAAAGTGGAACGAGCACAGGTGGGCTATGCAGTGTGAGTCTTGGGAGATAGGCAAGTGAAAAGAAGTGACATCATCCCTGACTGAGACGGCAAATTTAGTAATCAGTGTTGTTGTGTGTCACTTTCACAGCATACGTTTTTGCAACGTAGTATTTCTGCTGACTGAACATAGAATATGAGGGCCTTAAAAGCAAAAGAAAAAAATATTTTGGATTTAAAAAGATTCTGGGTTCAAAAAATACAGAAATGATACGTATCACGATACAGGGGTTACGATTCAATATACTGCAATATATTGCAATACTGTAAACGAGGTAACATATTATTTGGATTTAAACACTGTTAATTAGCAGGCGGGGGTTTAAACACAAAAATCTAGACAGTGTTTTTGATAACTGGTACAATAACACAAAACAAAATATTGCAATACACTATATTTCTGTATTTTCTATTCATTGATATACCTCATTCTTAAAAAAAAACCTGTCTCCAGTCGAAATGTATCAAAGCTGTTGTAGTATAAGCCATTTGGTGGCCAGAAAAGCTCATGAAGTGGTGGTTCAGGCTACAAGTGATTTAAAAACTCACAGCCTGTGGCCATGGGTCAAACTGGGCCAAGCCACGTTGATGGCCAGGCTGGACTTTTGTCTCTGCGAGCAATTTGCGATACAATTTGAAGGCTTACTGACTGCTTAAGCCTTGTGTCATTTGCCTCACAGTTTGCATGGTATTGAGCTCATTCATCAGCACAGGACAGTAGTTGTTCATGTTCACCACCTCCGCTAACAGAGACTGATAAGCATTACGAATGAATTACTCGGCTCCAAGAATATGATCATATCTGGTAGGTCTTTAAGCCTGACACTGTGAGCTGTGGGGGAAACTTTAAAACACATCTAATTCATCCTTAGTTTTACTTGGAGACACTTTCTACTGATCTTTTCCTTATTGATTTATTAGAGTTAGGGTTATTTTTCCATGCCTTTTTGCTCCTACATGTTTTCATGTTCTTGTGGTTAATATTTAAATGTTTTTATACCCTTGCCAACCGTTATTTACAGCCTGCACTGAGCACTTAATCTCAGTCATTGTGTAAATTATCATAAAAAGTGATGTTGATGTTTAGCTCTGCAGCCAATGAATCCCATACTGCATGTTTAATTCAGGATTCCTCTTAGATTATAGTCTAGATAGTCTAGATAGTCTCTTTAGCCTCGTTCTGATACGTATATGATAAGATGATGATGTGATGATAAGTATTTGCAAAGAAAGAAACTGGTGACGTACATAAACAGCTAACTGGAGCTGCAAAATCGAATTTGCGATTATTTTGACAAACACTGCGATTAGGACAGGATTCACAAGTTGTGCGAATGATAATTTTTGCATCCCAATTTTATGTTTTCACCAAAAACAAACTTGCAGCACTACAGTATTTAATTAAATTGCTGCTTGTCACAAATTTTACCTTTAACAAACAAATTGCAGCTTCTTTTTGTATAATGCACTTAGCCATATTGAGATTTCTATAATATTGCGATTTATTGTGCAGGCCTTTTGCTAACTCAGTGACACAGCTGTTAATTAGATACAGTGAACATGGAAATGGAGGAAGAGGTCAGGCCGATCCGAACCCATGGCGGCTGCAGCAAGGATTCAGGCTTGGTACATGTAGTGCCAGCTCTACCAGGTGAGCCATCACGGCACCCCTATCTATTGGCTAATGTCATAGCATAATATATGGAAATATTGCACATGTGATGCAAACTTTGCACGCATTGATCAGAAGCATATGCAGAGATTTTCATTCACAGTGCATCTCTATACCACACATCATTATCACAACTTCGAAAGACTCACCCAGACCCCTTACGCAACGGCAAAATACCAAGTTTGGCTACTACAGTGTTACATGACAGGGGGCACAGGGCATTTATTCAGTTGATATTTGCTGAATGAATAAATACATTAAATATTAATTCAATTGTGTTGTTTTTACTTCTGAAGCTGCAGCACAACTGAGTCAGGAGCACACTCACAGCAAAAGGACAAATAATCCAGGACAGGGTTAATGAATGTCACAGAGCAGTGACTAAATATGTGCTGAAAGCCCTACACCCTTTGAACACAGCAGGATCTCGAAGAGATGTCTTCATTCGCCACCAAACAAACAACCTAAAAAGGATTTGATAAGGGATTTAAAAGGATTCGGATCGATAAGAGGATTCGGAAATGGACTTGATTTAATGTTATCAAACCCCATCCTTGTCCTGATGACACTGCAGACCTGAGAGAAGCAGCCTCCAGATGAAGACGATGTAGAGCCAAAGCAGGAGCTTCATTCCAGCTTTCCAGGCTTTTGTAAGCAGCAAAAGCACACAGTCTGTAACCCTGCCTGTCCCTTGTTGAGAAAAGATCTTCATCACTCAAGGGCAAGATTTTTCATGCTAAAGCTTATATATATGATATTTAAAACATTAAAAAGGCAGCAAGCAATCATGACGTAAAGATACAGTGGAGTCAAGGTGTCACACTCCCTCTGCCTTTGTTGCTATCACAGCGTCTCTGTGGTTTGTTTCCATAGCCGGTCTGCTCCGTGTGCAGCTGAGTAGAGCGACTGAAACTTTTTTATTGTCTAAATTAAGGATTTATTTCAACCAAAGCAGAATTGGTGATTGACGAAACATTTTAAAGACTAACAAAGACTGTGTTTAGTGAGTTTTATTTTGTTTCTGTCCACTTTGAATGAAGTTACAATGTTACATTAATATGTGAGGTAAGATTAGTGTTTTTGCCTAAGGAGTGGAGAGTGATAGTGATATAAAGGCTGTTTCTGGTTAAACAAAAGGTTTATCTTTGTAGGGATCCTTTCCATAATGTTGTCAGACACTTAGAATAACAATCTGAGCCTGTCAGTGATTAGTTAACTTTTAGTGGACAGACTTTGATGGGCGCATTTGTTCCCGACGATTAACTTTAGCTTACATTGCGGCATATTTTAAAAATATTTTCACATGGTCTGAGATGCTGCTGCTCTAGAGCGACATCCAGTGGCAAGTAAATTTTGTATTTCCTTTAAGGGTGTTATTTTAACTATTTATCAACTATGCAAAATGAAAACATCACTGTTATTTTTTTTTACCATGTCCTTATTTAAAAAATGTTTATAGAGTAGACACTCCATATACACTATAAAGAACACTATTTGTATCTTATCCTCGTAATTTAATAATATTTTGGCCGGCATGGTATGGCAATACCAGTGAAAAGAGAAAAGCTCTGCCTTTGTCCAGTTATATTGCACAAACTGTATGCATGAGAGCTGGGTTCATCCCTGTCAACTCTGTCCCCTTCAAAAACAGTGCATTGAAGCAGACATTGATGCAATATGATGCATTGTGAATGTACATCATAAACCCAACTTAACTTCAAACTTTGGTGGCTGTGGGGCACTTTATGGGGAAGCAGAATGGACAAGTGCGCTGCCTCCGTCTGAACAGCTTCCAAGCATCAGCGGGGGAAATGTCATTGCTTTGTGGCGACGTGTGCCTACCAACTGACATTTCTGGAGATCCGTGGTCCAAAATGACTGACACACTTTCCATTATAAAGTTGATTTACTTCAAAGTTAATAACACAGACCTTCAGGAGATGGCTGTGTGCTTGCGTGATATTTGGCTCCCGCTGTGTGAGAGAGGAAGTGGTCTAACTGCTAGAAAACAGCGATGAGTTGAAAAGTTTAATGACATGAGGGAAGCAGAGTGTTTTCTGTTCCATCACTGCATCACTGATGGATTTTAAAACTTATTTTGCCGTGAAAGCCTTAATTATTGACCATCGGTGGGGACATTCTCGCTCTCATCTCTCTAGTGAATCTCCTCATACATTTTCATCACTTTCATCATTTATTAGAGAACTCTGCTGCCCACTTTTTAATGTCCGACAGAGCACAAGCATAGGATGATAAGACATTAAGCTAAGACTCACATGCTGTATGTAAAGCTATGTTTTGCAATTGGCATAGATAAATCTGGAGGGGGGTGCTAGTCTGATTATTACTGTGGTTGTTTTTCTTAACCTCTTTTACATGGGGGGAAAAATGTATTGTTTTTGTTTTTGAGCAAAGATGATAATTCAGTTACACATTTATTACAGTAATCTCTGTACTTATTTGACCTTGGTCCACATATTAAATTTCCCCATTTACTTTAGGCGTGGCTGTCTGAAAGAAGCTTTAATGTATGCTTTACTCTACGTGACTACAATGCAGGAACATTGAACCAGAACAAGACTGCAAACCCTGATTTAAGGAATTAACCAGAGAAGGTCTGCTCAAACCAATAAACGTCAGATTGTTGAAGCTGAATATCATCTCAATATTGGGACTCATCTGTTTCTTTTATAACTTTTCCTTTGATTTGTGTGTTATCCATCAACAATAAACTATATTTTACATGCCTCAGCAACTCAAAGACAGAAATGGCCCTGCTAATCTCCCTCCTGAGCAGAACAAATACATGACTTAAATCAGTAAAACTCTTATTAATGCAGTCCTCTATTGCCTGAACTGCTCTCTCCATATGTATTGCCACTGGTGTCTGTTTTAATGTTGCTTTTATAATCCAGGTTTGGCTATTTTGCATTCATTCTAAAGACTCGTTCATCAAGGTGAAAGAGCTTGTATATGACTTACAATTAGTAGAAATTATTTAAGAAATGCACATACTAGTCATGCAAATTTAAATGTATGAAGACAAGGATAATGTTGTTAACACTGAATGACTATCTTGTAAAAAATACTTGTTTTTAACACCATCTATTAGCTATTAACACATTTAAAGTTAGTGAAGCCATTTTGACACTTCAAAAGATTTCTCAAATCTGATACATCAAAAGGCATATATCTTGTCTGCACTATTTTTGCCTGATGATCACTGCAGTGACATTTTTACCTGATTAATACAAGTGATATCATTCCTCTTCAGTGACTATCCAGCACAAAATCAACATCACAACACAGGACTCTTGACAGTGGCTGGTGACACAGTATGTACAAACAGTTGAGGTGATATGGTGCACAATAATGAACCCGATCATAACTTTACTTCTTGAAGAAGACGTTGTCCTCCTCCCAGAACCAGGTGTAGGTCAGGTTGCGAGGGTAGGCTTCCGCCTGGCAGGTGAAGAAGGCGTCCTGCGAGATGTTCACTGTGATGTTCTCTGGTGGGGATACGATGAACGGGGGGCCTGGTGTAGAGAAACACAGAAAAGCATAGTGAGTAGGACACTTTGTCGAAATGCATGACGCCAAATGTATTTGTCAAAAAGGGATCATCAAATTAATTTAACTCAATGTTTTCCTCAGAAGAAAATCCATTTTCTGGGATGGAACCAATCTATAATCATCCGTTGAAATTTAAAATTAATAATATAGTTAATAATACTATAACATAACTTATATAATTAAGGTGAGGCAGTGAAGGCAGTGCAAATAAATCAAATACTTTTGTCAGGTAAAATTTTTAAAATTCAGTTTGGTTAGATTTAGGCACAAAAACTATTTGGGTTTAGGAAATGATCATGGTCTTGGTTCAAATAAGTACTTAGTGTAACTTCAGTAACGTAACTTACATAATTTAAATTAGAAAGAAGTCAATGCTGACTTTTTGTTTAACATGGGGCACAAACAGCAGTCTACTAATAAAAGTCCTGTACTTGTTTCATCCATCCATCCACCCCAACCTCCTTCATTGTGTGGACTTTCTCGCTCTTTACCCCCAAATTTTACCGCCTATTCTAGATAATGGGTTTGGGTTATTTTTGAAGGAAGCTGCGACCCACTAGCATCAAGCAGCACAGAGTAGACAGTAGTGGCAGAAAGTATAAATCGAAATTTACGCTACATCCACATCGTGGCAACAGGCTAGAAGTCAGTCGGCATCAGGTCAGAGGAGATTTTAAGTAAAGAAACACACTGTTTTGTTTCCTTTTTATGGACAATGCAAGTCAACAACATCCGGCAAGCCAACACGCTCTGACGACGCTCCGCTTCTGAAATGCTCTCGTGGGACAGGTGGATCATGGAAACCACCACCCAAACCGTCATAAAAACCTCATAAAGCCATGCCCGGTGGATTTCAGGGTTATAGATAGATAGATTCTTTATTGTCCTTTCCATCACCTGGCTTCAACAGCATACTGAAACGTTATACCAGATGGGCACGTCCAGAAATGATACTGGAGGGGTACCTGCAACGTTCCTGTTTGACAACTTGGGAGTGAGAATGGGCTGGTGAAAACACAAAGACATATAGCTTCATGCTCCGGACAGTTCAATATTTGTCCTGTATGTGCTGTATACTATCCTACAATCTAAATGACTGTACTGTTCACATAGAGAGCATGAGTCAGATATGACCTCTATCACAACTCCGCCACGTCACGTCCACTACAGACACAACACAGGATTTAGTTAACATACTGAGCAAGGGTCATGTGGGGTATTTATGGGCCATGTACACACAGACCAAGACCGGTGCATGCATTCTGTGTGGACGGAAGTCTCATGGAAGACCCCAGAGCCATATCACAGACTTATTTTGCACTCAGTAAAGGATTATGAGACCTTATTGAGTGATCCTTGCTGTGCCAGATGGATCATCCTCTTTGCACGCATGGATATATTTATACCATAATTTGAAGTCATTTCCAAGCTGTGACCATAACTATATCCATAGCTACGCTGAGTTTGGTCTGGAAGCTAAAAACGGCCTACCTTCATCTACTTTCAGCTACTTACCACACACTACGTGGTTGGATTTATATGAGAACACCACTCATCTCTTTAGTGTGTGACAATACTGCCCAAAATAGGATGTACTACACATGCTACTATACAAGTACTGCTTGTAGACTTGGCCAGTGTTGGTGAAAGAGCTCATTTGAATGTGTCCAATCCTGCAATCATCACGTGCATGACAATGACAAACAGGATAAGTGACATTGGCTTAAAATCTAATTACAATGCAGAATTTATATAGATATATCTATCTCTGCTGGAGAGGGGAGAAAGTATCGGTGGACCGAATGTTAAAGAGAACTTTCTCTGAGCTTTCAACTGACTGGAAGAGTACAGAGAGGCTACTGAGCGATAAAAAAAAAGAATGAAAAGACTCAAAAGCTTGTGGTCAAGACAAGTGGGAAGGGTCAAAAGGGAGGAGTACCACCACAACCTAAATACCTGGGCTGAGGAGATAATTAGTGAAGAAGAGATTGATCAAAAGAAGAAAAGGCTGAGGTGCCCTCTGAGTTCAAGGCTGAGGAGTCAGCAGTTAAAAGTAGCTGCTCCAGGAGAAGCTGAAGTTGCAGTCAGTGCAGACAAGCTAAGACCAAAAAGTGAAAAAAGGGAAAGAATTGATATTCAGGACCTGCTGAGTTCAGCAAATGTTTCTTTTTAATTAGATCAATGAAGAAAAAATCATGGTATAGGACTATGTGCAGTCTGACAGTGACACATTGTCCAAGTCATGAAGACCGCATTTACGAGAAGTGTCTCGTATCTGTATAAAATCTATTTTAAACAAATCGATTTGCATCAGTGGTTCCTGCATGAGGTCCAGTTACTGTAGAGCACATGCCAACACCAAAGACCATTAAATGATTTTTGGTAGCATGGTTAACGCACTGACCACGAACCACAATGTCCCTGGTTCCTGTCCAGCTGGGGATCTTTGTGGCATGTCATTTCCTATCTCCCTCTCCCTTCATTTCCTGCCAACTCTCTACCACTGATGTGATCATAAAGGCATCAAATGCCAGAAAAAAATGATTATAATATGTTTTTAGTGTGAAGGACCGCAAAAGGACTTGTTTCACTATCCGAATTTGATCCATCCGGTCCAATACCATTTTAAAAGTCTAGAAGATCTGCACGATTAAATCATTTAATCCACATTCAAGTTAACGGAAGGCAAAACTGGAAGTTAGCTGCAGAGCCAGAAGAAGTCTTGCATGCTTTATGGCAGAGGCTCCCATCCCCAACTAGGGGTCGCCAAAACTTCTCAGAGGGTCACTTTTAGGAAGTGAAAAAAAGGCCCATATCTCAGTATTTTGCTCATTTATATAAAGCAAACTAAATGAAATTGTTATTTTTAAAGTATAGATTATTATTTAAGATCCAAACTTTGAAGACCTGAACACAAGATATATTCAGAGAGCCTTCAGTCTCTCATAAACAGCCTTGTCCTGCTTTAGAAAGGTTAAAACAACTAAAGAGCTAAAAGAACAATGGACAGGCGCCAAGAAAACTTGTCAAAAATGCCCATTCATGTTAAATCATTAAAAATAATACATAATATAGACTGTATAAAATGGATTGAATTGTATAAAAAGTTCCTTAAAATATCTGGAAAACTCTCTGGTTTTTTAGCTGTTCTCTACTGTTATTGTACATTCAATATAATGAGAAATATCCATAGTCATGTAGTCAAGGGTCACTGGTTTACACAATGACAGAAAAGGGGTCCCTTAAGAATATATTCATCTGGGTGCCCGGTTAGCTCAGTGGGTAGAGTCCTTGCTGTCGAATCCGACTTGTGGCCCTTTGCTGCATGTCATCCCCTCTCTCTGCCCCCCTTTCCTGTCTGTCTTCAGCTGTCACTATCAAAAAGGCAATAAAAGCCCAAAAAATACTTTTTTTAAAAATGAACGTATTCATCCGGGGTTATTTCTTTACAGTGGAAGCTAGCCTCCAACGCTGTATCTATTTCTCCTTACACATCCATGGTTACGATCCATTAGCCTCAACTATCATGCCATAAAATCTGTCACATGAACAGTAGCTATAATGTGAATCAGACCCGTCAGCAACTATGTGGAGTTACTCTGAGCAAGAAAGAAAAACAGCCGACTGCAATTTATGCATTCATAAGAAATATACTTTTTCATATATATATATATATATATATATGATGGTTCTGGCTGTAAATGTGCCTAAAGCTCTGTGTGAAATAGCTGAAATAAAAAGAAGCAGCAATATTGAATAACAGTCATGTTGTTGATGTGGCGGTGTATTACTACCTGTATGGGAGTGAAATATCTGCTTCACAGTTTGACCCAGATATTTTTTATATGGCTAGGTTAAACAAAGTGCATCCATAAAATAAAAAGTATTATTAACATTGGAGTTGTTCATGAGAGGGAAAAAGTATCCGTATGGCAGATGCTTATGGTTGCAGTATCATATCGGACCTGGTAAAGTGGTATTGAGCCATCCCTAGTTTCAAAACAATCATTGGCTGATTTTGTGTCTTCAGACTTAATTTAACTTTTGCAACCTGATGCAATTCAACTGTAATAAGCAGGACAACGCTCAAACATCTCTGCTACCTATACTCATATTATTTCCCCTTATCATATTGAATAATTAATATTATATCCACCAAGCTCCACGAAGACTAAGGAGCTGGTGGTGGATTTCCGCAGGAGGAAATCTGCCCCCACACCCATCTCCATCGACACCTGGATAACAAACTGGACTGGGCCAAGAACACTGAGGCTGTTTACAAGAAGGGCCAGAGTCGACTCTATTTCCTGAGGAGGCTCCGGTCATTCAACGTATATAACATCATGCTGAGGATGTTCTACCAGTCGGTGGTAGCCAGTGCCATCTTCTTTGCTGTTGTGTGCTGGGGCAGCAGGCTGAGGGCAGCAGACGCCAAGAAGATCAGCGGGATCACCAGGAAGGCTGGCTCTGTCCTGGGGGTCCAACTGGACTCTTTGGTGGTGGTGTCTGAGAGGAGGATGCTGTGTAAACTGCACAGTATCCTGGTCAACAACGCTCACCCTCTCCACCAGGTGCTAACCTCGAGCAGAAGCACCTTCAGCAACAGACTCATTCCCCCCCAATGTAACACTGAAAGCCAGAGGAAGTATTTTCTTCCTGTGGCCATCAGACTATATAACTCATCTACCTCCGGTCGCGAAAGGGACAGTGGAGACACTGTGCCCTGAGCAAATGTCACTTTACCATTTTTTACCCAATTTTCACTTCATCACTTTATTTAGTTGTACTGTACCATAGTTAATTTATGCTGATAACAAATGCTGCTATAATTCTTATCACTTTTACCACTGTTACCACTTTATCCAATCGCTCCTTATCACTTATTTAGTTTGTACTTATTTTATTTCAATTTATGCTGCTAAACTGCATGGTGCATATTGTTGTATATTGTATATCACTTTAT